GAGAATTGATGGGCTGACTTGGCTCTGGGACACCTGTGAGGATGCGATGACCATCCTTTTGATATGGACCTCTGGTTGCATGAACAGGAGTGCGTGTTGGCGATGGCGTTCTGGCTGCACGACAGTGAGTGTTGAAATTCAACTTGTGTTCTTCCATCGTCCTGCGGTCACTGCGAACAGTCCTGTAGTCCACAGGGTCCATCGGCGGTCTCATTGGCAGAATGAGATGACCTGATTCACTGTCTTCCAACTGCAAAACCAAAGTACCTGGGCTCACTCTGAACTCAACACCTCCTTCACCCGGCAAGATCAGGAGTCTTCCATGCGTATCCAGGATGGCACGCTTGGCACGAAGAGATTTCAGTCCAAGCAACATCGGCAGCTGGCTGTTGGGGATCACAGGAGCGGTGTATGTGCAACCCAACTCTGGCAAACTGTCATGACCATCGACCAACATTCCTAAATCGAAATCGACAGACACTGCAGTTGTGGCACACTGGGCGCTCTTGCACACCCCACTGACATGAAGTGGTTCATCCAGCATCTTCTTACGGGCATGCGTTCTGAGCTGTTGTTCGATGGCTTCGATTGTCTCAGAACCTGCAAGATTATCGTGAGCGCCGGGGTCGACTAATAGGCCTGATCTACCGTCTGGAGTGCACGTTCTCATTGAGTGGTATGTGGGACGTCCTTGGTTTATATTGGGATTATCTTCTCGGACCATCTCCCACCACGGGAATGCACTGCTACTTTCCGGATCAGGTTGTGAACCAGGCATGTTCGACAAAAGCTGCGACAACTGCAAAGTGGTTGCTGATCTGATTTCTTTCTGCTTCTGCTTGGTTGGTCGTGTTGGGCGGCTCGGAGACTCAGCATCCTGTGCATCATCGGCTGTGATGGCTTGACTTGGAGATGATCTGGAAGACTCAAGACCAGACAACAAGGCTTCGGTAGACGACATCCTGGGCTGTGCTGGGACAGAACTGCTACTTGATAAGCTGCCAACCATGAAAGATGTCCATTCAGCTATGGGTTGATTCACAACAACGGCTGCCTTCATCTGCAACTGCTGTGCTGTTGGAGCCAGCTCAGTTGGTGGTGGAAAACGCGGCTCAGGGTTATCTGCATATTCATCCCTCTTATCTTCAACAGCTGTATCAACCCTGCGCTTGTTGTTGCTGCTGGCACTCCTCAGAGATTCCAAATCATCAAAGAAACTACGCTTGGATGATGGGGCACTGGAATGAATTGATTCGGCTTCAAAAGTTCGGGAGACCAACTCACCTGTTTGCATGCGCATGGTTGTGAGCACATGGGAGGCACCAACATCGGATGACGGACGGCTTGCGGTATCAGACTGATGACTGACACCTCTGGCAAAAAACTGAAGGTTCGAACCACCTATACCTGTCAACATGGCCATCTGCTTTTGACCTTGGCTGTCAGGCTTTGGGCACCTTTTGGCAAGATGCTCAGTGGAGCCACATTTGAAACACTTCAGCGGCTGACCGTCACGGCCACGCGGATTCTGTCGGCCATTGCGGCCCTTGCCAGAAGCTTTTCCTCCAGGTCCTCGGTGCGCAGCAAAAGCACCAGGTGGCAAGAAAGATGCATAGCTTGTTCCATACCGTTGCATCTTTTGCATGTTGGATTTGTGTCTGAACTTGTTGAAATGATTTCGGCGATACCTACGTGGAGGTTTGTTGGAAAACCGTCTCCATCTTCTTTTAGCTACCAAGTAGGCTTCATACAATTCATTTCCAAGTTTTGCTGAATCTTCATTGAGATTGCCATACAGTGTTGTCACTTCATTGTCTGTCTCACCATCATCAGTTTCAGTTCCTGAAGAAAATTCATCATCGGCATAAAACATTCCACATCGTGGACATTGGTCCTCATCTTCAGACATGACGGCAAAACTGGCTGACATGTTGACACCACTGGACATCGGGACATCAGGAGGCGACATGGGTGCTTGTGCATCGGCATTCATGTTCGGCGGTCCACCATAGTAGGTCTGGTAACCAGGGGCCATTGGGGGCGCTGGTTCACCAAATGAAGGAAAGTAAAAGGCACCTACTTCACCTGTTGCACCTTGGCGGTTTGGAGGCATGAAGGCACCCTCATTCATCCTACCTACTCGTCTCAACCTCTCAAACAACTGTTGAAACTGCTGGTCATTGATTGGCATTTCACCGTCAAGTGGAAGCAACATTCGATCCCACTGCTCTGGACGAAGTCTCAAACCATTCAAAAGGATGTATGACATCGTGGCTGCATTCATGGCGAAACCACCCCTCTGAATTGCTCTATGTTTGAGGACTTCAAACCTAGTGAGTGCTGCATCCATGTTTTCTCCATTGAGTCTTGAGAAACCTACCAGCTCAGCCATGCTGCGGGTTTGCAGCTCAGTTTCCATCGGTGCATAATGCCGTGCGAGAGTTCTGCACAGCAAAAGGAGTCCAGAGACGTGTACCCCTTGTTCCCACACACCTTCTCGAAGCTGTTGCGGCTGCAACTCACGTATGAGGTCTCTTGCAGCACCTGTCACGACCAAGGCAACAGCAGGCGCATGCCTGTCTGGTTCCAGATCGGTAGCATTGCTCCAAAGAATGACATCAGACAACCAGCTTCTTAAGGAATACTGATGGCTGTTTTCATAAGACCAACTCGGCGGGGTCTTCAATGTTGCGGTTCCCACATCAGCAGTATAGTTGGGTCCCATGCGCGGACCATGATGTCCTTGTTGTTGTCGGTTCCCTGCATGCATCATTCCAATTGAGGCCAGGATCAAACAGGTTCCCAGAAAAACATAGATCACATGGAGTCGGTGTTTGACTGACCAACTTGACACTGAAAGCTTGTTGGACAGACGTCTGAATGGATCATGCATTGAAAACAGTTGGCTGGGGTCTGCATACATGCGGCTGTTGTTCACATGCACTGATTGCGAATCATTCACACCAGTCAGATTCATTGCACGTCGGTTGACATGTTCAGCCAACCTTCCACCAGTTGTCCAGCTGTCGTCGTCGTCACGTTCAGCATCAATGTCCTCGTACCACCAGGGATCATGCATCATCGGAGTTGCATTGGGTCTGACCAGAGCACTTGCGTTCACCTCAAACAGTGATGCATCATCATCATTGTCTGAATCATCCAAAAGTCCAATGTCACGCAAATGCTTGATCATCTCGGCTGGTCCCATGTCCTGTTGTAAGGACAAACTCATCTGCTCCAGGCGCTCCATTGCGGTTTCAACCTCTTCATGCGACCGCTTCATAGCTCGTCTCAAGAGCTCCACCATGCGTCGCTCTTCTGTCTTGTCTGTCGATGTTGCCAGCATGGTTCTGATAGTGGTCAAAACAGGATGATCAGTTACCAAACCATCCATGTTGAAACTCGTTGCAATGGATCCATCGTTGTTAGGCACGCTTGTCACATCACTGGTTGTCGTGGTTGCCAGAATGGCTGTAGACATGGTCGATTGTTCCCCAAACTGACTGTTATCCGCCCCAAAACTGTTCGCTGTTGAGATTGCCAGAATAGTGCTAAAAGTGGTCCTGCGGCACAACATCGGAAGCTGCACACACATCTCATCACGTCCACTGTTGACCGCATCCTTGATGGCTGTCTCAACACTAGTTGGAGCGAACATCACGACAAATGTGACAAGTGCAACAACTGATAGCAGGAGCAGGAGCCATAGCTCCGCTACCAAGTTGAAACACATGCCACATTTGCCCTTCCTAACAAACACCTGTCTGTCCAAAGCAGCATGCTTTCCCTTTTGCTCAGCACTGCATCGTCGGAAACTTGCGGAAGGTTCCATGGCACGTACGAATTGGCACAGGTTGATCGGGAGATCGGCCTAAAAGGCTAATGTCGAGAGCTGCTCCTTTGAGTCCCAAGGGCAGCGAGAAGTTAACACCTGGCAGCAGGTCACAAGGGCATGTACCTTTCGACTAATATGACCGGATAGCTTAGTATTTCACGGAAAGAACAAGATGACGCCCGCTAGTACAATCCATCTATTGGTTTCGTTGGGACAACCTACAGGAAAACCCAACCAAATTCAACCGTTGAATTTCCTAAGAAAACCGATCCAGTTTTTTCCTGTATTCAAATATCATTGGTTCAGTAGACATCCCAGTAATTTCCATTGACTATATCACATTATATTCTTGTAGTTCTCCCGTGATCATACCATTTACAGCCCATTAAAAGAAACTATGTCCCCATTGTATATTATCTCAATGGTATGATGTCCCCCCCATTGTTTTCCCATTGTACCATTTATACTACCGTTCTCCCGTTCGTATCATATCGTTGGTTGTGTATATACATTACATAATTATGTAATATACATATATATACCCCATTGATATCCCATCATAAGATTCATCAGATATCATAATTGTATACCATCTACAATGCGCTTATCCTATTGGTCGTATCCTTTTGTATGGGGTCATTGGTCTGATGTATCCCATGAATATCTCCAATAATCCCAATATCCACTGACCATATCCCATTATTATCCCATATCACTGTTATTCAGTGTCCCATAATTAACAGAATACATGTTGGATATTTAGTATCCCATGATTAACAGAATATATGTTGGATATTTACTATCCCATAACATCATTGTTAATATCACTGATATATCCCATGAGTATCCCATCAATATCCAAAGACCCGAATCAAACGTGGTAATGGGAAATCCCCGAACAAACTCAATGAGCATTTGAGCATTACAAAATGATCGACAAGAATTGGGAGTTGTCCAGCAAGCCATGGTTGATTTCCAAAGGGTATAACCGGTATAATATTACAGTTGGTTTTACCTTCCCTTCTAATGGTTGCTTAAATTCCATCATCATCCATCATCAATATCAAATAGTTGGTTGATATCCATTATATCCTATCCATTTATATCCCATTAATATCCAAGCATTTTTGGTCGATCCCCAAAAAGAAAAAAACGGCCAAGACACTGAAAATCTTGCAGGTGAACAGCTGGTGAGCCCTGGCTTCATCGTGAGAGATGTTCCAAGTTGCATCTGAAGATAGCTGAAGTTACGTTGATCCGTATCGCTTCCTAAATGTTCAAAGATTACATAATACACATATTTTTTGCACACACACACACTTATGTGTGTGTGTTGTGTGTTCCGGGCCATGTGAATACTGCATGTATTGTATTGAATGAATTTGAATGATCATTCAAACTAATGAATCATAAAACATACATACATATAATACGTAGCTGTGTGCCACTCATACATGATAGAATCCATCCCATTCCAACTTAACTGCTTAAAAGCCGCGGGCGGCTCCCCGTTTCTCCAGGGAACTGGAGCTTAAGTTGGCAGCTACTCTGCCGATAAAAATTGGTTCTGGCTGATAAAAATTGGAAGGGGAAAGAATTTCAAAAAGTGTATTCATATGACATCATCCTCTATTGCAGCAGTATTGGGCCCAGTTGAACCAACATTCTATAGCAGTCTATCTTGCACACATCTTGCACACATCTTGCACACATGGATCCATACATCAAATAATATCACATACATTTCAGTCATTCATTGTATTTCATGTGATAAGTCAAGCCAGCTAGCATGGTAAATACCAATCATCAAGCTCCAATCGGAAAGTCACTGGAGACGGTGGCTGTGGCTTTGGCTCTCCCACAGCCAAGGGGGGTTTTCATGCAAGCCGTTCTACAAGTCCAAGGCATGATCATAATTTTCCGATTTGAATAACAACTTTGGAAGGTACCCCTGAGACAAATTGACATAGCCATTCAAAATAGAAACAAGACCATTCTACAATTTAGATGGTATCAGAAACATGTCAAAAAAAACATTTCAAAGGATAGTTTATATCATTGGGATTACCACATCAGGGATCATCAGGGTACTGTTTTCTTCTCTTTCTCCTTCACCTCAAAATATTTCTGGTAAGCTTGGAAAGGTAAGCTCAAAATAAACCACCATCCTCCCAAAGCAACCTAGATCCTGCCATTCATGGGGCGTTGGAAGATACTTCTTTCTTCCACCGATTCGTTCTTCCGGGGACCGAACTGTTGGATGGTACCATGGTACCATGGGGCGCAGTTCCAGTTATAACATGTTATAAGTGGATACCCTCTGGTAATTTAACATAGCTATGGAAAATGGCCATTTATAGTGAATTTTCCCATTGAAAATGGTGATTTCCAATAGCTATGTTAGTTTACCAGTGGATATATCATCAGTTCCAGGGGCTCTAAATCCCAACTTCTGGGGTGAACCCCCGCGCCAGCCTTGCCATAGCCATAGCGGCGTCGAGACTCGCTCGGCCAGTGGCTGCGTGGCGCAGGTGCCTGCACGGCACTGAAGCGAGCCTCTTCGTCCTGGAAGCTGCATGGAAAAACATAGAATTCATGTTGGGATCTCCCGAAATTTGGGTGAAATTCGGGATTTTGTTGGATCCGCCATGCAACCGTAGATTTTATAATAGTGGAATTTAAGCTTTCTATCATTGTTTTTTTGTCCACAATTATGTAGTTCTGAAAACGTACCAAAATGATGATTAGATATGATAAAATTGGGATGTAAAGGGATATAGCCAACAATTTAGTATGGTTTTACCTAGGAATTTCCTGAAAGATTCTGGGTTTACACCCCATTTCTGGACATGTTGATGGGGCATATTATGATTAATGATTAATTACAGTAAAAGTCAAAAATTAAGGTTCCCTACGTTCAATCGTTTTCAAACAAACCCAAACCAATATTACGGGGCAGGCTGCTTTCCCCGCAAAATTGATGTTTATCCAGCCAATTCGCAGCAAGGTGCGACTGCAGCAAAGCTGTGAAGCCGTAGAGTCGCAGTTGTTTTTCCAGCATTACACCATGGGAAACCAACATGGAACCCAGAAATTGTGAATCTTTGGTAGGATAAACATTTTCCAGATACCGTTTTGTGGTTTCCATGCTTGTTCCCAGGAGGGTAAAACGTGATGACCAGGTGACCAGGTGTAGTTTTTCTTTTGAGTTTGTGGTGATTTTGCAGTCCCTTTAAGGACCTCGCATCCACACGCCGTTGTTCGTTGTCCAAAATCATGGATAATCCAAAATTATTGCTGTCTTTTGGCACTCTACCATGCCAATGGGAAATACATGGGAATACCCTATGTATGAATGATGTTCCCTTTTTTAGAGGTCCCCATTGCCCGTTGAACATAAATACCTTCTCAAACATCCTGCACCAACGGTATTGCAAAAACCTGATTTGGAATCAGGGGGGTCCAGAAACCACTGAGGAAGTCTTGTGTGCGCCATTGGTCAACGATATACATATTTATATATATATATACACATACACAATATATATATATATTATAACTTTATTTCCCCCAAAAAAAACTTAGTTACCAATTGGTGGGCACCAACCCTAGCAAAATCTGAGATAGGTGCGTCTGGAAATGGGGTATGACCAACAGCCACTGCTTCGCACCTCTGAAGAAAGGATTTCGACGTCTTCGGCCTGCGATATCAACGCTGTTCATGGTTGGCATGATACTGGGATGGTAGAGATATATCGAGTTGGTTAACGTAAAAAAAAAAACTAATGTGGTTAAAACAATGTCATTTGCACCATCCCCCAGTCATCACCAGTCATGAGTGGTTCATGACATTGTTTTAACCACATTATCAACATAGCTTGGGGGGGTACTACCTTGATCGACCTTGCAGAGGAAAAACCACCCAAATCCCGTGGCTTAGAACCTCCACTTTCGAGAATGTCAGTAGCATTTTCAGCATCTCTTCCAATACGTGGTAGCATATGATAGCTCATGAAATTAAATTGATTTGCATCATATTAATTATACTATACTACTAGATGAAACCATATCCCTGCAAGTCCGAAGGTCAAGTTTAACGAGGTCCTTGGCTAAAGACCAAGTTTTACGAGGACGTTTGGTTTACCTCGGTTCGATAGAGCTCATCCCTCCAGTGAACCAACTCCCCATCCTTCAAACTGTCCCGCGTCTCACGCGCGCCATTGCCCAAATGCCGCCCTGAAGCCTCAAGCACCGAACACGGAAAACGGTGAATCTGCACGAGCCCCAAAGGGATCCAGATCAATGACCATTTCAGGTATCTAAATTGGAAGTACCTACCACATATATATATATATATATATATGTGCGTGTGTGTTTGTGTGTGTGTCTGTATATATATACATATACATACATATATCCATAACATTTCATATTGAATGAATGGCGTGTTGTTTCGTGTGTTCTCATTGCCAGGCTGCCATGTTTGCAATAGTTTGCCGGGTCATCAACGACGCCATTCGTTTGGATGCTGGTGCACCCAAGCCGATAACGTGCTGCCATCCCATTCCCAATCGATGCTCAGCTACAGTTTACACTATGCTACAAGCACAGTTACGGCAGATTTCTGGGTTTGCCCCGCATTCCCGAGCGGGCTTGACTTTACATGGCCAATCTTTGATACCTGGGCATGATATTTCCACATGTCATTTCTTACCAGTTTTTTGACATTGGGAAACTATCCCGACTATCCCCTTCAACCAGAATACAAACCCGAAAAATTCAGCTGAATTCAATGGGCCAGAGATGTGTTTATCGTGCCCATGGCCCATCACGGCCCTGGGTTCCGACCCAAGGAGCCTTACTCTCAAGTTCCTGTGCGATCTCTTCCGCCTGCGTGTCCCAGGTCTGGATCAGGACCACAGCCATTTTGAGCTGCAGCCATATCTCGATATGATTCGATATGTATCCAGATGTAGAGGTTTCAAACCTGAATTTGCCAAGCAGCTACACATCGTCATAACATTACTTCGCAGTGTGACCTAAACCCGGCGTCGTTTTCAAAAAAAAGGCTGGTTTTCATTGGATTTCCCAGAATGGATTGTGATAATCCCCAATGTACTGGATAGTCATCAGTCTAAATAAAGGGGCTTAGCAGCCATTGCTTATCTGAGTCTTCCCGCTATGAACCACTGATTCACTACAATAGACAATATACTACAATAGTTTTGTTATACTTAAACTTTACCCCCCGGAGAAACAAAAAAAATGCGCCCGTTCGAGTTAAATTTAACGAAACCATGGACATTAATATCCAAACATATTACTCATATATGCTCATATATCATCTCATATTTACTAATCAACAATTACTATAATGTTCACATGGCGTTAATAAACCCCCCCACAATAAAGTACGCCAACTCCCGGAAAAAATTAATAAACCCCCCCCGTAATAAAGTTCGCCAACTTTTTTTTCCCGTTTTTTTTCCGTTTTTTTTCCCTTTAGTATTCGTTTTCAATTGGGCAATTCATTTGTGAATACTTCAGTTTTTTTTCGTTTTTTTCCCCTTTATGTATTCGTTTTCAATTAGGCAATTCATTTGTGAATACTAAAGTTGCTTTTTTCGTTTTTTTTTTCGCTTTTTTCCCTTTATGTATTCGTTTTCAATTAGGCAATTCATTTGTGAATACTAAAGTTTTTTTCCCGTTTTTTTTTGTTTTCGTTTTTTTTCCCTTTATGTATTCGTGTTCAATTAGGCAATTCATTTGTGAATACAAAAATGGAAAGAAAGTTCTTTTTTATGTATTCGTTTTCAATTAGGCAATTCATTTGTGAATACTAAAATGAATAATAAAAAAATCCACCCAAAACATCAAAATAATAATGAATGTTTGCACTCCCCTAAATAAAGTATTCTGAAATATTTGTGCACCCTTGACATCATTATATGAGTAAACATGATCACAAATCTATACTTTACTATGGTCCCAAGCGTATAGTGCCTGCATGACGACGCGTCTGGAAACTTTGCTCGGATCCAAGGGTGTGGTGTAGTGCGCCTACCGTGGCTTCATGGAGCCTTCGGGAAGATTGTTCAATTGTCATCCAACCTTTATTTATGCATTTTTAAGTTGATTTATCTAATTTTATCTAGGTTTATGATGGTTTATGAACAACTTGCAAGCGAACGCAGGTTCTTTGGCACTCTCTCTCTTTCTCTCTCAGGAAAAGTTTCGACCCCAATGGGTTCCCGAACCCTTCTCCTCCGTGTACAACTGAAAGTACCCAGCGAGGATCAACCATACATGTTGACCAACGCCACCCTTCACCAGTCTCTTCATGCTTAATTTTGGATCATTTTGCCCTAAAATCATCCACAGGGGTTGGTAAATGTATGTAAATGTCCTAATTGAACATCACCCAAATATTAGGGGATCTAATCTCCAACAGATACTTGAAAGTGATGTTCAAAATCCCCAAAATGGGACATTTACAAAACCCTGATCCATCCAAACACTGTGTGCGGCCTCGTTGTAGGAACTCTGCACACCGAAAAGTTCCTCGTTGGCCTTGAACTGGTCCCAGTCCTGCTTCTCCTGAAGTGCTTTGGCGCGCTCGTTTAAGGGTGTTCTTGGGGGAAACAATGTGGATATTGACATCAACAGAAGAAGAAAACCATATCAATCTACGGAAAATCATATGTGTATATAATTGTATATATAAGGCAATATTGCAGTAGACTCATATATTATTTGAAACATAAAGATTGCGAGACCTGCCGGTTCCTGCGTGGTGGTTTCAAGGTTGCCATCCTTCAGCCCCACGCCTGTGCCAAGTCTAAAGGCCCCAAGGCCGCCTCTAAAAAATCCTCTTGCTTCGCCGGCTCCTGGGCTGCGAGACGCGGAGATTCGTGACTTTTTAAACGGGGATCAGAATGGAGCTATTAATCCATCCATGAAGATTATATAATCAATCCAAATCCAATCTATCAATCTTGCGGAGGTTCCAAAGAACCATAGATATAATATGATATCCCTTCCCTATCCAATCTTATCATATCTAACCCATGGAATCCATCCAATCTATCCAATCTATCCAGTCAAATCAAATCTAACCAAGTCTTATTTCCTCTAATCTCATCTTATCTAAATATCTATCTACCTATGTGTCTGTATTTATAGCTGCGTGATACAACTACATTCATGAATATGATTGAATATGTACATGTACAGGTATCAACAACCCATCAGTTGGGGATATCCATGGGTCAATACTGATCTTGCTTCATTGTTAGTGTTTCCACCTGGGACCCGGGCTAGCTCCAACCATTCATCGGCTTTTCTTCTGGGATGGACCAAAGCCCAATGACTGGGAATAATGATTGATGACTCCCTCCTCATATAGCTTCTGCAACCTATCCGTCATATATATCTCATATATATATATATATCACCTTTCCCAATTGTTCCATTCATTCCCATTTGAAATGATAGTGTTGGCTTTATATACTGTATAATTATGTCAATGTTAAATCCGGCCAAATGGAGTTTCTGCAATTGACTAATTATTGATTTTCTTTGGCGCTTGGTTACCTGATTGAATGGGGGTTGCGGTAAACAGTTCTCAATATATCCCTGCCAAATATGCCATGGCCAACAGTTGGATGATATACCCATAGTTGGGGGATGATTCATAGGGATTTGGAACCCATGATAGACATCACTATTCTGGGATGGATGACCATACCAGGATAGTGGCACATGTCACCCATGTCCTTTTTCCGCTGGTTCCCCCTGTTCAACACCCAATAGGTAGAAGGACAGTGGCCGAACCCCCCTGGGCTGGCAATGGAGAGCACTAGGCGTGGCTTTTGCGCCATTTTGCACTGTTTTGGCCGATTGTATCCCTGCAATGTGGTGCCCCTCACTTTTAAGCTGGCTTATAACCCAATGAACTACTTCGATATATCTATCATTAGTCTTAGTTATCGGAGTTGTGCTCACCAACTTAGCTATCTAGCGGGCACCGTATCCCTGATAAACATGGAAAATCCATGTGTTTCCCCTAGATTTTCCCAAGAAAACCAATCCGTTGAATCAAGATTTCCTGGATAGATCATGAGATAGAAAGGTTGACAAATAGATAACCGACAATGTTTGATGGTGTATGATGGTGTGATCCTGTTTCTTTGCCGGGTTGTAGTCCCCATGATCCCAGGTAAAAGAACAACGGTCGGACGGCCTGTTCACGCGCGGCCGACTTGGTTTGTCATCTTTGCTGAGTCGGAAGTTTGGCTAGTTGAACAAGAAGTCAGCTAACATCCCCCCACCCCAGCGTGGCGTAGCATCAACAACGTGAGCAAGTTACATGGAACGTTAACATCCCCCCCCACCCCAGCGCGGCGCAGCATCAACAACGTGAGCAAGTTACATGGAACGTTAACATCCCCCCCACCCCAGCGTGGCGTAGCATCAACAACGTGAGCAAGTTACATGGAACGTTAACATCCCCCCCTGTACCATCAGTTACATCAGTTGTTCCTGCCACCCCCCCCTCCCCCCCCAGGGCAGCATTGTAGAGAAGCAGAAAACACTGTAAAAAACAGTACAAAATGCACATTCAGCAGTATGTGCGCGCGTGAACACCCCGTCGGAGGGAAGAACAAATACGTTCATGGGTTATACAGCCAAAACTCGATTCTTATACAAAGGTTAAAATCCCTGTATTTGTTTGTCTTTTCCCTAAGTCAACATATCTATGGAAAATGGCCCAGTATAGCCCAGTATGGTCCAATATGGCTCAGGTAACTAATGATTCACCTATAAATAAACATGGTGATATGATATAATCACCAATTAACTAAGATAATTTATCTATTTCTAGTGATTACCAATAGATATTTAGTTATGTTAAACTACCAGAGAGTAAATCACCACGATCCTTCGGTGGCTGCCAAGGCTGGAGAGGCTTACGCTGCTCCTGGTGTTTCACCAGGATTGGCTTCAGGATGAGGGAACATCTTTCCGGAACTACCCCAGGGTAAACTAAGATAGATGTGAAAAATAGATCAAAATGGCCGGCCCATGTATGGATGAATTACCTCTTTAAAATAGTAATTATTCCACATCTATATTAGTTTGTCCCAGGGTATTTGGTGGTAAAAAAAGGATTGTTTCCTGTTGATTTTCCCTTAAACCAAGCCGAAGAGATATGGGGCGCCAGCACACCATGATGAAATTCATAAAATGTTGGATAATATGACAGCAGCTGTTGTCAGTTGTGTACTATTGTACAAGTCTACCATGCCGCCAAGAGATACCAACCCCCAGAAACTATTCAGAAACCCTGGTTCATTTTGGGGTCCATAGATTATATAGCGGATGAGAAACCTTTGAAGAAATGCATCTGCGCGAATCAGAGCGATTTCTGGGTTTCCCTCAGTAGGGAGGTCGCTGCGAGGTTTCTCCAATTGTTTGTTCAATTTTTTAACCTAGACCTCTCTCTCTGTATTGATTGTCCAAAAATTAAACATGGATCCACGTTTGCCAACTTTTCGCCATAAATGTATATACCCAAATCTGGATCCAATTTTGGCGATGTTAGGAACATGATGGTGAACACCATCAGCTGTTGGAGTTTCAACCAATTTTTGTTACAGCCAATTTTCAGCATCAACACAACAGTACAACACAATACAATACATACGTATATAATCGTGTATACATATATATATATATATATATGTGTGTGTGTGTACATAATCAACCCACTTAAATAGAACAGGAAAATCCATCTTGAACATTTACGGTTTCATACTTTTTCATACGGCGTCTCCTGCGCCCAGGGATCGTTCTCGAAAATCGGATCCCGCGCTCCATATTGCGTGTCCTCGCGGCCCTCGCGGCGCGGATGTAACATGGAAAATGATGGTGTAACTAACCAGCGAAAATGGGGACTGATGATTTAAGCAGTGAAACATAGTGAAACACGGAAATGGTATGAAAATCATGGTGCTTTTCTGAAAATCGTAGAAAATCGTGTCAAGAACAGCCATTGCCATGATCATCATGAACCCTAAGAACAACATGTTCGAAGCCACCGATTCGAAAATCATGAGTCATGGAAAAGGATGATTCTTGTCAAAGGCGTCCCAAAAGAAGATTCAACACCTGGGGGCACAGTTCCAGTGGTAAGTGGATATACAACCATAATTGAAGGGGGCATCCCAACTTCTAGAGGTCCCCGTGCCAGTTTCCTGCACCTTTGGACAAAGTCAGCGGATTGCAGCTGGCCTGTGTCCAGTTTTTCTCCTCCGTTCTCGATTGCTGAGCTCGTCCATTTCCATTGCTCCACGCCTCCGTGCCACGTTGGGTCAATCTCCATGGGTGGGATGGCGATTGAACTGTCATGACTTTGATGACTTTGATGGGGACCAAAAAATGCTCTAGAAATGAACTAACTTGCAAGCTGATTTTGAGAGTGCCCTCTGAAAATTTAACATAGCTATAGAATTTATAGAAGCCAGGGCCCATTCAGTTCTGTTCGGTGGTAAACCCTCTTTTTTAATTGCGATTTTCAAAGCAAACCATTTACCAGAGGGTAGGCCCAAATTATATCCCCGTTATAGTTATAATCATTAAACATCCCATTCCACAATATTCTACCATATTTTTTGTTGGTTGAGTCCCTATGAAATTTGAAGTGAACTAAAGGTATTGGACTCACTGGCAGGACACGGGATATGGGGACGGCTTGGGGACCGGGATCAAGGGACACACGTGCGATCAAGAATGGATATCAAGATGTCAGATATACTCTTAGGGATGGTCTTAGCAAATCAGCAAGCAATCCAACATCGAGTCTACTTTTTCAATTCATCCACACATCCAAGCACCAATGCCCCCAAAATGTTTGACCAATTCTTCGCGTTTTCATGAGCCCCTTGGTGAAGTTTCTTGGTTTCCCTGGTCAATTTCACAGTTGTGCACCGGCCTTGCAACCTCTTTCTAGCATTCCTCTATGTTTTTAGCCAAGATTCTCTTGTTTTTGCACAGTCTATTCCCATTTTTACTTCTAGACTAGTTGTGGAAATTGTCTGCTCTGGACATTGCTGTCAGCTCTTTGCAACTTCCTCTGTTCACCTCATTTCTTCTCTAATAAATTTTGCCACCTGTCTGTAGCAGTTCTCTGTTCTCTGATAAATTTCAATTTGTCTGATGTGGTGGCGCAAGTTTCCTCAGGTTTCAGAACATCTTCGAAAAAGAAAATCCGGGAAGTCACACATCATTTCACGCGCATCAAATATGTGAGGATTGGCTTGACAAAGGTGCACGGTTAAAGTGTGCAGAATCGAGAATCGAGGATCGAGAATCGAGGATCGAGGATCGAGAATCGAGAATCGAGGATCGAGGATCGAGAATCGAGAATCGAGAATCGAGAATCGAGGATCGAGGATCGAGGATCGAGAATCGAGAATCGAGAATCGAGGATCGAGGATCGAGAATCGAGGATCGAGAATCGAGGATCGAGGATCGAGAATCGAGGATCGAGAATCGAGGATCGAGAATCGAGGATCGAGGATCGAGGATCGAGGATCGGAATCGAGAATCGAGGATCGAGGATCGAGGATCGAGGATCGAGGATCGAGAATCGAGAATCGAGGATCGAGAATCGAAGATCGAGGATCGAGAATCGAGAATCGAGAATCGAGAAGCGAGGATCGAGAATCGAGAATCGAGAATCGAGGATCGAGGATCGAGAATCGAGAATCGAGAATCGAGGATCGAGGATGGAGAAAAACAAGATATACAAGATTGATTGGGATCGAGGATTGAGGATGAATAACACTATTATAGCGGCGTGCGCAGTCAAGGTTTGGGAACAATATGCATACGTATTGCATACGTAGTGTTTGGTAGGCATGTGTGTGAACGGGGCATAGTTCAGTATACCCTCATTGATTCATGTCGGCATGTAATTTATGAAACAGTGTACCCTTGGCAAGCCAACTTGCAATGGTGAGGGAAGCACAGAATTAGGAGGGTTGTCGAATGGTCATCGCCTCAGCCGGTGCCCATGATGCCCATGATGCCGCTCTCAGAAACAAACCAGAAGCAAACAAGAGACTTTGACACGTTGAAGACCCAGTTCAAAAATGTTCAAAAGATTCCGATTGGACGCAGTTCGTATCTCTCGGTGGAAGTGTAAGTGCAGTGAATTTTTCTGTTGTGTCATATTATTCCGTGGAATATTGCACTTTTCAGTCGCACATAGGACGACGCATCGGTTCCAGTCACATGTTCCTCTCCAATCACAGGACAGGCAAAGAATACGTTTCGCTCAGATGCATGACTAAACTCTACCAACACTTCCAGTCAGTCTTGTTGCTGTAGGCAGGGTTGGCTAGCCACCCTCACATAGACATGTTGGTGCGGCTGTTTGGGGCTGGCTAGCCGCCCCAGTGTTTCATTTCAACATTATCTAGAGAGGCAAGGAGATGAAGGTTTGTCACAAAGTTCTCTTTCTATTTCGCCTGCTTGCCGTGGTCGTCAGATGTAGCGGGTCTGAAAGTTTGATGTGGGGCATCTGGGAGATTTTGTTAGTCCCAAGATTAGTGATTCTGGTTTCTGTGCTGAGCAGCACACATCCAAATGTTACACAGTGTCTTTGCAAACTTGCAACGTCCCGGCACGTTCCACATACTGTCTTTGCTCTCTGGCGTTGCGGCTCAGTTGCCCGCATGGGCGTGGAGGGCCATGGCGCACTTCTCATTGGAGCGTGTGTTATCTCCTGTGCCGACGTCTGCATTTCCAGCTGTATCAGAAATTCTTTCCTCGATACCCTCGCACCTGTGCCCTCCATTCTTGCAGAAAGTGCTGGAAACAAAGCATGAAGTGAATCTAAGCCTGAAGCAAGTGGAGAACGTTTTGTGGAAAATCGAAACCTTCTTGCCCTGCATGGTGAGTGTGTCTCATCCGTTGGGACAAAACCCGTTCCAGTTAAAGAAGTACCAGGAGCTTGTCCCAGACGTTCCCACCGTCTGCGTGCCGTCTCTGGTAACGTCATGCGCTTGCTGTGGCGGTGCCTTAGAGGACAAGGCAGGTAGATCTTCTTCCCGCTTAGTGAACAATTTGCGTGGAAGTGATGAGATGGACAATCGTTTCCTGATTTTCACTCAAGCAGCTGGTGTTCTCTTTGCGGAGTTCAAGGCAGGGTTTTGCTCTGCTTGTCGATTGTATTTTCTTGGTTGCTGGCAATATGAGAAAAAGGCTGGGGCCTTTCATCACATGGACAAGCTGCACTGCTGCGGGTTACAGGCGGATGTGGATGTGTTTGCGCCTAGGCATCGCTAAGGTTGCATGTTTTGTGCTTTCATTGATGATTTTTTTTGCGGGTTATGTTCATGACGGACAGAAGTTTGAGTTTGGCTGACACGCAGTTGCTTCACATCCCCAGTGTCAGTAGGCTTGCGTTGTTACGCTCAGGTCGTCCCTCGTTATCGAAGCTTCTTCGCCGTTGAAATCGGCTTGCTGCATTCAATCACAGATGAAATTGCCCATAGCGGCGCGACCTTTTCCTCTGCTGTGCTGCGATGGGTGAAGCAACACCCAGAAGAGGGCCAAGTTCGACTGCTGCAAGGAAAGGACCTGACCATGCTAGAGCGTTGCCGCAAACGGTTAGAAGAGGCCTGGTACTTATATCACTGCAGCAAACTTAGCTGCGAAGCTTTGCGTGGCATCCAGTGGCGCTTGACGCAGGAGAATGATGAGATGTGTAGTTGCTTGGTTTTCAAATTGCATTGTCAGAAGGAAATGTACAGTTTTGGGGTATGAGCAAATGGATGATAATCAAGTAGCTGCGGCGCGACAATCCTAGTGTGACACAAATGAGTTACATTGAGCACGTCCAGTTTTGTAGGGTCGTGGAACCAGGTCTTTGCTGTTGTGTTGAAATTGACGGAGCTTTGCCAGTAGGGCTGAAGATATTTCCGAAACTGTGGCAGGACTTAGATGGCTTTGAGGCTTCCTTGTCCCAAGTTCTACCTCATTTGCGGAAGCAAAGGCTGAACAAAGTTGCGGAGCACATCCACAGCTGCCCCATATGTCAGCAATGTGTGTGGATTTTGTTGGATGGAAAGCAGGGTGCTCGGCGATTCATCTGCGCCGGTCTAGAGGGTCATCGAACATTTGCAGATCTAGGGGTGTCAATTTACACTGGATGCATGAATCACGCTGGGCCCAACGATGTCTTTTGCAAGCGTTGTCGCCCAAGCAGTTTGCTGCAGAGCGCTTTGATTCCACAAGAAAAAGTGCTACAAGTCGAAACTTGTCCATCTGAAGACGGTTTGTCAGTGGAGACTTGGTACTTGGTCCGTTGCAAGTGTCCACAGAATGGCATCTTCGAAGCACCTTTGCCCCGCAAGGAAGTGCGCGCAGATCTACTGGCAGAGTTCGAGAAAGGGGCCTTGCCAAAAAAGCGAGATCATGGTAACCTGCGTACTCAATTTCGCTGGCTGAAGAGTGCTCGCATGGTTCGTCAAGCTGCCTTGAAGCGCGCTGGGCCATGCAAGCCAGCGCGCCGTGGAAGAGCCAGCAAGAAGGAGGAGGTCAAAAAGCTTCCGGGCGGATGGCTGTCGCAGGCGTATGTCGCATTCCTCCGCGACACTGACAAGTCTACAGATGGCAGTGAGCTTGCTGAGTGCGGTATTGATAAGGAGAAGAAAACTTTGAAGCGCAGGCGATGCACAGGTGGCATTTTAACTGCTACCCTTTCCTGTGGTCAGCTGGTGGATTGGCTAGAATTACCTCGTGGAGAAGCCTTCGATGTAGTGTACACCTTTGTTCTGGATGTGATTAAAGAGCTCTCGACCCGGCAAGTGCAGGTGAAGTGCGTAGGGTATGACAACGCCTGTCGGCTCCTTGCAATGGCTGAGCGTTGTGAGAATTTGTGCAGCCCATGGACCAACAAAGTGACGGAGTGTCGAATTGTCTTGGATAGGTTCCACAAGGGAAACCACTCTTGGTGTCTTCGTCATCGCCCGCAGGCGCCAGGGAAGTTAAATAAGAGGAATACAAACAAAGGCAATGTGAGAGAGAAAGTGTTTCAATACCAAAGCAGGTTGGAAATTTGCGCGTTCGCGCTTAGTATTTGCCTGCAAGGTCGTGTAGTTTGTTCAGCAGTGAACACCTGTAGCAGTACCACCGTCTCTTTTGCATCCTTGATTTGGGTCACAAGCTCATGTGTCTTTGAAAAGGATTGTGAAAGCATGTGCAATGCAGTGGCCGCGTCCATTCTCCTCAACCAAATGCTGCCAGGTGGATCCAGATCATCCAGACAACATTCCTTTGCTGCAGTTTCGCAACTCGGAGAGCTGTGAGCAGTTGAACGCATGGATCTCTGGTCGCACTGCTGCTGCCTTGAACTTGACAGGCGCTAGATTTGGTGTCTATTGGCATGCTCTTTTTGCTGAGCACAATGAATGGCTGGAGCAATGTAGTGCGGCGCGTCGTCGTCGATTCCAGGCTGGCTTCTTGAAGAGAGACCCAGACAAATGCGAAAGCAAATCGGTCGGATAGGAGAAACAGGGATAGCTATAGCCTCTTGCGTATGACCTTTCCGGGTTTCCAGAAAATTAGGCTTACAGTGTTGACAGCCAAACCAGTCTTGAACAACTTGTTGCTGTAGGCAGGGTTGGCTAGCCACCCTCACATTGACATGTTGGTGCGGCTGTTTGGGGCTGGCTAGCCGCCCCAGTGTTTCATGTCAACATGATCTAGAGAGGCAAGGAGATGAAGGTTTGTCATAAAGTTCTCTTTCTATTTCGCCTGCTTGCCGTGGTCGTCTGATATAGCGGGGCTGAAAGTTTGATGTGGGGCATCTGGGAGATTTTGTTAGTTCCAAGATTAGTGACTATGGCTTCTGGACTGAGTGGCACACATCCAAATGTTACTCAGTGCCTTTGCAAACCTCTAACCTCCCGACACGTCTCACACACTGTCTTTGCTCTCTACTTTCTGGCGTTGCAGCTCAGTTGCCTGCATGGGCTTGGAAATGCCTGCTCAGTAGCCGGCGGAAGGCTAGTGCAATAAAGGCAGCTTGTTTGGGTCCAACCTTTTTGGCACATCTCACCACTCGGAGGAAGGCTAAGACATATAGCATCCTAGAAGAGGTAAAAGCAGTTATAAGTCAGCACGGCTAGATTTGACAGACGCGCAGCCATGGGTCGGAAAGGCCGTAGTAAAAAGGATGCGGCGGAAGACCGCGATCCTGGAATGTGCAAAGCAGACCTCTTGCTGGCATACCAACTCATGGATACAACCAATCCATTCCCTTCGGCCTCTGTAGGTGCGAGGCAACCTCTGGCTTGGAAGGTTTGCTGCGCGTTGGCCCAAGCAGCTTCCTTGCATCCTGGGTGCATGTTTGTGCACATGTTGTGCTTGGTGGCTCTGACTCTCAATGCGGTGCAGGTGAAATACTCTGGCTTGCTGGGAAAATTCTGCAATTTGATGGTCTTGCAACATGGTCCGCCGGGGGACGGCAAGAGCATAGCGCTGTGGCTAGATCTTCACATCCTGAGTTACTTTGACAAACTGAGACTCTGGGTGGAAAATGGACCTGATAGTCAAGTCACCCATGGTCACGTCACACATGTCCTTTATGAAACAGTCTTGGTAATCATGGGGCAGATAACCATGAAAGCATGGGCATGAGTGAAGGTAATAGGGCAGGTCACATTCAATGTCATGCTGGTGGCTGTTTCTGTCGCCGCAGCTCAGGAGACAAGCGGGCGCAGGCGAAGTACAAGGCAGAATATGAAGTGTGGCGGAGTTCTGGCTCAGGGCCAGTAGAAGAACCGACAAAGCCTCCACCTCAAGATAGCATTGTGAATCGCATGACTTGGGTGGGTTTGGGCCAACACATGCACCAACAAGATGGCTGCGCCATCTTAGCTCTGCACGAAGGACGTACGTTCCTCCAGCACACATTCGAAGGATCTGTGGGTGGCGGCATCGAAGAATTGAACCAGCTAAGCGATCATGACTGCTATAAGAACACCATTTCTTCACAAAGCGGCAGATACTGGGTTAAAAACCCGCATCTCATTGCATTGGTGATGATGCACTGTGAAGAAATAGTGCAGCAAGCTTCCCAAGAAGATTCTGTGGCTGGCCTGTCCCGTTTTCTGCTGGCCAAATTCCCGTGTCGTGTGTTGAAGATCCGCGACCCGCAGTCCGCAGAGCAAGCGCAGAATGAGCTGGATGAGTGTTTCAATTCTTTGGGCTATGATCAGGTGGTGTCAGCTATGGCACACGTGCTCACAATCAGCAAGTTGCTCTTCCCGCACAATGAAGCACGCGATGATGATGCAGAGCACCGCTGCTTCTCACATGTGAGTGGCTTACACACCATGCCATTCGCTGCGTCAGTGAAACAGCAGTTCATCAACACTTTTAACAAGTACGTTGACAAGGTGCGCGCTGACCAGAAAGTGTTGGGTGGTCAGAGCAGCCGGCTGAACAAGGAGAAGACCAGGGCCTTGCGGTTCATCGCTCCTTTAGATGTCTTTGAAAAGGTGATCGCTTGGCTTTTGCAGAAGGATGGGCACAGGCTGACAGAGGGGCAGGACACTGAGCTCAGCGGCGAAGAGATCATCCGGTCTCTGGCGCATGTGAGAAGCTCAGTGCATATTGAATGTGACGTGACTGGAAAGTTCACAGCAGGATGTTCTCAGAATGTGAGGGCACCCGGACTGTTTGCAAACTATTTCTGATAGCTGCGCATTTTCTGAACGGTATCCGCGCCAGTGCGCCCATAGACATGTGAACATCACCCATAAAAGATGCCGCGGCCGAAGGCCATGTCATGGACATGTGAAAAGCTACTGTGTGTGACTAAGGTGAACATAGAGCAAGTTGCCACTGTTTTCAAGCCCTCACAGATCCATCCTTCCGCGACGACGGAAGCTGTGGAGACGGCAGTGGAGCTTGGCAAGTGGTTCCACGCGAGTTTCCAGAACACTGTTGGGGCTCGTGCGTTGGTGAGCGAGTTCAAGACTGAGCGCAGCAACATGATTCTCTTACCTCGTCCTTGCGTGAAAGAAGCTGCCGGCCTCATTTCGCATGAGACGCGTGCGCATGTGTGCCTCGTTGTATTCACAGGGCGGGTAGTTAGAGTCAAAAGGTCAGCATTGGGCAGGTGCGCGGTTGGGCTGCCCAAGAAGCAGGGGTGCAATTAGGGATAGGCTGCTGTCATGACCGGGGTTTGGAACTTGCTAAGGAATATTGCAGCTGCATTGGAGTGTCTTTCTTTGAAGACATGGACCTTGAAGGCTTTCGCCTTGAATGCAGAGCACACCGCGGCACAAGTGCGGGCCAGACTTCTAGACCTTTTGATTTTAGCGATGATGGGTTTCGTCGTCATGGGCTGCGGCCGCTACGCTCTAGTTGGGTATGCCGAGGATGACGAGGATTTTGTCATTTGCTGCAACAGGCCTGAGCAGCGCAAGTGCACTTCGATAAATCAAAATGTCTTGCGTGTCTGTTTTGCCGTCATGTTGTAGAGAGTCTGCAAGGCCGCTGGCAAAGTTGCAAGAGATAATCTAGAATAAGTTGGTCCACGTAGCCTTGAGGGAGCCCTCTAAATGTAAACACAAGTCGAGGCATGAACTTCAACCCTATAGCATGCTAGCGCCAGGCTCACCAGTTGGGATGCTGAAGCTGATCTTGCTGCTGTCCGGTCTTGGGTACCAATCAGTGGAGCAGAGAAGCCGAAGCTGGACCAGGATGCATGTGATGATGCCATATCGTGCATCCACCGTCTTCTGCGGGGGGAAGCTGCAAATGTGGACGGATGTCGAGATGTGTTCATGGTGGATCCTCTCGTGCCTACGCAAGCGTGTCCGGCGCCAGAGACGGCAGTTCCCTTGACGCAGGAGGCTGTGGACGATCAGGCCCCGCCAGCAAAGAGGTTGCGGCGAGAGAAAGACTTGTGTCGCGATGACTTCTCCACCAATATTCCTTTGGCAAAGAACATACTTCTGTACCTACTGAAGTCAGCAGCCTCAAGGGTGACTGTGCGGGTGATACTGGATGTCACAAAGCTGAGGCAGTGTGCTCAGGCAGAGGAATTGGAAGCGATGGCTCGCAATGTGTTTCGCTTGGGAGCTGAGGCAGGGTTGGCTTCCTTAGGCCCTCAAGGTGGCACCTGGACTGGCGTAAAGCCGCCTCCTGAGCATGAAGCCGCAGTTGTGACACTTCTGCGAGAGCTGTTTGAGAATAACATGCAGGGGGTGGAACCAGCTATAAGGAAACGTGGAGTGGCAGAGATCTTTGACATGGGTAAGTGTGAAGCGGCTTTGGCATTGTTGCGCTAAGCAGCACCGGTGTGTGCGCTGTGTAGTGTCCAACAGGGCGCGCAACATGGAGCGTGCGCTGCGCGCGGCAGGAATCAGTCCCTGTAGGAGCACATGGTAGTCGAACCAGTTTTGTTGCCTTAAGGGGGGTTGGCTAGCCACCCGCACGTATTAGCACGGCAATTTGGGGCTGGCTAGCCGCCTCATTTTGGGAATTTGATTTTTTGAAATTACATTGTCGTGTGACCATGACGGAGGCATAAGGCTGAGGGCATGCTGGTTTTGTCGCAGCAGCGCAGCAAGTGCATGGGAAACGCCGCTTTGTGTTGCGATGGTGGAGCGCTGACAAAGGCGTAAACAGAACAGGTCTTCTAAGGAATTGTGCGGGGCCACGTAGGTTCCACAGTTCGCATGTTTCAGAAGCATAGTGCCGTCATATTTGCAAGACCAGCAAACAATATAAATGAAAGCAAGCTCCTAAAATTGTAGAAACCAGTCACTGCGCTAAGCAACATAAGACCCACATAGACCCACTGTTCTGATTGTTGACAACAGCCTGTCCTCAGAATCTCACGCCCGGCAAGCCATCGCTGTGTCCCTGCCATGTCGCATGTCCACGTTGAAGTGGTGACTGGTGAGCGACACACCGTAACCACCGCGCAGCGGCAAGCTGTGGAAATGGAGACCAAGTGCAAGATCTCCTTGAGAGCGAGAAAAGGGCAGAGGCAGCTTCGCGTGGAAGGCAGTGTTTTTGGTGTCCAACTGGCAAGGAGAATGATGCACGAACTCATGTTCGAAGGACTGGATTTCAAAGTTTTTGTTTGGGCCGCGGGGAGGCGACTGGGAAGGCTATAGCCTCCCCAAAGTCTAGAGCAAATAAGTTGCAAATTTCAGAGAGCAGTTAGAGTCTGCCAACATTGCATGGTAGGACGGAGGCTGACAACGACATCGCCCAAGAGTGTTCCTGCTGTGTCGGGCACTGCGGCTTTGCCACCACCATGGCGAGCAGCTCCTCCGGTTATGCCTCCACCACCGAAGAGATGTACCTTGGCTGATAGTTCAAACATTTTGGGTTGATGTTGCTTTGTTTGGAGAGACACTTACTTTTGCCCGGGAATAAGTTTGAGGTGTGGGCTTTCAATGCGCTTAAACATTGCGCAGGTCGATTGGCGGAGGATGCCACACCACTTGGAGCCTCAGCATCCAGCAGCGCTGTGCCCGCGTCAGCGAGGACCGCACCAGCTGCCCAGACCATGCCCGCTGCATTGCGTGGATTTAGCTTCACCTTCCATGTGTTTGGGGTACAGCACATAGTTGGAGGCGACTACCCAATCCGAGTGGACTGCAACGATTTCAACGACCCCTATAGGAATCCTGAGCTGCATGCTCACCCTGGATGGCACTCGCAAACCCTGTGGAATTGCTTTCGCAGCGAGAGCTGGGAAAATCTATTGAGGAATTTGTTCCGTTGGATCCGGGACGAAGCCGCGCCTGGACAGCATCTCTTTGGGATTTTTTGTACGACCGGACGTTACAGGAGCGTTGCGGTGGCGTGGCTTCTGGAAGAGGTTTTGAAGCAGATGAGTGCAGACAGGATCACCGTCCAATATCTGGCAAGGGAGGCGGGCGAATGGAGCCACCTTTGTAGCAATTGTGAAGATTGCCAAGAGGACAATCCGGCAAAGCAAGAGCTGAAGAGAGCTCTAGCAACTCAACTGACGGAGCTGTGGGCCGAATTGATGCGAAAATGGTGAGCGTGTCATGAGCAGGCTAGCCGCTCAGGAAGCAGCCAGTGGCTCAGGGGTTAAAGTTTAAAGGCACATACGGGAGACAGGTGGCTAGCCCCTGGTCAGTGTACAGTGTATATAATATAGATATGTCTAGGAACTAAAACTGTCCGCGAAAACCTGTGTGTAGAGTGCATGGGCAGATGAAACCAAAGAACGTCCTCAATGACAACGTTAGAAAGCAGGTTCGAGAACCGAGGATCGAGGATCGAGAACGAAGGATCGACAATAATGATACGAGGTTGTCACTTGTCAGCTTGTGAAAAGTCTTTCGGAATGAATGCAATGAAGCGGGCAGAGAAGCAATCATGATCCACCTGGCAATGCCATGCCGCAGCGGCTCGGTACAGTACCGCATACCGAACCAATAAATATAAGGGTATATCCAGCAAGATGCCGTACCAGGCAGCAATTACGCAAAGATGTCCTACAAGGAATCAAAATCAAGGTACTGCATGCACAGCCCCCTCGACCTGTACTGTGCATGTCAACCTCGACGCAGGTGTCACCGGGGAGTTCAGTATACCTCATCCTGAAAATGATCCAGCCAGCATCACTGTACTAGATAGTCCCCCCATAGCACCCACTGGGTGCACGCTACTGGGTGCCCGGGTCCACTACGCTAGTTACATGCGAAAGGCCCTAGCCAATGCCTACGTCTCGCCTACGCTGAAACTCTCGCTAGAAGGGTATCTGTGCACGAGCACTTTCTTGCATGCTGGCCACACAGCATTTGACCAAGGGCCAGGGAGCACCCCGGAAGGGATCCAAGGAGCAATCAAAACACCGCAGCCACAGAGGGGAGGAGCGAAACTTTATAGGCACTGAGCCCCTGCTCGACATGCATGAGACCTTTGCCAAATATATCTGGCTCAAGATCTCGCTCAAGGTGCCTGGTGTAAAGGAGGAACTTTGAGTCTGACTTACTTTGGGCTTTTCCATGCCGCTTGACGAGAATCGAGAATCGAGAATCGAGGATCGAGAATCCAGAATCGAAAATCAAGAATCGAGAATCGAGGAGCGAGGATCGAGGATCGAGGATCGAGAATCGAGGATCGAGGATCGAGGATCGAGGATCGAGAGTCGAGAGTCGAGAATCGAGAATCGAGAATCGAGAATCGAGAATCGAAAATCAAGAATCGAGAATCGAGAATCGAGGATCGAGGATCGAGGATCGAGAATTGAGGATCGAGCATCGAGGATCGAGAATCGAGAATCGAGGATCGAGGATCGAGGATCGAGGATCGAGGATCGAGGACCGAGAATCGAGAATCGAGGATCGAGGATCGAGGATCGAGGATCGAGGATCGAGAATCGAGGATCGAGGATCGAGAATCGAGAATCGAGAATCGAGAATCGAGGATCGAGGATCGAGAATCGAGAATCGAGAATCGAGAATCGAGAATCGAGAATCGAGGATCGAGGATCGAGGATCGAGGATCGAGGATCGAGGATCGAGGATCGAGAATCGAGAATCGAGAATCGAGGATCGAGAATCGAGAATCGAGGATCGAGAATCGAGAATCGAGAATCGAGAATCGAGAACATGGCTTGTCAAGCCGGGTCTGAAATATGTTGTCTATTTCCTGCAGAATTTCTGCGGTTTTGCGGAATACCCGTCGGATCTTCTAACATGTTTAACTAATAGATGTCAATAGTAAAATCACAATGTTCATCAATTTTGAATATGTTCAATAGGTAAATCGTGGATGTTTTTTTTCAGGTGAACCTGATGAGCATCTCAAAAGACAATGTCCCAAAATGAGCGGGGCTGAAACAAATCACTCCTCCAACACTTTATGGCACTGGACTGCCAAGGGAAAGAAAAGGGAGCAATGTGGAGCAATGATGAGCAATGTGTCAAACAAAGCAGATACAGAGGGTCCACCAGGAGGCGCTTCGGAAATTCCAGCCCGGCCTGGGACCAGTTGTCCTCGGACCCTTTCGGCCGGCGGCCAGCGCTCGCGCTGCCAGCGCCAGCGGCCCAAGGGTCCGCGTTGAAGAGCGGATCGTCAGTGGAATGTCCATTGGATCCGTTGGCCTGGAGCAGTTCTTCTGCTGAGCTTCAGAATGCTGAGCTGAGAAACTGCTGGTGAAAATCGAACACATGGATTTGTGTTTAATGTTTTTTTTCGTCTTAAAAAAGATGTAAACATACATGGAGAATTGAAAAATGAGACATTTTAAGGGGGAGATCACTCAGTGGGTTGATTGAAAGGACCGTACACTGAACGAAACCTCCGTTGAATTCGGGGATTTCCCAGTTAGCCATCTTTCATTACCATCTAGTTAGATGATTTCTCAACATGACCATTTTCCATAGCTGACTGTTAAATATGCCAGAGGGTAAACCCAATCTTCCCGGATATCGTAGACAACCATTCTTGTTGGTTAAGTCCTTGTTGGTTGTTGACTTTATCCTGTGGCTCAAAACCATAATTAGATCCCCATTTTGCTGTTCAATCAGAATATTTTTGTTGGTTAGCCTCTGGTAAACATACAAAAAACTATGGGAAATCACCATTTTTAATGGGTAAATCAGCTATAAATGGGTCATGTTCAATAACTATGTTAGTTTACCAGAGGGTAAATCCCTGGCGAAATCAGATCGGTCGCCTTGCTCCAGGGATCGTTGGACATCAGCGGATCCTCGTGCCACGCAGCGCCATAACCCTGGGATACCTGCGGCGTTCAGCAAAATGAAAAATGAGGAACAGTCAGGAACCATACCCTCTGGTAAACTAACATAGCTATATTGAAATGGCCAATTTATAGATGATTTACCCACTGAAAATGGTGATTTTCCATAGTTTTTTGTATGTTTACCAGAGGGTAAAGCCTGGGATTTGGACATCCAAAATGATGATTTTCTTGCTGGAAATATGGCGCTGGGACATGATTCAACCATATTCAACCATCAAACATTGGGATTTTGAACCAGGAGACATGAGGGAATTTTACGATCAACAAATGCGATTGAACGAGCGCATAGGAAGAATTTAACCGGACCAGAAGTATTCAAAAGATATGATTCAACTAACAAACATGGAAAATCAAGTTACCTATAATATACATATATATATATTTATATGTGTGTGTGTGTGCGTGTGTGTGAATGCATCTGCGTATGTAAATGTACATATATATATATGCATATGCATCCCAGTTTCTCACGGATTAATGCAAGTCATAAGTTCATACGAAACATGAGGAAACCGTGGTGTTTCACATTTTCAAAAAATGTGTTCCATGAATGGAAGGCGCACTGCAGCTTTGGCTTACATAAATACATAGAAATATGTGCCACATCCCACAATATCCCACACTATCATTGGGATTCATTGGGTGAACCCACAAAGAGCCCCGAGTTTTTGCGAATGATGTTCCAATCTTAGATGGCTACCAGTAGTCAGCTGGTTTCATTTAAGGGAAAACAAACACACCCACACACAAAAAAAATACTGTAATATATATATATGTGTGTGTATATGCATATATGTATAAGAAGCTTCTGACCACACGGTCCGGGCACACAATGCATCACAACCTCATGAACTGTTTAGCCAGCTTCTCTCCCTCTCTGTCTCCCAAGGTTTTTTGGCCTTGAAAGAATTGTGCACAATCCTGCACACATGATTCTATTTCTATAATCAAACGTGGCTAGATGGGAAATCCCCACACTAAATGAAGGTTTATAGGGAAAATCATCGAACTAAATGGTGTGTATAAGGGTTCACAACTCCAAAATCTGGCCATTCGGAGGCAAATTCCCCTGGAACCATGAATCACCGCATTGGGGGAGGTTCAACCGCCCTGTTTACAGTCAACAAACAAACTGATGAGCTTGCATTTCTCCAAGCATACGTGGTGCGAAAATCTACTACCCAAACAAATACTCCATTCACCAAGGTTTCTTCAATTTTGGAAAGGGACAAAGCCACTGGAAACACTATCCATCCCAGCCTTGGAATCCTTGGAGGACCACTGCTCCTCGGGCCATTTTTGTTCCTTCTCCTGGGCAACCAGTTTCATCCAATGGCGGGAACCTGCCTGCGGTGGCTATGCCTTAGTAAAGGGCTAAATCCGACAATAAGATAAGCATCGAAAAATTCAAGTTTGCCACTGGGGGAACATTATTTTTAAAGGGAGGATTTATATTATACAATGTCCATCTATAATGGCAATATTATGATCAACATTATGATGACCAATATTATGGCCAAGGTAGGATCATGAAAGCAGCGGCCGGCCGGTTGAGTTTCCAACCACTGCCACAACGGCAACGATTGAAGCTTGCTCCAGCTATTGAAATCCATTTGGGATACTTTACACATTCCCATTTCGGCCAGGCCGTGAAGAATCACATGTACTAACAATCATACTCCCCATAGCAAGAAAAGACCAAACTAGATCCATCTAGATCCCATTGGGATCCCATGAGCCTATCCGTTTCAAAGGTTCCCCCCCCATTGAAGGGGGACATGCCTCCCAACGCCACAGCTTCCCACCTGGTTCTCCTTCGAACGGCCCTTCTTTGCGTTCTTGCCACCTTTCTTGGAGCCAGCTCCGCCTTTGCCCTTGTCCTCGGTCGTGAAAAAATGTGATATGCAAACCAATGCCATTTATGGCATGCCCAATAATCAACCAGAAATGAGATGAAACAAATGGTAAATAGCAATCCCCACTTGGAGCTTTCTGGCATTTTATGATATTTTATGGCATTAAACACTAGATTAGCATACATTAAATAGTTGTGCATGACCTCTATGACCCTATGAAATCTATGAACTATATATTTAATTGTGGCAGATATAGATGTTGGCATCCAAAATCCACCCAGATCCTTCACTTGGATCATCATCCTCGTGCCTTTCTAAGGCTTTCCAGAGTCATGGGGGTACCCAATAGCTGGATGATGACTGGGGGTACCTGCATGGCTTGGGAAACCTCAATATATATATATACATATATATATATAGATAGATAGATAGATAGATAGATTATATATATATATATATCCCAAATTTTCAGCCCCTAAAATGGACCGGGAAGCACCATGTCTTCCCATGTCAGCCCTGAGTTCCGGGCAGAACTTGGCTCCTCGAAGACTGCTTCGAAGTTCTGAAAACCTGCGGCCCACGGGCCCGGTGCTCCCAGGATTCCACGAGCACCAGGGACCACTTGGAGGATCCTAAGGATCGTAACTGGTTTAGGAACCATAGTTACAAATGTAGATGGGAGAATCCTCCAAGTATCCCATAGCATCACAAAGAGGCAGCCACACTTCCAAACTACATCAAACTACCGGGCCGCAGAGCACCAGTTCATGGTTTGCGATCGTTAATTTAAGGCAGTATATCCTAGAACACGTTAAGATTTATTAAGATGTTATTAAATCATTCTCAAACCAATCAATAGTATTCTATAGCTAGGTCATTTTTCCTGGTGAGCCATCCCATCATGGGGTCAGCTTAAAGCAATCTATAGCTAGGCATGGTCAGCAGGGTCCAAGTGGTTGATGTTTTCATGATGTTTCACCATATGGCTAGTCAAAATATGTCAAAATTGGATATCCTATGTACTTAGATGGTCAATACATGTCAATTCAAAACAGATATATATACTAAGAATTAAGATTTGTGGTCCCATAGGCCTTAGATTTTGACCCATCTCCATCGTTTCGATGTTGCATCCTAGAATATCTGGAATCACTCGTCCGATCGACTTTCAGAGTGACAAAAGCATGGTCGGACATGTGATGAGAATTCCCATGCACATATCAAACATGATGTTTGCCAACAGTGCTATATACTGGAAGCCAATGGGAAATTTGCATCAACGTGTGGTATTTCCATTGCGTAACAGTTCCCGTTAAAACGTGGTGGTTTTTATTCACCACTCTCACGCACCATTCACTCAACCAGCAACATATCTAAATATAACTAAGCAACCATCAACATCCATCAACATCCATCAACATCCATCAACATCCATCAACATCCATCAACATCCATCAACATCCATCAACATCCATCAACATCCATCAACATCCATCAACCACACGACATTTATGAATTCCCATTGGATAACGGTCCACTAAGCAGCAACAGATCCCGGTAACCTGTTGGATCCTGGGATGAGGGGTAACATAGATGTGGACCAGCCATGGAGAGTTACCCCTTCGGATATACGGAGCCAACCAAAAGGATCTACGTTTATGGTGGATGTTCCAAAGTTTGTTATTTTTCTGAGGGTAACCAACAAACAATGTAAAATGTTACCCTCTGGCAAATTTAATATAGCTATGGACACCCCCCGCAGAAAATCACATTGATCGATGAGTTTCATTGATTTCACACTGAAAATCACTGAAATCTAAAGACTCCGAATTTTCGATCGAAAGTTACCATTTTTTGGCGAAATGCTAGCGACGCAGCGGCGCTTTTTTCCGACCCCGCCTGAGACATCAGGTGCCGTTGGCAGGTTGCCTGGCCCATTTTTTGGTGCCGCAATGGGGCGATGTTTTTTAGCTGCAAAGGACTTGAGGATATGGTGAATTTAATCTCATGTGATGCGAGATGATCGGATATTTTATTGAACATAAGATTAAATATGATTAAATTCACCATATCCTCAAGTCACCAGGTGAACTATGGTGAATTTTGAACTGGAACTGCTGAAACTCCGGGACAAAAGCCATGGCCATCCATGGCCCATTTAGTTCGAAGACTTACCGACTTGAGATTCGTGTGCTGTTCCATAGCTATGTAAAATCACTAAAGGGTATGGGCAATATAAGTTGTATAATGCGGATATGATGGAATATCGTCATCAATGGGATCTATAGGATCTATAGAAATGAGTATCTATCAATGAGATAGTATATATTTCTGTCATCAAACATGGCTAGCTAGGAAATCCGCCATTTTCCATGGAGGTTTGTTCAAGGGAAAATCGACCTGAATGGTATTGCTCTGTTTCATCGTCATATGTCTCGTTACCGAGGGGGGAAGTCACCATTGGGATATGACATATGTATGGGATATGATGGATCATGAGGATAGGTTTGAATAATGTTGAATATATATATATATATATTCATCAATAGGGATCTAGCGTATGGGAAACTTATGGGACATAAATGAAATATATTGATCACTGGGCATGTGGGATATATGGGATATATGGGCTGCACCAACCAACCGCTAACATAGGAACTCCATTCTATGCATCCAGCCTGTGGACATGATCTAAACCTCAAGATGGAGATTTAACAAAGAAAAACAAAGAACAGGATGTTTAAACGTGAATTGACTAAGAAAAGTGGGAGTGCCGAAACTAGATTCTATCAACAAAAACAATCATTTGACCAATAAATAGGACACATATCCATTTTTTCCAGCAAGACTCTACATGGAAGCGATGTGTTCTGCCATCCATAGCGGACACCTGTCAATTTTCCGGCAAACCAACAGGTGGTTTCTGGCCCCTTGTGAACAGCTGCCTCCAATAAAAGAAACCTATACGACATTATAAATATATATATATACATATTATGACTAGATTTGTTGCATAAGCTCTCAATTCGGAACGTTCGGAACGCTGTTGGTGGTTGAGCCCTCCCACAAATTCCATCCTTCTGCTTTCGATTCAAATTGAGGCTATCTCAGTGTGAAGACTACAACAAAATGGCGCGTTTTTTGTGTGAGACGCACATCTGCCAGGGCCAAAACATGGTTCATTTCCTCATCGAAGGGGATGATCATCCCCGGTATACGCATTACAGTAACTGAAGAACCCAATTCATCTCACAATATCCAACATGGTTGCATTGTTTGTTGGCTAGTGTTTTATGTAACATCACCATCATTAAACCACCACCCCATGGTTAATCCAAAAGCACACTACATTAGGAATATCATATCATATCATATCATATCATATCCAGACAAATGGCACCACACAGTGGTTAAATACCATTGCCATCCATTGCCCATATCCAAAGAAAATAATGGATTCAGATCATTTAGTTCCATGATTTATAGTACCTAGAAAACATATCAAAAAATGATGGTTGTTCCGTAGAAAACTGGTAAATGCCCATACGAAATCCCATTGTTACATTGTTTGTTGGTTACCCAAGAAAACGAACCTAGCTGGTATAGCTATGGAAAATCCATAGATGTAGATCACCCGAAATCCACCTGGTTCAGCGACAAGTCCAGGTGCACCTCAAGTCATGGGCTACCCATCTGGTTTCATGGATTTGAATGCTACTTGATAATAAAATGGGGATATACCATGGCTATTGTATCATGATTATACCATAGTAATGGTGTTTAATTGGATTTGATATGATTTAATTAATATGTTTGAATGCTACTTGATGAGGATTTTTTATGGGGACATACTGATATACCCAACAATAGTGGGATATCATTGATATCATGATTACTGGGGAATCAAAAATGGCTAGCTGAGAAATCCCGGAGGTCTGAATGGAACAGTTATCTGTAAATGAGGGATTTTCCAGCTAGTCATGTTTGATTCAAAGGAATTAATGGGCTAGCCACCAAACGAAGCAGAAAAGGTAGGTTTGATCACGATCTTTTGAGGATATGATATGTTTGATCTGCTTTGGGGCGTGCTAATACTATAAATATGTAAACTCATCTCCTCAATAACCTGTTTGTTCTTGCGAAAACTCATCCCGATGTTTTTCGCCAGATTGCCACAGGCTCCTTGCCCAATTTTTCGACCGGTGATTGATGTGCTTATATACACATGAACATATTCGACATGCATGCGTAATCGATTGTAATTGCATACGTATTGTATACATATATATATATGTATATATATATGTATATATATATGTATATATGTATGTGTATATATATATATATGTATGTATGTATGTATGTATGTATGTATGTATGTATGTGCATATGTATATGTACATGTACATGTACATGTATATGTATATGTATGCACTGTATGTATGTATGTATCTGTGCATGATGTGGATAATTACAGTAGTTGCATCTGCATGCCCAATCTCTCTCTCTCTCTTCAATGCCTATCTGCCCAAAACATCCCAAAACAATGCTGGACTGCGCCTCCAAGATGTCACAAAAGTTGATTCCAAAAAATTATCCGCCTGCCCTCCATGTGGCAAACCATAGGCATTTCCGATCCCAAAATCTTCCCAAATCACCATGTTGATGCATATCTGATGCATATCTGATGCATATCTGATGCATATCTGATGCATATCTGATGCATATCTGATGCATATCTGATGCATATCTGATGCATATCTGATGCATATATTTGTATTCTTTTGGGTGGGTGAATATGTTAAATCGATTCAAATCGCCCATCTGAAAACCATTACAGTCGATTACGAGATCATCCCAAATCACCCAACCGTTGCTCCATCAGCCGTCAATCACCACGGCTTGGCTATAGTGGAATGGCATTGAAATGCCAATGGTTTCACATAGTTTCCTCCGATCAAACCAATATACCATCTGGTTATTTAACAGTTTGCCATGGAAAATCACCATTTTTAATAGGTAGACCATCTATAAATGAGCCATGGCTACCATGGCTATGTTAAATAACCAGAGGGTAAACCAATCAAACTCACATTTATTGGCTGCTGCAATGTCGGCTTTTTTTATTCAACGGATTGGGAACATAGGGGGAAATCTACAGAAAACCCATGGGTTCAATTTTTACATGTTTTTTTACCATCAAAATATACCAGGGTGTCCGGTGTTAATTTTCCCAACAAAACCAATCGAGTGTTATTTTAAGGTTCCCCACGTGGAGGTGTCCAAAAATGTGGGATACCCATGACGACTGGATTGTTTGGGGCTGCCCCTATTTTAGGAAACCTCCATGTCTATCATGCGGTTGGGAAACTCACACCGTAGCTCCGAGTAGCTCCCTATTTCATGGGGAATATGGCATATGGATTCCCCTAGCTCCTTAGCTCCCTCCTGTCACCAGTGGATGGATGTTATTCCATGTTATTCCCATGGTTTCGAAAGATCTTTCACAGCACACGTTGCTGAGGCGTTAAGGCGCCGCACCGCGCTCCGAGAGGGGCTGCAAGGCGTCGGCATTGACCCAGCCCCTGGACGGAAGTTAGCCCGTTGAAGGTACATAGATGTGGAAAACCCATGGAGAAACCCTTGGAAAATGATGCACAAATGCTGGGTTTTGCAATATTTTCCTCATCTATGTAAACGTTTACCCTGGGGTACCCTTTGATTATTTAACAGTTTGCTATGGGAAATTACCAATTAGTTATTTAGTTCGGTGAATTGTGATGATTTGCCGAACTTAAACATCGTGATTTTCCCCATAGCTACCTTAAATTACCAGAGGGTACTCTTTGATTATTTTTCACTGATGGAATGCCCTTCCGTAACCAAACAATATCAAACATGACTGATCATGACGGGCTTTGGTAACTTAACAAAACCATTCAAAATTATCAACTTGTGTATGATTTACCTACTAAAGTGTAAATACTGGTGAAATGATAGGATATATACATAATTATACATGTATAGTCTACAGTATTGTTTAAAGTTTAAATGTGTTATTGACCACTCTCCCATAATCAGTCACATGGCTTGCTGAAATCCTCCATTTAGTTCGATGATTTTCCCATTAAAACAAACCTCCATTTAGTTTTTGGGGTTTCCCAGATAGCCATGTTTGATTACCGGGTGTATGTGAATTCCATTTAGGATAGAGAGGAAGAGGGAAAGAGTTTTGACGGATATCTATATTCATAGCTACGTAGAGTACACACACACACACATAGCACTAAATTTGATCAATCGTTGGGGTCAATTGGTGCAAGAAAACAAGTTAAAGTTCATCTATATCCATGAATCCCAATCCCAAGAATCACCAGTGGCGATTCAAAGCATTTCTGAAACACCCTATATTTTCGGATTCCAAGTGAGATATAGGTCATTTGCTGGGCTGAATCATCATAATTCACATGAAAAATCAAGCCCTTTATGAAGGATACTTACCCCAATCCAATTCCATCCGGGAACAAACCCTCCAATAATTTAACAGTGTGCCATTGAATATGGCCCTCGTTATAGCTCGTTGATTTACCGAACTCACCAAAAAATATGGTGATTTTCCCCGTCGCTTTTTGGTATCGAGGATGGTAGGAACCATATACAGACAGCCACATGCTATCTTTTTACATATGTCCGTGCTGTAAATGCACAAAAATATCCATGTATCTATAGAAATTCTATAGAATCACAGGGGTCTTCCCAAATCGTGGAAAATAAAGGAGTCCATGAATGCTCACCCTGACAACCGCCATGAATTCCAAACATATTATAATATTGTTGTTTCCAACAGGAAGCACGAGCCACATCTCATCATCAAAATCATATCTTTTGACATTGTATAACAACAACAATAGAAGAATAGCAATACACAACAAAAATAATAGCGAACAATAAAATGGTTCTGTAAAGAATGATAACAGTGTGATCAATTTTTTTGGCCCAATGATTAATATATGTGATATGTAGGCTAAACTCACTAATACTGTACCTGGCAAACTCGTCACAATAATATCCAATAATGATATGTTTAAAAATATCAACAGTAATAGTAACACTTGCGTGTGCGTGATAAAATTGTGCAAATGACATGGTAAGGCACAAGATAATAGCTTCAGATATGCTCAGCAAATTGGTTGTTGTTTTCTCAGAAAGCTCTTTTATATGTGATGTTCGAAAAACACACACCAGTTTCCTACCTTGATAGCCATGATCCATTGATACCCCATGTACAGTAAATGGAGATTTCCATTGGGATACCCGGCCTGGTTATGACTAACGGTTCGCCATGGTAGCCATGGCCCATTTATAGATGGTTTACCCATGGCTATGTTAAATAACCAGAGGGTACTGATATTCCATTGATTCCCCCGGTGCCGACCGCAATCGACCGCACCTCGGCTTGATCGGAACGCGCGCCACGCGCGTTCCGACAAGAACACCCTCCGGACCGGGCTGATTCACACGCAGCACAGTGCCTGTGGAACCAATGATGATAGCGCAGTGATGTCCAAAATTTGATGCTTTAAGGGGAATATTAAGGGACATTAAGATTACATTAAGGGGAATATAATACCAATCATAATATGTAGCAACGGAATCTCATTGGCGTGGTTCAAGATGGTTTAGGGGGAATATTAGGCTTGAAACATGTTGAAATGTTCGGTGAAATATGGGGTGAAAACATGTGAAAACTGTATATAATGTGTCCCTTCAATTCTCGAAGAATCAAGCGTGGGTAGCTTGGGAGTAAGCCATCAAAACAAATTTGACCATGCATCATTCAACAAGACAACCTATCATGCGGTTGGGAAACTCATACCGTAGCTCCTCGTATGGGTACCGCTGCTTAGCCCTGATGTTCACCCTGCGAATTCAGCAACCAGTGGGTTGGTAGGACAGGACGCTGGGCGACCCGGGGTCTGTTGCAAACATCTGCAAATATGGCATGGTTTGTAGAGATATTCCTCCAAAATGATAGTTAAAGAAAACAATGTTGGACTGCAACTTGTTTTGCTTAGCCATTCTTAAGTACTGTTCATGCGAGTAGCATCAAATATCAGTTATAGCTTTTCAAGTGCATCCTTTCCTGCATAGCCTTTTTGATGGAACATGACCAAAATGTGCCGGCCCTTGGGTCCCTTGGGTCTGCTTATTTCGGACGAGCTCATTTCACAGCCAGGCTTTCCAAGGGCGTCGATGCGCAAGATCTTTCAGACATATGCTGTATATCACATGCATTTACGTGACACGTTTAATATATATATATATATGTGTGTGTGTGTGTGTATGTATATATCATTTTATATATATAATTATATATATATATGTGTATATATGCGTGTGTAATCGTGTGTATATGTATATATATATGTGATTATATAATTTTATATATACATGTTGCATAGATATTCAGTGCCATAGTACCTTACCAATCCTTACCAAAAAGAAGATTTGATCGGAGACATCGCCGCAAACACCCGAACACCCGGCCTGACAACGTCACCATGTTGCCAGCCTGGGAAAAGTTGGGACGCTGGGACGCCCATGGAGTGACCGGCCTCTTGATTTTCTTGGGTTTTTAGCTGGTTTGGCACACTATGAATTCCACCAAAAAAAACAGAACTAACCACATCATTTATCTCAGAATGCTTGTAAAAGTCGGGGTGACTGAGTTTCTGCTCCAGTACTTTAGCAGCCATCCGCTGCTTTACAGCCTGGAATTGCCAATGCTCCCAGGCTCCCAGAGCACAAGTTTGACATGATCTCCGGTCACCTATCAAAATTCCATGGTTTGCCTTTGTTTGCCATCATCATACTATATATCTTTCCCAGTTATCACTTGCCACATTCTGTAACAGTGAGAAATTTCGCAAGATGCCATCAGTTGGACACCTGGAAAGTATGGGCGTCTTTCTGGGTCGTGCTATGCGTGCCATGCCATGCCATGAGCGCCATCTCTGCCGTGGGGCTCTAAGCGTGTAGAGGAAGTTGCTCTGTGGGTTTGCCGCCTGGCACCCAAAAAAAATGATCTTTGCTGGGCAGAAGTGCAATTTTTTTGGGTAATATATGGTAATATCCCAATAGTTGGGGTAAATATCCCAATAGTTGGGGTAAATATCCCAATTTTTTTTGGGTAATATCCCAATAGTTGGGGTAGTGTCATATCATCCACTCCAACATCCAGTCGCAGCTACAATCTGTGTACAAATCTGAGCATCATCTGATCATCATTGTGTTTCAGATTTGAATGTTACCCTCTGGTTATGACTAACAGTTCGCCATGGTAGCCATGGCCCATAGAAATAGATGGTTTACCGTTCTTAATAAAGGTGGATCTTTCCATGGCAAAGTGTTAGTCATAACCAGATGGAATCGCAGTCATATTCCAGGATGCCTTTTTTCCAGCTGGACCAGGCCGTGGGGCGTGTTTTTCAGTAGCTGGACCATCACGGTACCCGGTAACTCACCAGAAAATGGCCGCTGAACTCCGGGGAAAATTCCCAAAAAAAGCAGAGGTTTTTCGCGACACCCGAATGAACCTACCCAGATGCAATAGATCAAATATGATCAAACAACTGTTGAATGATCCGATTTTTAGGAAAATCCTCCCCTTTTGGAGCCATAAATATCAATTGCTGATTGGAAAATTTGGAAACCCTGCAGGCTCTGGTGGAAAATGATCGAAAACAACAGCCCTCAACCTGGGAGTCATGCTGCCAATGTTTGGCCCTTGTTGGGAGCACCAGGCTGGGAGCCACCTTAGGTACCTATAAGGAGCAAGGAGCAATTTAGGGATTTTGGTATGGTTGCCCTAGATGAAACATGTCTAGTGGAAGAAATCTCTCCCAAAATATGCTGCTGCATGAGCCACATGCTGGTGGTTTCAACCACGACATGTGAAAGTCAATTGGGGATCATAGTGGAGTAAAAGTAGACATATTTTCACCAACTTGAAAAGCACGTTCTTGTCGGGTTTATCTGCGAAATTGTCATGTTTGTTGTTCATTCTGCCTCCCCCCAATATTCAATACCCCCCAAAACGGTTGATAGGATTGCCCCATCCGTCTGGAAAACTCCGACCCTCAACGGTCCCCAAAATCCGCACCTGTCTAACCTCCACATCGCCAACGGCTCGGAAGGGCATGCCCTCCTGCACGGCTGCGGTAACAACCACCACTATTGTTGTGGGGATTACCTTTGGATGGGGGAGGTTGGGATGGTTCTTGTGGCAAAATCTCTTCCCCCTAAGGATCCCTTTGTTGTAAACTAGGTACTGCGTCCCATGCTGACTGCGGTATCGGATGGTTGATCCCAAATTGTATCGATTTCCTGGAAATATTCTATAAAGTAAGATGTTCCCCTTAAATTCGTCTCAAATTACAGTTGACACACGTTAACATCCATTGTATATCCAATACAACCACATACATCATATACAAACACCATATACCAGCATTAAATCAACCACCGGAAATTCCCACCAGAATCACCATGATAACTGATAACCGAATGAATTCGATGAGAAATGCCCTGCCATTCACAAGATCAGGGATCGTCAGCGGGTGTCCTGCAGCAAATCCTCGCGCAGGAGAGCCTGGCTCAATGGAGGGAAAATCCCAAACTTCAAACGCAAGCATCAAACCATCATTGGGGCTGGCTCATTTCTATCCAACAAATTCTCCAAAAAAAGTTCTGAATATTCTGCATCTTCATCATCTCATACTAAAATATGTTACGGAGACATTATTCCACGATAGCCCAGAAATTCGCAGGATATCTCCGTCATCCGCACCTCCGGTGGCAGCTCATTTTCCGGGGCTTCGTCCTGGTCTGCAGTCTTTGCTGGTTCTTCCTGGTCCTCCTCCTTTACTTTCTCATCCTGCTGTGGTATTGCGGGAAACCAATCGTCATGTTCCCACTCCTCCTCCTCATCTGCCACAGGCACTTGATCTGTGGGAACCTGCTCCTCCTTCACATTAGGCTGTTGAGAGGCAGCAGCGTGATCTCCTCCCTGTGCCCACCAGTCATGTGAAGCCTGCTCGTCGTTCTCTGGCTGTTGAGAGGCAGCAGCCTGCTCTCCTCCCTGTGCCCACCAGTCATGCGAAGCCTGCTCGTCGTTCTCTGGCTGTTGGGAGGCAGCAGCCTGCTCTCCTCCCTGTGCCCACCAGTCATGCGAAGCCTGCTCGTCGTTCTCTGGCTTTTGGGAGGCTGCAGCCTGCTCTCCTCCCTGTGCCCACCAGTCATGCGAAGCCTTCTCTGACTTTTGAGACACAGCAGCCTCGTCGTTCCCTGGCTGTTGAGAGGCGCCGGCCTGCTCTCCTCCCTGTGCCCACCAGTCATGTGAAGCCTGCTCGTCGTTCTCTGGCTGTTGAGAGGGGAGCAGCAGCCTTGCTCTCGTTCCCTGGCTGTTGAGAGGCGCCGGCCTGCTCTCCTCCCTGTGCCCACCAGTCATGTGAAGCCTGCTCGTCGTTCTCTGGCTGTTGAGAGGCAGCAGCCTGCTCTGCTCCCTGTGCCCACCAGTCATGTGAAGCCTGCTCGTCGTTCTCTGGCTGTTGAGAGGCAGCAGCCTGCTCTGCTCCCTGTGCCCACCAGTCATGTGAAGCCTGCTCGTCGTTCTCTGGCTGTTGAGAGGCAGCAGCCTGCTCTGCTCCCTGTGCCCACCAGTCATGCGAAGCCTGTTGTAGGCCTTCGCCTGCAGTTGGGGCCTGCTCGTCCTTCCACTGCCACTGGTCCCAACCGCTCTTCCAAGATTCTTCCCAAGCAGCCCAGTCTGACTCCTGAGTCCGCAGCAGCGGGGAGTCAAGCAGAGCAAGTGCAGGGTTCAACAATGCTGGCACGCTTACTGTCTTGCCATGCTGAAAATAAACAAGTTCTTTCAACACAACTATATATATATAGATAGATAAAGCAAACAAATATATCAATGCAAATGTCCGGGAATTTACGAGGGAAGTTAAAAAAAGGATGGTGAGCAGTGAGCACCATCGTTTCCGTTGGGTGCATGGTTGACTTGGACGAGCTGAAGATTGTTTGCACCCCCAAGTTGCATGGTCACTGAACAGAAAAAAATCAAATACCTCCAGTAAATTAACATAGACCATGCCATGTCAGATAGGGGTTGGACTTTCAGGAACTGGGTTAATTTACCAGGATATCCAATGATGACCAAAGCCATGGCTTTTGCTTTGGTGCCCCATCTGAAAGTCGAAGTGCCTTCCACTCGACATCTTGACACCGCATTTCTTTTTCGGCCTGCGAAGGCACCCACGCCCTCAAAAAAAAAAAAATGATCTTCTAACCCTAGCTTAGGCATAGGCTTCCGGCCTTAGCCGTATTTCACCTCTCTCCAAAAATCTGGATCAACTACCCAAGCTTCAAAGGACCTACTGAGTGATGGCAAGTGATGGCAGGGCTTGCCTTTTGAGATGACCAAATGATCATCTGGGCAGTCTGGGCACCACAATCCTTCATAAAGGTCACATTGAGGTGCCATTGAGGATCTCAACATCAGAACGCAGAAAGGTTGGTCATTGATCAAAGCATCATATTCCTAAGAATTGTGAGTCCTTTTAGGGATGATTCCCCATATTTCCCCGCCAATAAAAAAACTGTGAGTTTCTTCCTTTTTTTTCGCCCAGCACTCAAACCCCAACTGGAGTTTGGCACAAATTTCACTGGACAACTGGATTCACAGATGGGATCCTGTACTTTAAATTAAGTGTGATTTCATCATCTAAATACCAATAGATCACAAGGCTGATGTTCAACCCTGCCAAACGATAACCAGTAATAACCAGGATGTTATATATATATATATATGTATATGTATAGGCAGGTATACATGTACTTTATGCATGTGTGTAAATATATATATATATATATGTATACATATATGTGTGTGTGCGTGCATATGTGCATGCATGTAGAATGTACGTGCACGTGCGCGCGTATATTTACATTGGTATATATATATATATACAGATACATACGGATACATATATATATATATACATACATGTACAGTATATGTGCTACCCCAAATGTCTACCGTTGTGAGTGTGTTCCATAACATGGATCACACATAAAGCGAGTACCAGTGTGTCTTGCAATGCTCACTAGCTATGCATTTGCGGCAAATCATTTGCATGTATATAAATATATATATGTGGTTGTACATACTAGTAGTCATGATGAAAAGTCTCTGTATATATAAGCACCAGCATGTCATACATATACATAAGATATAGATAGATCATTCCATGATAAATATATATATATTATTATATATATATTATTATATATACATATATATTATATTCAACTTCATTGTAAATATATATATATATATATCAAATATATTCAAATATATGTATACAGTATACAAATATAATCATATATATATCAAATATATTCAAATATATGTATACAGTATACAAATATAATCAAATATATATATATCAAATATATTCAAATATATGTATACAGTATACAAATATAATCATATATATATATCAAATATATTCAAATACATTCAAATATATGTATACAGTATACAAATATAATCATATATATATATACATATATATGTGATGTGTCTGTGCAAATGCTGGAGCCATACACCAATATCCCTTAAGCTCCCCAGGCTCAGGTCGCTCCTTTTTTTCTACCTTCGAGGGCATTGGTCATGCAACACGAAGTCGCCAGGGGCGTGCAACGTGCGCGCGTGCTATCGGAGTCCGCAACTCAGTGAGTTCGTGGAGATTCCGACATGAACCATGGAGCTAGTTGCTAGTTAAAACATGTTGAATCATGTTAAATCTAGCTACCATCTTGTTATTTAACATATGGCAAAGGGCCCATTGCCAAATGATAAACATGATGATGCACCTGTACCTATCTCAAATTGTTTTTCCCCCATCGCTACGTTAAATTGCCAGAGGGTAACATGAGTAAACTACTGAGTCAGTGGATTTTTAATTAGGTATCGTTCGTGGGTTGTAAGCTAGTTTCCAATTAGCGAATCAGACCATCTAAGTAAGCCTAAGTAAGCCAAACCAACAAATAATGGTTTTGTGACCGCAAATGTGGCGCTTTGGCATCTGGAAATATCATGATATATCATGCCTGCACACTGACCTGCATTGACGCAGCCGCCACTGCATTAACCATTGGGCAATGACGGTTGCATTGCTTCACTCGGCTGTCGCTGGCAGCGTGTTGAACTGCAAGCCTTCCTTTCTCGCTTGCACCATGACGTGTTTTGCATGAGCTGTCACTCGAAAAAAGGACACTTCCTAAATGTTGTTGGAGAAGAAATATATGTATATATATAAGTTCAATAATTAATAATAATACGTAATAGGAAATAGTAAGGTACATATATACCTGCTTATATTTACGATATACATATATGTATAAAAAATAACAATAGTCAGAAACATAATAATAGTAACAATAAGAGTAATAATATTAAGAACAATAACAATAATGATGTAATATACATTTACATCTATGATGACAAACCAGAATGCAGAGCCTATCTTTGGACAAACCCAAATTGGAACCAGGGGACCACTTCCTTGATCAATATCCACAGTGGTGCCCCATAGTTGGCCAACTTGGTTGAGAAGTAGCTTATATAACCAAGGCCACTAGGGTATGTAAATGTATTTATGGTGATTAGAACATATTAGAACTATAATTGGGGTCTTGAATTTCTTGATATTTCTTGAATAGTGGGACATTCCCATCATTCCCATTCCATGTTCGAATCATTCTTTCATGGGAACCAGAGCTGTGGACAGAGACGAAATCCTCCCGTACGCCGGAGATCCGAAAGTACGGCCAGCAGACAAAGCATATATAGTTTGAAAGTCGCAGAAACATCTAAAAGCTAGATCAATATATATAATACACACATATATGTATATACACACATATACATACATATAATTACATATATATATATATACAATATGCCCAAAACTCCAGCACAAACAGAAGCCGGTGACCATCAAAATAGTCCCAGAAGTCGATGGGCACCCAACACCGGCCCGGTTCTAGGCTACTCGCACCGGACATAAACCGACATAAAAAGACGACATGGCCACCCCAGAAAATAGATTTATAGGTTACAGTGATTAGTCATATTTAATCTACCATTTTTTTCTGATTCAATCCTCATTCGTTTGCTGGTTGAGTCTCGATGCTTGATTTGAACATCCCATCCCAATTTCTTACGATTACTGTAACTTTAGGCTTGTGCTTGTTGCCTCATTGTTGCGCGGTCAAACCAAAAATTACACTCACTGTCCTTTTTTTTTCAAAACTCTTCATTTGGAGGTTTCTTAAGATGGGGGATCCCCAAACCCATGGATTTCAATTCTAAAATGGGTCTAATTTTGGCCCCAACCTCTCCACGTGTCATCGCAACGTCTTGTGTCGCGACGTCTACGCCATCACGCCGGCCGTCACAGCACCTGGTCGCGCTGGCGTTTGCTACCAGGGTCTCGACCTGTCTTGTTTGCAGGTCAGCCCTCCGCCGTCGCGTGCGATTGGAGTCATCACTCTAAAATCACATGACAGATGTCGTCATTTGATATAAAATTAAAATAAGTTATATATATATATATATGTGTGTGTATTTATTTATTTAGTTAGTTGATTAAATCTGTGCGTGGGCTGCGTGGGCTGCGTCTGTGTGTGTGCGCATATCTACTGGCATTCTGGCACCTGCTGCGTATATATATATATATATAGACTTACAAAATAAATAAATGTATATATATGTGTGTGTGTCTATCCCTAATTCTAATCTATATCACTCTGCTATATCTCTAAATATTATACACTTTTATATTCCTTTGTATGCATGTATGCATGTATGTATGTATGTAATGGTATGTAGTGGTATGTATGTAACGGTATGTATGTAATGGTCTGTATGTAATGGTCTGTATGTAATGGTATGTATGTAATGGTATGTATGTAATGGTAGGTAGGTAGGGTAGGGTAGGGTAGGGTAGGGTAGGGTAGGTATGTATGAATGTATGTAATGTATGTAATGTATGTAATGTATGTAATGTATGTAATGTATGTAATGTATGTAATGTATGTAATGTATGTAATGTATGTAATGTAATGTAATGTAATGTAATGTAATGCAATGCAATGCAACGCAACGCAACGCAACGCAACGCAATGCAATGCAATGCAATGCAATGCAATGCAATGCATGGATGTATGTATGTATGTATCTCTCTCGGTTGCCTGCACTGGTTGCAACATAGGCATGATATACATTCTGTTTGTTGAAAGTAGTCATGTAAGATCGCTAGTTATAATACAATGGTCCATAGGTGTAAATCCCTGGGTTTCTGGGGTGTGTTTAGTAAGGGGATGGGATTACTGTAATACGCGTTTGAAATTCAGCAAAATTCAAAAGAATGTTCCAAGGTACTCGTGTGAGATATTTTGAGATGATTTGTGATCAGTTGCTAAGAATTGTGATCTTGGATTACCAGATGTAGTTTTACATATGACCAAGTAGGGAATCCCATGAATGAATGCGGACTGAAGGGGAAATGTTCATCCCAGGAATGAATCCGGACTTTCGGACTTTCCCATATCTTCTTTGTAATCCCACTGGCCCACTGGTTGTTGCCCCTTTCCCTCGATGCGAAGTTGGTCTGTCCATGTCTCTCTCTCTTTATCTTTAGTCCAAGGTTCTTCCTACCTTGAGCACACGCGTGCGTCAAAGATTTCAACTGCATAGATGGGCGTGTCCATTTAGCGACACCCATATCGGAACGCGCGCAAATGTGAGAGTCTTCTGGCTGGCTGTTTTTTTTAAGGCATTTTCAGGCACACTCAATGATGCGACCTCACCCATTCTGACGGGATTGCTATGGAAAGCCTGTGGCAAAGGTCCTGCGAATGGAATTTTCATCAAATTAGGCAAGTTTGGTCCCATATTCGAGTGCCATCTAGTGACCAAGTGGAGTAAATTTTGATCGATGGACAGCCGAAATCAATTCCCAAATGGCTGGCTCAACAGAAGAAGCATACTCCCAGCACTCCCAACAACCGCCAATGTTTCCACCAGTCTTGTTGTCTCACCCATTGTTTCTAGGATATAATATGACTCATCATTTTTGGCTGGATGTTTGTGTGTGTGCGTGTGGCATTCATCTGTGCCAGAAACTTGGAGGTTCCCCTAACTTACAACATTTTTTAACCGGAATATGCTGGAATATGCTGGAATGATGAGGCGGTAGATCCTGATGTATTCCCATCATGTTCAATCAAACACATTTTTTTCACACGAGATCACCATAAAATACTTGGTAAGCATCTACTATATCCACCCAGCCGTTGCGGCGTCAAAAATCTCGGGTGCCCATGACCGCCCTCACATCTGGCAGAATCCGCGCGGCGCCGGTCAGCCATGCCCGCTACCGCTTGAATTAGATGCCAAACCCAGGTCATTTCGCTTCAAAAGCGACCATATGGAGCATATTTGGTGATGTTCCATATGGTACTGCATGACTTAAACAAAAATACAACAATATGATTCATGATGATTAATGGCAATGTACCGCAATCATTTATTTAAAGAAAATACAACAATACATCGTAATACATCATGGCATATTGGTCTATGACACCCGCAGGTGGATCCAAAAATGGCAACAATTGGAAAATCGGAATATTTTTTTGGGGGGGAGTCACACGATTCCAAACCCAACGTTTCTGTTCTCTTTTAGAATAACATTGCTCAAACGGGGTCAAGTGCAATCCGGGCTGTGAACAGCCTGTCTGTGGTTTCGATCCCTGAGCTTGCCATCAGGGTGAAGTGCCGAATAATGCCGAATAAACGGTTGAGATTCGACATAGATTCTGCTGGATTCAACAGATTACCCAGGGGCTTGCGAAGTGATAGCCATAGCTATACTTCGCAACCAAATCCGTACAGCCATCGAAGATCATCGAAGGTGTTCCAAACTGATGGCCAACATTGGCCAACTCCCTTTGAACCCAGCAGCAACAACCAGCATTTCGGGAGCACATCGGCGCCGCAAGTCGTGGGTCCGGAATTCGCGGCTGCCCATGCAGGTTTTTTTTGAGTCAGTCGAGCCTTGTGTTCGACACAAAATGCATTAATACTCAGTCATTTGTGAACCGTGGCCACCACTCTGTGGCTCAGAAACTCCGTAGCAAAGCCTCCTGCAGATTGCGCAGGACAAAGGGCTGCAATCTTCAAAGGGCAACCGAAAGTGGCAGTGTAGTTTGGACATGTGCAAGTTCACTATATCTGTCATATTCATACCCTCCACTTAAAAAAACAATGCTATCGAAAATGCCATCTGTAGATGATTGATATACGTATTAAACATTGCCATTTTGCTAAATCAATTAGATTAAAAAAGGGTACCTTGCCATTGGTATTGAGCTGCCTCTCGGTTGCCCCACTCGCCAACCATTCGTTTTTTGTGAATCAGTTAAAACCATTCCGTAGGGCTGTGCACAATTTCATAAAACACAACAAATGCTATCTATGGGGTGATGGTGACTATTATCTTTATGAGTGAGTTTACTTCAACATATTACAACATATGTTGAGCCCACTAAAGTTATATATATAATATAGATGTTATAGTCCAGAAAAGCACTGGAGTACCCATCCATGTTTGTGGAAATATCATACTCATAGATGACAATCATACTACCCATCATATCGTGAATCCCACATTGTGGATCCTCATAACAAAAAACAAAAAGTTGTAGCCATTATTGTGGATCCCCATTATCCCTTGTGTTATATATGTATATACAACGCATGATCAACGCATGTATGATTAAACCCTTTAAAAGACTAGAAATGTCATTTGCCCTATATAAGTTGGTGACATGTTCCTCTATTTCTTGAGGTTTGCTGAAGTATATCATTGTATATCCATGTTTTTCATGGATCCTATCTGCCTTTTTAAACGCCTTAAGGGATGATCATCCATTGAATCACGTCATGTCTGCAGTTCCATGTAGTTGAGGGACATCCGTGGGTATCCTCTAGAATTTTCAAGAGCATATAATGATCTCTAGAATTTTCCTGGTATGTTTCTTAAATCCGGCATTGCGCAGCTACTATTTCTGGCATTGATCCAGCCAATCTCAAAAAACCCTGGGGTAAACCCTAGGAAAATGATCTACAAATGGCATACCATTCCTGGTTATTTGTTCCATAGCTATTGAACATGGTGATTTTTTTCGTGGATTTACCCACTGAAAATGGTGATTTTCCATAGCTATGTTAGTTTAGCCAGAGGGTATGTCCACACATCTTTTTGCATGTTTAACTGTTTTAGCATCATTTCTGGAAGGGAAAAAAAAAGATGGATAAATATCCCAATTCCCCCATAAAATATCCCGATACAATGGATTATATCCCATTACATCCCATGATTATTGTATATATAGATATCCCATCATTATTCAAATAAATTAATACCCCAAACTAACATCTTAGATGTGGATGAACATCGAAAAAAATCACCGTAAAATCCACATAAATTCTAGAAACATCTAGGCTTTCCCCAAGCATTTCTAGATGATTTTAGGATATGTTCAGACTTTCCCCATGACTTTTTCACGTCATTTCCTATCCCCAACCCCAGCGGCTTCCCCGCTGCCGCCTTGGAGCCGATGGTTGGGATCCCCAATACCGAGCGCCAGTTCGAGTTCGGCCGGAGCTCACCTGCGCTATTGGCCCCATATGGCCCCATATGACATAATATATGGATTACATATGTATACATGTATATGTTTATATATATATATATGTGTGTGTGTGTGTCTGTGTGCCTATGTGTGTGCATGATGCTGAATTAACCTCTGGTGATCCAACATGTTTTTTGAATAGTGATGATCCGTGTTTTTCAGTTCTGATTGGCAAACATCCGTGGGAACGTTTTTGTTGGATATTTATGTGTTTGTTTCACTGTGTAACTTAAAGGGTGTTGCATAATCATGTCTCTCTCTCTCTCTATATTATTATATTGCAAGTTCGTATGCTAGTCATCTATGGTTACTTGGTTATCTTGGTTACTGATTGCCATTGGGTTTACTAATCCCATCCAATCAATGGGAGTGTTTCGATGTGTTTCGGGGTTATTGTGTGCTCAATGGGGGTTAATCACATCCCTGATTATATCAAAGTCCCCTTTGAAATTGGCTCCGAAAATGAATAATCCAGTACTAAACCAGATGTTTTTGATCGGATGGTTTTTCTACGTTAGGGGGGAAGAACTGATGGCAATTAACTCTTTAATTTTCAGAACGGCCCCTCATGGGGGAGTGATTTTTGGACTAAACATGCTAAAAATACTGGTCTTTACAGTGTCTTGTGACGAGAGTAGGCTTAAAACCGTTATTATAGAGCAAAAAATAGAGCTCGCCTCCAAAGGCTATCATATCATATGCTGTCATAAATCACTGGCATCTACAGACTCTTGTGACAGGATTCAACTTTTCCTGTGAAGCTTGCAAAGAACTACAAGCAATCAACACATAACAGAAAACATCTGTGCCTGTTAAGGTTTGGTGCATCTAGTGGTCTGTTTTTTTTGGTGCCTGCCAATGTTTTTGTATATCTCATGTCAAGATCATGATGAAAAAAGCGTTTTGCTAGGGTTTCAGACCCTCCAAGTGCATAAAACGTCAGTATTTATAGTGTTTCATGATGATATTTAATGAAAATTCATTCCCCCACGGGGTGCCACTCTCTTAATTTTTCGGGGGCTGCTACTAATTATATATATAATAGTGAATAGTGTGGGTTGTATATAATTATACATATATACGAGTACATATATGTGTGCCTGAAACTTAGCCTCAGATGAAAGAGATATACTTTGGTCTAAAGTCTAAAGAATGCCACATATAGATTCCCCTAGGTTTCCAAATGGCGAACTGGGTCAGTTCACCCTGGAACCGTCCACACCTTAGTGAAAACAGCTGTTGTTTCAAGCCAGCTGTGCCCCTTGGTTGGAATTATCCTAAGAATTTTTTTGTTTTCGAAGCACCCGTTGGGTTAACTTCAATTCCCGATATATGAGCATTAAAAAAATAATAATATATTATTTGAATTTATATGATGTGGTTAAATCTCGTGAAATAAACATTTTTTGATGGTTCTATAAACTCCTCAAATCACGAAATTCACCTTGTAACAGGACACAAAACCCGGCGCCTGTTGTCACCTTTTGGCGTGGCCGCAGCTCGCTTTTCGCCTCAAATCCTGCGAACTCGGCAAATCTGGCACGGAAGATGATTTGTGTTTGGAAATTGGATGAGTTGGCAAGTGTTGAGTGATGTTCCCATGTGAGTTTCTTGGTGTTCTATTCAGAAATTTGCCCCAAGCAAACTGTGATCTCTATGGGGTGCCGGCCGGCTAGGGCTGCACGGGGATTCAGTCCTCCTGATGATGAGGTGTAGTCCGTCCTTTGGCTGAAGGAACCAGCTCTGGATATCTTTGGATTCCTTCTCCAAATGGGGGGGAAAAAACAAACAAGAAAACTGCTTCCTATGACAGTGGTATGGGGATAGGCCTCAGGTGCCTCCAGTGCCGTGCGGCCAGGCGTATCTTGAATACCCTGAAAGGGGAAGAAAGCATTTACCTTACCCAACCATACCCAACCAAGGTTCACTAAGCGTTACTGGATGTTACTGGGCAACACAACTTGTACCAGGGCACGTCGTGACTCGTCCAGGTAGACAGTCGTGACGGATCAGAGTTTTACCTCAGTCGTGAGGGACCATCCCAAATTCGTCGACATGTTCATCCCCAGATTACTGTAGATCATACGGAAACTCATAGCAAATGAAGCCTCAGTTTCTATAGATGATGTTCCCAGAGATCTTTTCATTTGGGTGACATCCCAGTGTGCTGGTGAAACCTTCATCCCCTTGGGGCTTTGGGCCCGGTCAAATCATGTCCTGCTCCAATTCATCAATTCCATGTTTTTTTTTCCAGGTCAAATCATGTCAAATCCATCAACATGTTAAAACACGTGGAGGATTGGATTGGCTTATATAGAAATCCCACTATATATATATGAATCTATCTATATCTATATATCTATATATCTCTATATCTCTATATCTCTATATCTCTATCTATCTATCTATCTATCTATCTATCTATCTCTATCTATCTCTATCTATCTATCTATCTATCTCTATCTATCTATCTCTATCTATCTATCTATCTATCCATCCATCCATCTATATCTATCTATCTAATATATCCCACTAATCCAATCCACTTTCTTAAATCCATGGAATTTGATGTGAAAAACAATGGATGCCACGGGAGAACATCATTTTCCATGGTCCAACCAGCACCGGGTCACGTCCACGGTTTCGCGAGCTCTTGGCCAAGATGTGTTGACCGCGGTGCCGGGCGGCATGGCCCAGCTTTTCCATGGCCTGGTGGAAATCGGGGAAGGTGAGGCTGGAAAAATATGGAAAAATGCTCACTTCACCCATGAAAATGTGGATGTTCTTAAGATGTTCAAGGTTGAATGGGAAAAATCTGGTGATTTTCACCAAAATCGTGGAAATTATGGGAGCTGATGAGGTTTTAATTTGTTAAAACCTCACCCGAGTTGGTGATTTCTAAGGGACAATTATCAACATGGAAATTGGGAAGCTTCAAAAAAATAACATGAAAAAAGGGTGACTTAAATTGAACCAATAAAAATAATGATATGATGTAGGCAACCAGTCAACCAACAACTGGTAAATAATATGAACTGATTTGATGCAAAATCGGCGGGAACCTATGATTTTACCACCAAATTGGATGGGAATTCCTTCAAATTTTCCCGTCAACCAATTCTGGGGTCGTTCACCCACCAGAGCATTGAAACTTCATACAACTGGTCTTTTTCCTGGCTCTGAAACTGTGACCTCACATCTGGATGCACGGCAAAGATGGAGATGCAACCCGTTTGGAAATCGATCTAAACTTTAAAAGGTTTTCCTGGGGTCAAAAGAAATGATTGATGAATTAGGAGGCTTCCCTCCGAGGGTCATTCTTGATGATGCCATTTGCTACTTTCAATGGTCGAAAACGTGCCCCAGTGATCAACAGCCCAAGGGTCAATAAAAAGCCGGGGTTCACATTAAACACACAGTCTTCAACAACCATCCAAAGGCCATCAAACTTGCGAACATCTTGTGATGCTCTGTCACCACCTGATGGCAGTGGGGGTCATTTCAATCGAAAATTACCGTGAGATATCGTGGGTTTTTTCCCTTTGATCTTCCTCAGCAGGGTCTACATTCATCCAAGGCTTGAAACTGTCATTCCCCTGTCAGACGTGGTCGTCCTTTTCTCATCGCTGACATGGGTGGTTTGGGTCGACACCGGGATCTGCCGGTGATGTTCACCGCGTCAGGCACCTTCAGGCGCCTTCCCCACGATAAAAGCAGTGAAGAAATCGAAATCCGCTCGGTCTCTGCCAGTCATGACCTCTCTCTATTTCTTTTCCGTCAAGCTGTGACCAGCTACAGCTGTGACAAAGGGCTTCAAATAGGGGATACACATGACATCACCCAAGAAATGATAGAAAAAAAGAATCATCATGGCTGAGAAATCCACAATCTAAATGGAGCTTGCTGCTTCGCCAAAATCGCTGAATCGAGCCGTGAACTCAAGCTGCAACAAGCTGAGGCTAGTCATCAAATGCAAACTCCTGGAGTTTGGGAGGTCAATAACGGTGAATTGTGAGCTCAATGGCATTGCAAAAACTTGATCTCCAGCACAATAGATAATCATAGATAGAAAACAATAATGGTAACAATAATGATAATTACTAGACACTATAAATCTATATCGTATGTCATGTATTATTGTAATGTAACATAATGTGATGTTATGCCATCGAATGTAACAGAATGCAATCGAATGTAACGGAATGGAATGGAATGTAATGTAAGTGTGCGTGTATCTATGCATCTATATATGTGTTTTCGACTGTGCCCTCCACATCATATAGATGCATGTAAATTTATGGATCACAAGGGCTGCTAAAGTGGGGGAAACATGCAACTCTTAGAATCACTTCTCCAAGCTGCAACCAGTTGGGATCGCTGGGGGAATCCCAGATCTTGCCAATAAAATCATCGAATCAGTCGCCCGTTGAAAATCATCAATTTACCCAGGTCAATCTCCCCATCATATTCCCATCATATGATATGAAATGTCACTTGTTTTGTGACTTCATGGTAAACTCACCCCTTTCCATGGTAAACCTACCATTCCTTATGGGAAACCCATCATGTTTCATGGTAAACCCACCATTTTTCATAGTAAACCTACCAATTTCCTGGTAAACTGGTACACCTTTTATTTTTGATGGTAAACCCACCAGCTTTCACCATGAAATCTCCTTCAGGAAAATGTCGAAGTCAGCAGGTTTGGAATCCTCCGCGAGTCCCGGAAAGATCTGCTGTCGTCGTGCTTCTTTCTTATCAAAGACCTGGACGAAAAAAATCATTGGTAAAGCAATGTCACAAACCATATGGATTGATGGTGTCCACTACCCATTTATGGTAAAATGATGTAAAATGGTGGATGGTTTACTATTGCTTTACTAACATTAGTGATTAGTGGGATATGGTGTGATGCAGCTACAAAATAATCTACGGTTGAAAATCCAGGGTTTCTCCCATAGAATACAGGGGGCTCCTGCGAATTGTCCCTAAAAACAATTGAATGAGTACTGAGATATTATATGGGATAGTATAAAATTTTACTGGCCTCTATATATATATTCTTTGGGGGTTACCCTATGGTTATTTGACGTAGCTATGGAAGCCATGGCCCATTTATATGATTTATGATGAGTCGCCCATTTATACATGATTTATGCTGATTTCCCAGCCAGCCATGTTTGAAGGCCGGAAGGTATACACTTGTTGAGTTGAGTATGTCAATCATGTATATCAATTCTTGTGTACGATCCACGTTTATATACATACCCCTCTATATATATATACGGCTTGTATTGCATACAATTAAATAAATGTTTGTGTGTATTATATATATGTGTGTGCGCGCATGTGTCAACATGCGCATGATGGCCCCAGAAAACAATTGGCCATAAACCAGGCCTCAGGTCAGTGATTGGAGATTAATTGGACCCTTATTTGCAGCTGAATGGATCTGAGCAGATTGAGACCGTGGAGGGAAATATAGAACAAGGAAACATGACTTGGATATGTGTTTGAAGAGTCCTGGCACTTATCAAATCTTCAAAAAATATGTTGCGGATTATTGCGGAATTACCCTCTGGTCATCTCAAATAGCTATGAAAAACGGCCATTATATATATATATCCTAAATGTCAATGATTTACCTACCAAAATGGTGGGTATAGCCTATATAAGCTATGTTAGGCACCTTCCAGGTGGAAGAATTCTGGTCGCACCTTCCAGACCAAGCAGCAAAAGGGATGTGATCCAACAATCGATCGATGCGTCGCACATTGGTTTCCAAGACATTCCTGGGAAAGGGGAAAATTCCTGGAAAAAACAAAAAAAATTGAGAACCAGGGCCCTGGCCATGACCGATTTCGATTCGGCCCATAGTCACTACACTTTCAACCAGTGAGCCCATAGTACTGTACAGAATCCGTGAACGGAAAGAAGTTTACAAGAAACCATCAATTTTGATAGGAAAAACTGGGAAAGAATGTACAAAAAACATGGAGATTGCCTTTCATCAATCCAGATCAGCTAAAGATCCCCTGGTGGTTGGGTGGCTTGAAATCTCTGTCCAATTCTGGGCATCCTCAACAATCCAAACCACCAGCTCACGGCTAGCTGAGAACAAACAAAATCAACACACCAGATTCAAATGAAAACCAACAAGTTGATAGAATTTTGAGGAAACCCTGACTTTGGAGATTTTGGAACTTATAGTGTTTTGACACAGCATGTGGCACCTACTTTCATCATTTGCCCAGGTTCACTTCGCCATACCTTGTCATGATGGCACACTTCTCCTGCCGGATGCGCTTCGGCTACGACAGTGAAAGCCCAACTTTCCCAACCAAGAAACGACAGCGCAGCAAGATGACCTCAAATGTCTCAATGATTTTTATAAAGAAATATGGAAGATGAAATAAGGTTCGAAACATATGAAATATGATGAAATATGTAAGCTGAAATAAACGATGTAATGAGATGTAATAAGTAATCACCCGCCGGCGTCCTATTCACGACTATATTACATCCTCAATTAGCCCAAAAACATGTCCTGCATCCTATTTCGGGGTTCTAGCATTACAGACGACATTAATATGGATATCCCTTCAACCTTTAAACATCTTTAAACCACCAATTGTTAATCCAATTCAATTGCTAATCATCAGTGAGATAATATTCCACGTTAAAAAAAATAAGCCGATACACCCAACAAAAAATCGAACAACACCAGAGACTTCATATTGGATTCCATCCTTAAATTCTATGGAAAACAGGTCGGTTTCCCTCCCCTTCCGAGCCCAACCGCATCCAACCGCTATGGTCCTTGGTTGGCAGCCGCTGCAGCAGCTCCGGCTCCGCCATGATCCGCGCATCGCTTTGCCGCCGCTCCTCCGGGCAGCGCTGCAGCAGCTCCTCGCAGAGCTGGCGCAGCGTGCGCAGCGCCCGACGTTCCACGGAGGGGCTGAAAGCCTTGGTGGTTCGTTCAAGGGCGGAGAGATGTGGAGAGCCATGGGACCCAATCTCAATGGTTAAAAAAGGTTGGGGAATTCTTACAGCAAATTTAGATAAATTTAGTGGTTTGATATGGTTTGATCGAGATGTAAACATGTGTTTAAGCAACAAAATTAGGGGTTCATGATTCTTATTGGGGATATGGCCACAGATAGCAGTTATTAAGCCAGCTACTCTCCGGCTGGCTCACCCCCTGTGCGTCAGATATTGTCAGATTGTCTTCATCCAGGTCTGGTGTTGGGAATAGGCATATAAGATCCGAGCAATCAGTAGATGGGCATGACATGTCACAACCATCAAACCATGTCGGTGATGATTTGGGTATGAATACGATTCAGAATCATTCCCGAACAACAATTGTTAGGCAACTTTGGGGATGATTCCAACATTCTAACCATCATTTCTGGAAGGCAAACGGGTGCAGCTCACACTTGGGGCACCAAGTGTAACTGGCAAATTTCAAACGGCTGGACAGATCTGTAATGATCTCAAACTATCTAATTTTGGGGGATCTGGGGATATATAGTAACCCCCAAAAAGGATCGAAAAAAAATCATCACTAGCCTCCGGTAATCAAACGTGGCTAGGAAATCCCCAATATGGCTTTGAATGGGAAAATCATCTAATAGATGGAGCATTCTCCAGCTGATTACCGCTTCAGGAGGATGTTTTTTTGGACTGGTGGAATGCGGATCTCAGGCCGGAAACATCACTCCACCCCTATCTTTGAGCAAATGGATCCCCAGCATCTTCAGAAAACCATCGAATTCGTGACTTTTCCAACCTCAGTTTTAAGATGTGTTCAACAAAAATCCAACAAATTATATTACACCTTATATTAAACATTATAATTCCGGTATTTACCAGAAAAATCCAGAAATCAACCAACCACCAGGGATCTTCGCCAAGGAAGCGTTCTTCATCCCCAAATCGCTGAAGGATTGCAACAGATTTGCATCGCGCCGGTTCAGATCCCGGGGGGTCAGTAGCAACAGCCGCATCAACAGCATGGTCTCTTGGGGCCAGTAGCCTCGCGGTTCCAACATGTGCAAAGGGACCGGCTGTGAGCCTAAAAGCGAAACAATCAGGGTAGCTTATATGTTTAATCTTGTTTAACAGGTGCATAAATTCCATTCATAGCTTTTGACATGTTTAAACATCATTTTTTCAAAAATAAATATGTTTAAAGCATTTTAAAGCTATAATTGTTACATAACCATACATAATTTAATAACCTATGCCATCCTATGCTTTATCATCCTGTATAACAAGCACCAAATCAAAGCTCCCTAGCCATCCGACCCATCGCCTCGCGGCAGACACAGACTTTGCATCTCATCCACATCGGCGCCTTGCGCCTTCAGCCAGGTCTTCTTCGCCTGCGCCAAGTCACTTTTGGCCCAGAGATCCACCAGCGAAATCTCCACGAAGTTGTGGACCTAATTTTAGGGGCGGAGGCGGATGGATGGCGAAGATGGGAGAAGATTGGGAACATTCGAACTGGCATCTACAGGGAATGGGCGAAGAATGGCGAAGATCAGTTTTGCTTCACTGAACTTATTTCAACTATGTTCATTCTTTTTTACTATAGGATGTTAGCCACATTGGCTTCCCAGAAGCACCCAATCAATTGGTGATGTGGCCATGCACCGTTGAGAATTCATACGTGGCCATGATGTACCCGCTGGTTCATCCAACCCTTTTGGTGGATTTTGGTGGTCTCAAGGCATGTACCAATGTACCCAAAGGTCGGTAAAGCACCATTTTACCACTGTAAGATATCTAAAAAGTATTATAAAAGTATACTGTCTTGATCTGTTTTGGTGTACTTCAACCTACTCTTTGACAAACCATGGCAAGCCAAAATCGTGATCACTGAAGTGGTTCTCGGATAGATGTTGACTCCTTTTCAATTGGGTGCCCATTTGGCCATTACAGGTTTGGCATTGTCACAGTGCAAATTCATGGAATGTTTCTAAAACAGGTGACTTTTGGGGTAGCAGGAGTTAGAACCACAAATGGAAGATGCTCATGCCAGCACAAGGCAATAGCAAAAAGCATCCACCAGTTTAGACTAAACTCCCAGTGGATCAGCCTGCCATCGCAAAAATTGATCTGACCGTCTTTTTTGCGAGTCACGTTCCGAGTCAAAGAGAAGCCATAGAGCAGCAACAATTCATCGTTGGATCTGCGGCCATAGGAGTCGAAGATCTGTTCATCGCCCTGGTAGGGCCGGTCCGTTTTCAACAGCACCGCGGGGCCGTTGCCATCGCGGGTTGCAGCGACGTAGGCTTTGGAATCGGGATCGTGATTCATAAAATCGATCCAAGGGACAAGCGCAATGACCTCGTCCTCCAAGCCAGGGTGTTCTAACCCAAGTATAGCAATTAAATCCCCCCCCCAAAAAAAAATGAAGACTATGGATTTTAGATGATTTTAGTAGGTTGTTTCTATCTTTTGGGGCAAGAAGGCAAGGCCGGGTCTTTGTTCAAACCTTGTTCAGACAGGTTCTGGAGAGAAGTGTTGAGACGAACCACGACCAACTATTTTTCAAGCATTAGGTTTGGGATGTCGTGTCTCTATTTTTCTTGGTCGACATCTTACACATCAGTGGCTTGTCTCCCCAAGTCAGACATGATTTTCGCCCGAAAGAAAGTGTACTGCGCCATGGTCTTTGTTGTCCTTGCCATCAAGGCGTAAGCGAAAAGATCGACTCAGCAACACCGCATAGGCCCAGAGAAAGCGAGGAAGTGTAAAGACCTGGAAAGCACTCCAGGCCGTGACTCAAGGCCCCACCGGCACCCAAAAAATAATTGTCACATGGTGCTGCTGTTTGTAGGCGGCAGCTGCCCGTCCTGTATTCCATAGATGTACAGTTTTGGGATGTGTTGGGTCCAACATGGGGGGATGGTTGGGACATGTGCAAAAATGATGTACAGACAAGAGGCATCTTGGGGGAATCGCTCTGGGTTTTGTGCGAAGACTTTCTGGGTGATGCTCTGGTACTCCTCTGAGATCTTTTCGCGTAAAAATTTGGACATGTTTTTGATGAGGCTGCCTGACAGGGTTCATAGCGGTCAAGGATCCATGAGTTTGCATAACTATCATAAGCCCAAAAATGTATAAACATGTCCCCTTTGGATCCTTCTCGGGGGACAAGGTGCGACCTTTGTTGTTGGCTGGTTGCAAAGCCACTCGTACTCCAGAATATAGAAGTTCTCCGGAAACATCACCCAGGGGATGTTCACCTTTCTCCCTCTCAAAGTCCCAACAAATGTAACGAGGGGCAACCCCTCCTGGAACCCAATAGTTGTCAACATTCTGAGGTCAAAAGCATCTTCCAACCCCCATTCGATTATATAAGAAGTATATGTATGCACAAGTCGCTTGGAAAGAAAGATTGGTATGGGTCAGAATGGTCAATCCCCAAATGGATCCAAATTGTAAGTTTAACTTAACACTAAACCATGACCAAAAAATCTTTGTGGGTCCATTGCTTTCCCCTCCGGCAATCAAATATGGTTTGCGGGCAAATTCCCCATTCATCTTTCATGTCCCATTCAAACCTCCATTTCGTTCGATCATTCCCCATTCATGTTTCATTTCCGGAGGCTATTGGCTATTATATACCCGTAATACCGCACAAGGCGGTGGCGGAAGTTTCAAAAATAGGAAACCTATAGGAGAGGTTGGTTGTTGTGAATCGCGGATGGCAGAGCGAAGCCACTGATGGACCGAAAGGTGGTTGAGGTCTCCTCTCTTTCTCTCTCTTTCTCTCTCTTTCTCTCTCTTTCTCTCTCTTTCTCTCTCTTTCTCTGACTATCTACCTACCGACCCACCTACCTACCTATCTATCTATATATTATCTATCTTTCTTTCTACCTATCTATCTTTCTTTCTTTCTTTCTATCTATCTATCTATCTTTCTATCTATCGATCTTTCTATCTATCAATCTATTTATCTATCTAATGTATCTATGTCTCTCTCTCATCTAATGACCGACCTGTCTATCTATCTGTCTGTCTGTCTATCTATCTGTCTGTCTATCTATCTAATCTAATCTAATCTAATCTAATCTATCTATCTATCTATCTATGTCTCTCTCTCTCCCATCTAATGACCGACCTATCTATCTATCTATCTACCTATCCTATCCTATCTAATCTAATCTAATCTAATCCAATCTAATCCAATCTAATCCAATCTAATCTAATCTATCCTATCTATCTATCTATCCTATCCTATCTTATCCTATCCTACCCTATCCTACCCTATCCTATCCTATCTATCCATCCATCCATCTATCTATCTATCTATCTATGTCTCTCTCTCTCATCTAGTGACGGACCTATCTATCTATCTCTCTCTTTCTTTCATCTAATTACCTATCTATACATCGATCTATCTACCTATCTATCTATCTACCTATCTATCTATCTATCTATCTATCTATGTCTCTCTCTCTCTCATCTAATGACCGACCTATCGATCGATCGATCTATCGATATAATCTATCTATCTGCAAGCTTGAAAACGAAGCTATTCTGCGAGACTTGCTCAGTTTTTAAACTTGACAACATCAAAAACGCAGCAATTCAGCGAGACTTCCTCAATTTCTGCGCTTGACAACATCAAAAACAAAGCACTTCTGCGAGACTTCCTACTTGCTTTCAAGTTCACAACATCAAAAACGAAGAAATTCTGCGAGACTTCCTTCAAAAATGGAAAGTTGAGTGCAGAGCTGACGGCCTCGTACCAATGCGTTTTGCGATTTTTCCAGTCCACCTGTCTAAAGTACTGCGCATGCCACAAAAAAGTGATGCCAGGTCATACGAAGTGCTGCACCTGTCACGCAAAATCATCTCAGCAAACCTGAAGATCTGAGGCTCCAAAATGTAACCCCTCTCAGGAAATCAGCGCCCGGACCTCCTAACAGCTCTGATGAAAATGTCTCTTGTACTGCGCCTGCCACGGAAAATGCATCTTTGCAGATCCTTTTCAAATGTCCAACCCCTGCCATCGTTTTTGGAAATGCTACAACACAATCACGTTTTGCTCACTTTTGACAAGGTCCACAATCCCTTGCGCCTGCTACGCGGAACGACATCTAAACGTCCAAAAGTGGCCCGAACCCCTGGAGTTTTTTATATTTTAACTTCGATATGTGCTTCGCGCCACAACGGTGTGCACTTTTTCGACATCTCAACTCCCAAAAGTGGTCCGAAACCCTAGTGCTCTTAGATTTTGACTTCGAAATGTGCTTCGGGCCATAATGGCGTGCACTTTTTCGACATCTCAACTTCCAAAAGTGGTCCGAAACCCTAGTATTTTGACTTCGAAATGTGCTTCGCGCCACAATGGCGTGCACTTTTTCGACAGCGCAACTTCCAAAAGTGCTCCGAACATGTGGTGCTTTGTACATTTTGACTTGCAAATGTTCTTCGCGCCACAACGGCGTGCAATTTTTCATCTCTCATCTGGCCAGATGGCTCGGCACCCGCCGCTTTAGCGAGCCTACTTTTCGACCCTCCGGAGCCACAAATCATTGGAAAAACACAGTGTTTCGCGACTTTCCTACCTTTTCGCGCACCTGCATCTTCTTTCTTCTGACTCTCTCTTCTCTGATCTTCTCTCTTCTACTCTTCTCTTCTCTCTGACTCTTTCCATCTCTGCTTTTCATCTGTCCATATTGTCGGAAGTTTGACTTCTAAACTTCCTGCGGCTATCCCATTATTTTTAAATAATTTGAATAGTCCATTCATTTATACGCGATAAGTCCCCGGCCCCAGTATCAATTATCCCACTTATAATCCCTCTAAATCCCTATCGTTGATGGTAAAACCCCTTAAAATCCAGTTATTTTTCTTGGTGAAGTCACCCTTGTTCCCGGGACAATTCTGGGTCCACCGATGCCTGACAGCAGCTCCAAGTCATCATCGTTCCAAGTGAAGGAGGCCCCAATCTCTTCCGTCTCCGGAAGGAGTTCCAGGTAACTGTGCCAAAAGGACTCCTCTTTCAGCAAATACTTCCTGATTTCAACGGCTCATTTGGAAGAAGAAAACACAAAAAAAAATAGGGATTTGACATGATTTGGCCAACAAAAATGATGGGAATTCCTGATTCAACGGTCAATTTGGTGATGGAAACCAGCTAAAATTAGCTAAAAATATGGATGTTAGATGATTTAAGAGGATTTGACCAACAAAAATGATGTGATTTGATGGGTCAGACGGGCAGTCAGATGATGAAAAGCAAAAAAACATCTTTAAAAAAAAAAGTTATGGTCGGAAAAGTATGATGGAAATATGGTCTTTTTTCTCTCCAGTTTATCAGAAGAATATAATCAAAGACTGGTCGGTTCAGAGTGGAAAGATTCTGGGACGTCGCCTTTCGTCGCGACCCGGGCAAGCAACATCCATCAAACACCCATCAAACGTTCATCAAACATCACTACCACCACCACCATCCTCACCCTCACCCTCACCCTCACCATTATCATCATCATCATCATCATCATCCTCAATTCACAGTATGAAATGAGCCACTGAATTGCGTCGGAAGACATCATCCGAGCCGAGCCAAGAACATTCAACAACAAAGGACAACATGGTGTAACCAGAGCCGGAACTAACAAACAACAGCTGGGAGGCCTTCATTAAAGTCCGTAAGTTTGGGCTCTGGATCAATGTATATCAATGGTAAAGCTTTTCTGGGTGGATGATCAGTTGATGTTGATGGAGCTGCAGAATTTCGGCGGAGGGCCCCCATAAAGTCAGCAGGGGCCCATCAGATTGAGGTCGATAAACAATGTTGGGCATGTGCAGCTGGACCCTGTGCTGGGTAGTCTGAACACGTTTGATGCGGCCAAAGAAAGATGATGCACGGGCTGCTTTCGTGTAGCAAATAAATTAACTGGCAATTCGGCCGGCTGAACCTCCCATGTTCAGTCTTCAGTTTTTGCTGTCGAAATTCCAAGTCTTCCAGGTTAAATCACTTATTATACACAAACATAGTGAAAGAGTTTTAATGCTCATCATATCCCATGAACCTCCCATTCACCATCCGTCATCAATAATTTATTTTAGCAAACTGTCAGCCCGGATCAACCCAGATCAACCAGGCATCTCATTGATCAACGTAATCAACAACCCAGTTAAAAGGTTTTCCTCTTGGGTTTTCCAACACTCTTTCCCCATAGACTCCTATCAGAGAAGTTTCTACTTACTGTAGGAAGTTTTTACTTAGGTTGCAGACCACGGATCACATGCATAACCTTTAGAATAGTTTTATATAATATGTTTGAATTAAAGACGACTAATAAATTCGATCCACCACACTTGCCACGTGAAATGGCCCTCGGAGTCATGACCCTGATCCACAAAGAGACACATTGCTGATTTTCTGACACAGCGGATGGGAAACAACTTTCGTCCTGCTGAAGTACTTGACTATTAGTGATTAAGTATACTTAAGACTTAGTCAATCAAATATTCTTACTGTAAAGCATCTTGAAATAGCTACAGCAGCTACAGAACAACCTCTCAAGAGATCGAAAAGTCAATTCGAACGAAGCGAAAGACAGCGGTGAAAAACATCAGCATCAGCCACCAAAGCGTCTCATGGATCAACAATGATCAACATAATTAACTTAATCATCCACGGTGAAAAAACATGAACATTCATGAACATTCATAGCATTTCATAGCTATAGTATAGCTATATTATAGCTATATTAACTTTATATTACAGCATCTTAATGCATCTTATAGCTATATTATAGCCATGAGACTCAGCTTAAATCTTTCCCAGCATCTCATGGATCAGCTGCAGGGCGATGCAGGGATACTCCCCGACCTCCTTCGCCAGCCGCGGCGACAGCCCCAAGCTGCGCATGGCTGTGGCCTTCGTCAGCAGCAAACGCCAGGGGATCTTCGCCACCTCGGCACCGAGGTCCAGAGCACCGCTGCTCCAAATGCCTGGGTGAAAGGCTGGGGGTTGGATGGCTTGGGCCCCACAAAAATGTGAAAAAGCTGGGGAAAAAGTGGAGAACTCGTGGTCTTCGCGGGAAAAAAGTGGTGTTCACCCCTTTAAAAAGTGGACTCCTCCCTTGGCCCATTAAAATGTGTGTTTTTGTCCCTTGAAACATGGTTTGGGGGAAGAATTGTTTTTGGAGTGTTTTTTGGGCCCTGAAATTCCCTGAAGATTTGGCAAAAATGGAGAAACTTGGGTCAGAAATGATTCGTCAATCCCCCAAGGCTATTCAAAAGTTGGCTCATGGCCCTTAAACTTGGCTGGCATCTACCATTCCACAACAACTTAACTTGACTTGGACAATTTCAAAGTACGGTTGTTTTTAAGTGGGAAGAGGATTGAAGCATCATCCCCTAATTATTAGGATTAGGAAATTGGAGGATGTAGCCTACTTTCCCTCGCTTTTATTGGATTTCTTGTGGCTGTTTTCAGGGACAGCACTTCGCGACAGCATAGTCTCTGCAAGTTGGAAAAAATGCCAGAAGAAACAAGGACTTTGTTCCGAGCTTCGTCCCCAAAGGTGGCCCAACAAATATGCACAGACCAACTTTAATGAAGTTGACATTAGAATATCATGAAATAATATGAAATATGCATAAATATGTTTCAGTTGGATCATCTACTATGACATGTTGTTCATTCTTTTTCACCATTTCACTCCCCCCCCCAAACTCCCATTGCCAGGGTCTCATTCCCCTTGGCACCTCGGCCCACCTCATCCTCGCGCACACTGGCGCGGGGATTCAGCTCCGCCCCATTCTCTAAGAGCCACAGTGCCAGGCCGCTGCTCGAAACACCTGGAGCAGGTCCGAACTGCACGGAACATGTAGAGTGCCGTAGAGCGAAAACATGCCGGGTTTCACAGGAAGTTCCTCCACTAAAATCATCACTTTTGGGGGGATGACCGGGGATGACTCTCTAATCTGGTACCAAAAAACAGCAGGACCGGATCACAGCTCTGATTATCTGAAACCTCATGATCCATACGTTGCCAACTGAGCCAAAAAATATCCCGGTTTAACCACCGTGTTCGTGGTTAGAACATCTTAAAACAAGTGGCTTAGAACCCACATGCTGGAAATTATGGGCAAAATATCATCTATCTATATTGGAACTACTGTGTGCTGTTTTTCTCTCTTGGGAGCTATTATACCTCCGTGGCCCAGTTCTGATTGTTGGTTTAGTTTCATACCATTTGCATCCATTTGCTGCTTTGACATATCTATCATTAAGCATGATTAACTATGGTTAACTGCCGGGTTTGGTTAACCATGGTTGACTATGGTTAACCATGGTTAACTACTGTACAGTATGGTTTACTATGGTTTATCGTAGAGAGATCACAGTAGTCAACAACATCTAACAACCATAGTTACTGTAAGCCATATAGAGGTCACCAAAAAGTTAGTAAGGTCTTTCCAGGATGGTAGTTCGATGATCTTTCCCCCATATGTTTCCTCAGAGTACCCCTTTTCAACCACTTTTTGGGTAGCTATAAACCAACTTAGCTACCCTCCGGGAATCAAACATTTTTTCTGGAAAACCCACCATTGCCATAGTTCGTTCGAAGATTTTCCAGCTAGCCACGTTTGATCACTGGAGGGTATTTGTTCTTACTAACATAGGTGATAGATTCCCATTCTCATTCATTATGACTCTTATAATCGCTATTCATCCCTATTGTTGGTGGTTGCATCAGTTCCATATGTTCCATTCCATTCTCCCTCCATTATATCGCCATAAACTCCACATGTTTTGCTGATGAAGTCGCCCTTTTTCCCCATCAAATCCATTATCCCTCTTAAATCTCATATTCCATTTCCATCCATTTCCCATTAAAATCATCCCATTGATCCCCCCTTCCACCAAGGCTACTTTCTATGGCTCAGCTCCCACCTGCGTTCCGCAGCGTTCGGGGTGTCTGTCCGCGACTTCGCAGACGCGGTGCCCGCGGTGCCAGGAAAGCGGGGCCCAGAAGCGCCAGCAAGGCCCCGACCGCGACCGCGACCGCCCGACGGCGGAAAACCATGGCTGCACCGCATCCAGAGGGAGTTCTTGATGGGATTTGACCGGATTGGAGGATTGTTCTTGGGATTTTACAGCATAAAATGATGTTTTTAGATGGCACATACTAGGGGGTGTTTTGTCGATATACAAATGAGTTGGATTTTCTGATCTCTCCAGATGGTTTTGTGGGATGTGATAGGTTCTTCTTCAATGGCTTCTGTTCTGGGATTTGCTAATGGAATGTTTTCAGGCTATTTTTGAATTCCATTTTTGTTATGTTTCATATTGGAAATTTTAGATGATTTTCTATCGCTTATGTAGGATACTGGGTGTCAGGCTCACTACTCCACAGAAGCTGTTGGGAAGAATATAAAATGGATTTACTAATCGTTACAAATCCACACAAATCAGCGAATAAGGTTTCATTAAGGATGTCCTTGGAGATGTTCCTCGGATTTCAAATAAGAAATGGTATATAGTATATAGTATAAAAACATAGAGCGCGGATTCAAGCAGGAGAACCGGAACATTACCGGGCATGTTTAGTATCCAAAAGGCTATGTGTCCAACCCTGGGAGCATGGCATGGGTCTGGATGACACAGGTGGCATTTCCCGGGATGGGTGTTGGTGTATCGTTGGGCTTACATGGGCTTACCACATTTCTCTCTCTCTCTCTCTCTCTCTTTCTCTTTCTCTCTCAGTGACCTGGGAAACTTCCCTTTGTTCAGGTGATTTCAGCCCCTGTTTAAGGACTTAACTACCACACAATTGGCTGCTGAAGTATCCATTTGTCCTCGTTTCTATCGTCCTATTCAACCCCTCCCATGTCAAGAAATAATCTCAAATATGGGTTTGCCTGTAAACAGGGTACCACAAACAGATTGAACGATTTGAAGCCTCTTGTTTAACATTGTCAATGCCAATTTCATACGTATATACAGGTATATGACATGTTCAGAGTCAAGAAACACCCAAAAAAAACAAGTTCTTCAATCAAATTCGAGTTGGTTACATGTCATCATATCATTGTATACATTCCCATTAAAAAGTTGGTTACATCGCAATCTGCTGGTGAACTCCCTAGCAATCCAAGCAGAAGCCAGACGCTGCCTTGAAAATGCTCTCCTTGGGGCCCGGAAGAGCTTCTGAAGACACTGAATAACCCTTTTTTTCATGTGGGATATGATACATTCATGTCAAGAGTTGGATAATATTGTGCATATATATATATGTGTGTGTGTATGTATGTATGTATGTAGATATATATAACAACAACAATTGTAATAACTATAAGAACAACAATAATGACAATAATAGTAATGATAATTATTGCTAGTGTACCAAAAATAACAATAATAAATAGTAATAATAATGATGCTAATAATAAACCACAAAAAATAGATAGTAATAATAATATTATGTTTTATATATAATATGTTTTTAAAGTAGCTTAGTGATTGTTTATGTTATATTACTATGTAGGTGAATGGGGTGGAAACACGCTTGCACACACATATCTATACAAATCCAGAATCTCTGGCACTGCCAGACCTTTCGATCCAGCAGATTCCATTTCAACCTTCAGTGGCCTCACTCCACCCCCAAGAAATGCGAGAGTCAAATGGCGTCTTGGCATCATCCCATTTCGAAGCTGGAAAGTATAGAATTAAACGAAACCACCAAGCAGCTAAGGTGTTGCAGGTTACAGTGATTCTCAATATTTGATGAGTTACCATTCCCCCAATTGACATAGACCCTGAGAATTCGCCATGTCTAGAGGATAGTAGTCTTCCAATCCCTTTCTGGCAGGGTCTATATTAGTTGACGGGGTGGTGTGTATCTATATACATACACACTCTATTCTTATCTATTCCATATCAAATTGGATCTCCATGTTAGATCACATTAGCCGCCTAAAAATCCTGGTGACCCACGATATTTCCTTATATCTCCCATGAAAAATCTGCCCATCGCGTGAAAAACCGACTCCAAGGCACTGGAACCTGCGTCTTGCTATCGAGGTCGCACTTCCTGAGACACGGTGGCACTGATTTGTTCAGATCTCTCTTTATATATGTAACAATGTATATATTATATTTATATATGCATATACACATATATATATATATCTGTGCGTGTGATATGTATGTATATATATATACACATATTTTACGTATCTACGTGTGTGATATATGAATAATTGACATATTAATAAATATATATATATATAAAGAGATATATTTGAAATATATTCAAGAATATATTATGCATAGTTGTTTTTTCTCCATGATGGCGATCATCACCAGCATCTCAACAGCGAGCACCACATTATACCATCCTCACACTGCTCCGATGACAAAAGACTCTGATATTTTTGCCTATGAAAACCTATCAAAAGAGTACAGTTTGGTGATGGTTGATTTTGATACTTTTGGAGTATGTCTATGGCTGATGTATGTTTCAAAAAACGATCAGCCAAGCCGCACTGCTACGTTCTGTAGATTTGGACTGCATGCTGTACAAGGCCTAGTCAAAAAAATCGTTTCCCGTTGGATAAATCCCGGCGTTCCGTGATGTCAGCACTTGAATCCCTTCAAGAAACCTTCCACCATCGGACAAATCATCCCTCCGCAGCATGCTATGCCCACGCGTCAAGATGTTTTGAAGATGTTTGAAGTATGAACTCCCTATGTTTAATTATCATTATTTATCCATGTTTGATATTTTGAGTTTCATGGCGGGTTACCCTGGTCACATCACAATAGCTGGCAGACCGCGAGGATGTTCATCCCCTCCATGCATCCCTGTGAATCCATACACGGTGGTTCCCAGCAAATTGGTTGAGAGGTTAGAACCCTCAATTTTATAGATACCCTCTGGTAAACTAACATAACTAAGGAAAATCACCATTTTTGATGGGAAAATCAACTAACAATGGCCATTTTCAACAGCTATGTTAGTTATTGTTAGTTTACCAGAGGGTATATCTTTCATAAAATCCCATCAAATCATGAAGCTATGGGGCAGCACCATTCATTGAAATCCCCAGAAACATCACCATTTTCGCAGCATCTTCGATGCCACCACGCGACGGTTCCCAGGATCGTGCGGGCTCGCGATTCATGGGATGTCCCAAGAGGACCGGAGCGGCATAGCCGGCCTGGCAGAAAATGTTTTTGGCAGATATAGGTTGGTTCATTAAATCCCATCAAGTGATTAACTATAGTTAGTATCAATAAACATCCATAATGATATATTAATGTATATTAGTTCTATAGATGTTGGTTTAATAACTTAATACCGGAAGTTTAAATGGATGTTTAGGTATAAGTCATAGCTATCATCCGTAAACATTCATACACCATACTTCAATCGCTACGTTGATGCTTAAAAATCCCGTGATAAATTCTATGATTTATGGAGATTTATAGGGAGACATAACTAAGGGGGCCTCACCTCACAAGTGCTAGGGCTGCTAGGGTCTAAGCATGGTATGAGACCAATCAGGAACCTACCATTTGGGGATGGTGTGTACATTTTTGTACAAGCAGTTTATGGTTTCATATTGAGGGATGGCATGGTGTATCATTTTGTTCACCACTTTATATGGTTTATGGTCATGCCATGGCAATCCTGATGCAGCGATGGGGATTTAAAAGCCCCATGAATGACATGGGCTTGAAGCTACAAATAACCAATCAATGAAATCAATGGTTGAATCTAATTCCAATATGTGTATGTTTATATATGCGTGTGTTTTTTTCCGTATATACATGAATATACCCATAGAATTCTTAGGGTTATCTAATGGTTGAAATACTAATACCCTCTGGATAGCCTCTGGCAATGAAACGTGCCCATCTTGAGACCAAAACATGCGATTTGAGGGCAGCCCCTTAGCCAGTGCATCTGGTGGCTCGTGCTTTGGTTACTTTGCATATCCAATGCCATATACCATCCTCAATTACTAGGCATATCCGGAGTAATGGAATAATTTAAACTGATCCTCAAATGGTTGGTTACTGGGATTGTGAATTTTGGGCTGGCTGGCTTACCACAATATACCAATAAATGTGGCTGTTGGCGGTTGGTATTTGGGAGGTTGGGGGGTTGGGGGGTTGGGGGTTTGCCTGACTGATGGGGGTTGATTGAATCTCCATAGAATTAAGGTTGAAATAGTTGAAATCAACCAATAAACGAGCCAATAAATGGGGATTTATCAACCACTGGTGGCCTAATCGACAAATTGATGGATGACTGAAGCAATATATAACTAGGTCTTGCAGCTAACCAATTTTTGGAAAATTCAAGTTACCTCCAAGTCATTACTGAAGCAACCCAAGTTAACCCTAGTTGGGGTAGATGCAATATGTCAATATGTGATGCAATGGGATACAAAGGGGTATAGCCGGTATAGCTGTAATTATAACTAACTGGGGCCCATCATTGAAGGGCGGAGATACCAGCTACATGGTGGGTTAACAAAGCAATCAATCTGGAAATATCCAACCAATTCAATCCAAACAAATGAGACTGAAGCCACAAAGATAGGGGATATAAACATAGATTATAAACATTCATGCCGGACATGTTCGACTATCAGAGCGAATACCCTTTGTGTTTTTTTCCTAGGTGCCTTTTTGGGTCATCTGCTTTGGGAAACCTTTTGGGGATGGTTTCAAGGCCATCCTCCCAGTTGAACTAGGTGTAACATCGGACAATGCTTGATGAAACGACAATCATGGTGCCGGAGTTAAATCACATTGTGAGGCCGTTCTCCCAATTGATCCCGGAGTCAAACCTGCATATACACATGTATGTAGGTGTATATATATATATATATTGTTTTCTATTTTTGTCCATTCTTCATGATTACTAATTTACATGCATATTCCCTCTACATCTGTATTAGACCATGTATGCATATATAGGTATGTGCATACACAAGTATATTCACTGACTTCTCCGTGTCTTCTACTTGCAACGCATATCTATTTTACTATGTTCAGCAATTGGTTCATAACTATAAACATACAACTGCACATTTTGTCGATGGAAAAAATCCGGCACCACCTTGGATGGTTGAAACCTCATATAAATAATAGGATAAACCACCTAGCAACTGGTGGATTTCTTCCATCCACAGACCTCAAAACAACCACCAGGGTCCACATCCCATGGTCGAACCTGAAGGTCCGACAAGGGCGGCCGCTCGTTCCGCTCGGGCGGCCGCTCGTTCAGAGTGGGCAAGATGCTACGCGCCCGGAAAAGATTGGCCTTGCCATAGTCCTGGCATGGAAGAAAATGGGGATTTAACCAACTAACATGACTTTTCTTCAATGCAATTCCTAACCATTGGACGTAACCCTCCACCCCTAAATCCATCAAAAACTTGCTGGTGTATGTGATAGGCCATGTAGCCCATCCTCATCCTCATGGGGAATAGCCTTTCAATTCCATCAGCCCCAACTAATGTGGGTAAAACATGGTAAAACAATCATAAACTACCCATGACTGGGAATGGTAGTTTATACCACCCATAAAAATGGCGATTTTATGGTGATGACTGGGGGATGGTTCAACCGCTGACGTCGGCCTCCACCTTTGCGATGTTTTTGTCACCGACTGCCACAGGTTGTTTGGCCTGGCATCCCGCGTGGCTCACCATGCCAGGGTCAAGTCCTACCACCCCAAATGGGATGGCAGAAAGTCGTGAAAATCCATGAAAATCCCGCGGATTTTAAAGCGATAGAACGATGTTCGACGACTTTTCTTGATCTTTTTTGCTGGTGATTACTGACTAAATATATTGGATTACTAGGAGTAGCACTTGCGTACATACTGAAAGTTGATCGCAAAATCTGCGGTTTCCCCAGTGCCCCTGGGTCTTTGGCAAAGTCTTTGGTGCTTTGACTCATGCCAACAGGTTCAAACAAGGGTTATCAGATTATCAATGAATCAACCAAGGATGTTTTAATATGCGAAATTGAAAAGGATGACATGATATAAAGTGATTTCCTGATTGGTTCATACACGCGGATTCCCATGAAAAGGGTGCTGTGTCAGCTTTTGCTTGGTGGATCCTGACAGGCTTCAGATTGCCCGGCCCCGCCCCTTGGCCTTTTCCTCTTCTTGGTAGCCCTGATGTAGCAAGGCAGGCACCAAGGCTCAAGGGGTCAGCACATCTTAAGGCAACCTCTCAAAAGATGAAGAAAAAAACATCAAGAATTGGTGGAAACTTGATTTTCTATCTGTTCTGGTGCTAGTAAGTACTATAATGTGCGCATACTATATATCGGCACGCATATCCATTCACATATCATTACAGATTCTATGTAAACACAGTGCTACATACAGTGAACGGGTCCGAAGCAAGACTAAGCAAGACCCAAATCACACAGGTTTCGCCTGGAAAATCCCGGGGCCCAAGTAACTTAACTCCCATTTCAGGTGGCTGCCCTCCTTTTTACCTACCAAAAGATGTGCAAAACCCACCATTTCCAGATCATTGTCCGAAGGAAACCACGGTATTTTGCACCTCTTTTCTACGTTTACCCATGTTTACCCAGGATATGTTTTGTTTCTTCTAGGGCCCAAAAAGACCTTGAGACCATGGATCAAACCTGGCTTCCAGATTGGCTTTTGAAAATCGGGCACTTCTAAATAGCCGCAGGTTTGTCATGTTTTTCCCTCATCATCTTCCTACAAACACATCGTTAAAAAAATATCAATTCAATTCATCATAAATGGGACTATATAGTTCTACAAAAATGTCATCCAACTTATTGGATTTATTTCGTCTCCACCTTTTTTTGGATCATCCATTTCTTCGAGTTCCGGAGTTCTTCTGCGCCTCTTGGGGTTGCGAACGCCTGCGTTGCACGTTGGTGGCTTGCCGCGGCTGCTGCTGGCGACGCGCCACCAAGGTTTTTTCCTGCAAAATCAACAATGGTCCATTTGCGAAAGTTGTCTTTTGCAAATACAAATTAGAATCTACAAGAATACATTAGACTTTTACTGAGTTTGTATAGTCATGTTGAATCATAATGATATGTTTATCATTTCTATTCAATAGCCGTGCGTGATCGATCTGCCTATATACTTTGCGAAAGTCATCTTTGGGACCATTTACAAAGGCGCTACTATTAAATGGAGATGATCAACATGTATTACCAACAAAAATCTTGGCAAATCACCGGTCATTGAAAGTAATCTTTGGTAGTATCTATTTGGGACTTGCTTGCTCCAACTTGAAAATGAACAAAATGAATCATTCAAAATTATCCTCAAAGCCTCAAGGTAGGTTTCCTAGATCAACCATTACTGTAATAAATATATAATGTTTTCAAAAGTTGGGGTATGTAGGAGCACAGCTTTTTCAGCAACGCTCTCAGCAGGATTTCTTTGGATGAGCCCCAAGCGTCTCCCGAGTCTTGGCGCTGAAAAATCACCAGTTGGCAATAACCATCTGTGTCATGATCAAATCACAGTACACTGCAACAATCAATGTATTATGATTCCGGTTTGAACTTAACCTATGGGGTCGAGACCCTGATTTTGTAGGCATTGCAAAAAGTTCCTAACTTCAGCCATTATAAAATGATGGTTCTCAACCTCCAAATTTCCTACTTGAAGGGAAAACTCCACCACTACAAAATGAAGATTTGTTTTTATCATCAGGTTACTTGAAGGGAACACTTCAGCACTACAAAATGACGACTGGAAAGGATATGTGTTTCACTGTTGGCTCAGATTGGGTTTTCACATGTTGCCTTCCGAAGGGCAACTTCCCTTGATACAAAATGAGATTGGGTTTTCACATGTTGCCTTCCGAAGGGCAACTTCCCTTGCTACAAAATGAGATTGGACTTTTATATGTTGTCTTCTGATGGGCAAATTCCCTTGCTACAAAATGACTTTCGATTTTTAAAGGTCTTTCAACTACCGAAACGTTGAAAACTTATAAAATGCAGTTCCCAATCTGTAGCTACAAAATGCCTGGCCCAACCCCATTTTGGCATCTTAATTTAAGGCCGGAAATGCCCTTGATACGGGGCACAAGGTCTCCCATTCTGTAGTTGAAATTCGAACGTGGGTGTATTATGTGTTTTTCAGGGAAAATTTTGATCGGAAACCAGGGTGTTTATATATTTACATGTTTATATATACATATATACATATATACATATAAACAATACATATATATATATATACATGGTTCTTACTCCCAGAATCTCCCAAATATCAGGGGTTCCTGCACATTTTCCCTTCAACGACCACCATTCTTCAACCCCACCAGGGCCGGCCGAAAATGTCCTGACGGGCACTGCCCGCCGGATGCTCTGACTCCACTAGGCTTTTCCTGGCTCCACATGGTATATTTTTGTGTTGGGCATCGAACCATTGGAAATCCTGGAATCTTATAATGTTGTATATTGTAGTGTATAGCAGTGTATAGCAGTGTACAGTAGTATATAGTGTATGATGCTAGAATAGTAGTATTATCTATACCATCTTATGGTGCAATTCCCCGTTAATGGTGGTATGACCATCCCCCAAGATGGGCAAAGCAGAAGTTTAACCCCACAAAATGGTTTCTGACGTTGGGAAAGTGGTGGTTTAAGTAATCAATCTGGTGCTGAATCAACCTCTAATCAGCTTGGCTTTGGAATGGCTGAATCTTAATGCGTTTTTTGTGGCCGCATGGAATGTAAAAGTAACTCCCCACCTGTCAGCAAACCCATCTCAATTTCGAGGGCGGCTTGCAAGTTGGAGGCCCATCGCCAAAACACAGCGAGATCATCAAACCTTTCTCCACTTAGAGGTCGTAGATGGTTGTAGATACATAGACTACTTCGATGATTGCCCCATTAAAACCAGCATGTTTAGAGGATGTTCCAAACGCTTCCACCCGCCAGCTGGCTAAACATAACTGTCCGCCTACCAGAAAACTGTTCCATGCCCGGCTGCACGTTGATAACCCCCTGGGAGGTGACTGAATGTGGTAAATCCCATCGCTGGATGGTACTAAACTGGTAATATAGGGAGATTTTTGATATATTGCCACAAAATATATATATATATATGTGATGACGTTTTACTGATTTTCAATATTTTTGCAATGATGTCATAATGATGACAAATTACCATAATGAGTATGATGGTGTTTTACTGGGTTCAATACGTTAACACAGATTAAACCCAATGATAAACTAAAGTTGATTAACCTGGACATTGATGATTTCTACCAAATACACGGTTCGGGAATCGGCAAAACGGTGGAAACACCTGCCATTGCAAATGCTACTGATAGAAACACAGCGCACCTTTTTTTGTGGGAGCCACAGCAAGGGGGCGGCCAGTGTTCGCACTGGCAAAGCTGATGATTTATATTGATGATTAGTGATATAATAATATATATATATTACTTATTCATTTATATATTGATTTCTTTATGTGTTTGTTGATTTATTTATTTTTTATTGATCTATATATATATGTGTTTTTTTTATCTATATATACATATATATGTGATTTATAATCGTCCCAATCGTTCCCAAATGATAGGTTGATGGAATTGTTTGTTTCCCTTGTCATGAAAGTGGGATGAAATGTTCATGGGCGGCATGGACCTCATGATTGGACTAGGCTGGGCCGCCAAACAATCTGTTGTTGTTTTTTAGGGGCAGTCACCAACTATTTCTGAGTCAGTTGTTGGAAGTGAGAAGATAGATTTCACCCTAGAAAGCATTAGAAACCATTAAAGCCCTATCAAAACATATCAAAACATCCACAACACATCCGTGTGGCGCTCAGGATCCCCCTACCGTCCTGCAGCCTCCTAAGGTCCCAGGCGGCCGGAGCTTGAGTGGCTAAGGATGCTAAGCTCTCGGAGCCTGGCTGGTCGAAAGTCAGATTTTTGTCCAACCAAAATGGGGGTTTGACATGAGTTAAGAAGATAAAATGAAGATTTACTTGATAAAATGAGGAGCTAAGAAGAATTCAGATCATTTCAGATTTACGATGAAAAAATGAGGATTTACTTTGATAAAATGAGGAGTCATTTAAGATTTAAGATGAAAAAATGAGGATTTACTTTGATAAAATGAGGAGCTAAGAAGAATTCAGATCATTTCAGATTTACGATGAAAAAATGAGGATTTGATAAAATGAGGAGCTAAGAAGAATTCAGATCATTTCAGATTTACGATGAAAAAATGAGGATTTACTTTGATAAAATGAGGAGCTAAGAAGAATTCAGATCATTTAAGATTTACGATGAAAACATGAGGATTTACTTTGATAAAATGAGGACCTAAGAAGAATTCAGATCATTTGGGATTTACGATGAAAAAATGAGGATTTACTTTGATAAAATGAGGAGCTAAGAAGAATTCAGATCATTTAAGATTTACGATGAAAAAATGAGGATTTACTTTGATAAAATGAGGAGCTAAGAAAATTTCAGATCATTTAAGATTTACGATGAAAAAATGAGGATTTACTTTGATAAAATGAGGAGCTAAGAAGAATTCAGATCATTTCAGATTTACGATGAAAAAATGAGGATTTAGTTTGATAAAATGAGGAGCTAAGAAAATTTCAGATCATTTAAGATTTAAGATGAAAAAATGAGGATTTGATAAAATGAGGAGCTAAGAAGAATTCAGATCATTTAAGATTTACGATGAAAAAATGAGGATTTACTGTGATAAAATGAGGAGCTAAGAAAATTTCAGATCATTTAAAATTTAAGATGAAAAAATGAAGATTTACTTTGATAAAATGAGGAGCTAAGAAGAATTCAGATCATTTCAGGTTTACGATGAAAAAATGAGGATTTACTTTGATAAAATGAGGAGCTAAGAAAATTTCAGATCATTTAAGATTTAAGATGAAAAAATGAGGATTTACTTTGATAAAATGAGGAGCTAAGAAGAATTCAGATCATTTAAGATTTACGATGAAAAAATGAGGATTTACTTTGATAAAATGAGGAGCTAAGAAAATTTCTGATCATTTAAGATTTAAGATGAAAAAATGAGGATTTACTTTGATAAAATGAGGAGCTAAGAAGAATTCAGATCATTTAAGATTTACGATGAAAAAATGAGGATTTACTTTGATAAAATGAGGAGCTAAGAAGAATTCAGATCATTTCAGATTTACGATGAAAAAATGAGGATTTACTTTGATAAAATGAGGAGCTAAGAAGAATTCAGATCATTTAAGATTTACGATGAAAACATGAGGATTTACTTTGATAAAATGAGGAGCTAAGAAAATTTCAGATCATTTAAGATTTAAGATGAAAATGATGGTTTACTTTGATAAAATGAGGAGCTAAGAAGAATTCAGATCATTTCAGATTTACGATGAAAAAATGAGGATTTACTTTGATAAAATGAGGAGCTAAGAAAATTTCTGATCATTTAAGATTTAAGATGAAAAAATGATGATTTACTTTGATAAAATGATGAGCAAAAAATCAGATCATGTAAGATTAGGATGAAGAAATGATGATTTATTTGATAAAATGAGGAACTAAGAAAAATTCAGATCATTTAAGATTTAAGATGATAAAATGAGGATTTACGATGATAAAATGAGCAGTTAAGATGACTTGAGATTTAAGATGATAAAATGAGGGCTTAAGATTGTTTAAGATTATTTAAGATGATGAAATGATGATTCGGTATGATTTAAGATGGTTTAAGATTCAAGATGATTTAATGAAGAATTACAATGATAAAATGATGAGTTAAGATGATTTCAGATTGCAAAATAAGGATTTACTGCGATAAACTGATTAGTTAAGATGATAAAATGATGGTTCAAGATGATTTTAAGATGATAGAATGAGGAATTAAGATGATTTAAGATGATTTAAGATGATAAAACCAGGACTGACTATGATAACATGAGGGGTTAAGATGATTTCAGATCATTTAAAATTTAAGGTGATAAAATAATTAAAGATTAAAGATGTTTAAGGCAATTTAAGATGTTAAAATAAAGATTTACTATGATAGAATGATGATTTAAGATGATAAATGATGAGTTAAGATGATGAAATGCGGAATTCGAGATGAATTAAGATGATTTAAGGTGATCGAAGGAAGTTTAGAAGTCAAACTTCCGACAAAATGGAGAGATGGAAAAGCAGAGGTGGGAAGAGCCAGAGAAGAGCAGAGAAGAGAAGAGAAGAGAAGAGAGAAGATAAGAGAAGAGAAAGAGTCAGAAGAAAGAAGATGCAGGTGCGTGAAAAGGTAGCAAAGTCGCGATTCACTGTGTTTTTTCAATGGTTTGTGCCCCGGAGGGTCAAAAAGTAGGCTCGCTAAAGCGGCGGGTGCGGAGCCATCTGGCCAGATGAGACATGCCTAAAATGCACGCCGTTGTGGCGCGAAGCACATTTCGAAGTCAAAATGTACAAAGCACACCAGGGTCGAAGCACTTTTGGAAGTTGAGATGTCGAAAAAGTGCGCTCCGTTGTGGCGCGAAGCACATGTGGAAGTCAAAATGTACAAAACACATCAAAACACACCATGTTCGGACCACTTTTAGAAGTTGAGATGTTGAAAAATGCATGCCGTTGTGGCGCGAAGTACGTTTCCAAGTCAAAATGTACAAAGCACCACATGTTCGGAGCACTTTTGGAAGTTGAGATGTCGAAAAAGTGCGCGCCGTTGTGGCGCGAAGCACATATCGAAGTTAAAATGTAAAAAACTCCAGGGGTTCGGACCACTTTTGGACGTTTAGATGTCGTTCGGCGTGGCAGGCGCAGGGGATTGTGCACCTTGCCAAAAGTGAGCAAAAACGTGAGGGGATTGTAGCAATTATTTCAACTACAACCACTACACTACAATACTCTACACTACACTACACCCCACTCCACTACAATACATTACACATCATTACACTACTACTACTACGACGACGACGACTACTACTACCACCACTACCACTACCACTACCACTACCACTACCACTACTACTACTACCACCACCACCACCACTACTACTCCTGCTACTACTACTACTGCTACTACTACTACTACTACTACGACTATTACTACTACTACTACTACTACTACCACTACTTCTACTACTACAGCTGCAACTGCAACTACAACTACACTACCTTACACTACACTACGCTAATTACATTACACTACACTAATTAGATTACACTACACTACACTACTACGCTACACTACACTAACTACAACTACAGCTACATAACACTACACTATATACATTACACTACACAACACCACACCACACCACACTACAACTACAACTACATTTACACCACCACCACCACCACCACCACCCTACACTACACTAATTACATTACACTGTACACTACAATAATTACATTACACTACGCTACACTACATTACACTACAGAAACGCTACACTACGCTACGCCACACTATACATACTGCAACTACAACTACAACTACAATTACAACTGCACTACGTACCAGTATACTGCATACTACACTAATTACATAACACTGCACTACACCACACACACTACACTATACTACACTACACTGTACTGCACTACACTATACTACACTACACTAAGTACAGCTACAACTACGCTACTTTGCACTACACTACACTAGATTACACTACGCTACCCTACAGTACATTACACTACACTCATTACACCACCACAAATGCAATTGCAACTGCACTACACTAATTACACTACACCACAACTACAACTCCACTACACTACAACTACAACTACAGCTGCACTACACCACACTACATCCAGCAGTTGTGGGTGAGGTGTCCGACCAGGTGACCAATGCAACCATTGTAACCACTCCAAAATAAACACAACTCCAACCACCTTTCAGTCCATCAGTGGATTCGCTCTGCCATCCGTGATTCACAAAAACCAAGCTCTCCTATAGGTTTCCTATTCTGAAACTTCCGCCACCGCCTTGTGCGGTACTACTGGTAAAATGAGGATTTACTAAGGTGATGAAATGAGGAATTAAGCTGATGAAATGAGGATTTGAGATGGCTTAAGATTATTTAACATTTGATATGATATGCTTTAACTATATATCCTTAAGCAGGAAATACTAGCATAATGAATCAGGGGGGGGTGGAATCCACCTAGCTGTGTCTAGGTGGTTGGCCACTACCAGCACCAAGTGGGAACAACGGCCGTCCCCTGGGTCTTACCTGTCATAGGAACAGCTCCGTTGTGCACAGCTTGCCGACCTGGGCCAGATTATCGAGAGAGAAAACATGAGAAAACACACAAAAATGATCTAGAATGAAATTGAATCTAGAGTGAGTTTTCTTACTTATCAGGGAGGTTTCTTCATTTCTTCACGACCAAAAAGCACCTTTTTTTCAATAGATCTTCCCTGAAAACGCCATCTCGCAAATTCCAAGATCCAAAAGTCTAATAGATCCGAGCCGAACAGTTCGCAAGTTTACCCAAATAGCTGCAGAACTATAGATACTAAATCAACTTTAGTTTGCATGATCAACTTTAGGCACCTTGTGGGACATGAGATCCGTGGATAAAAATCAAGCTATCGACCGACTCACCCTGCGATTTGGCAAGGAAGCCACTGATCTTCCAGTTCCAGGGTGATTTAGGTCCACCAAATATCAAGCTGGTCGAGGTAGGGGATGAAAAAAGGGTGATCCGCCCACAAATTCTGAATCCCAGAAATCTCTCGGATTCAACTGGTATCAGCCGCGATCCCCACCTAAAGCTCAGGGCCGGTGACCAACAACTCCAAGACTGTGACACTGTAGACAGGAGTACGCCCAAGCGAAAAACAGAACATCACATCAGCGTCAAATATTGCACAGACTAACTTTTCATAATGTCAACCCCAGACCCTGACTATTCACATCAATTCACCTACAAGAATGATAAAGTACCTTTCGAATTGGTACCCCCCTATCCAAAAAAAATAGATTCTTAAAAAAACGGTGCCTCAGTGTCTTTGGGTTTCTTCAGATTTACAGCACCGGGTGACCTAGACCTTGACGCTTCCAAGGCACTTTCATAATTCTCGTGGTAGGTCCGCCGCCGTGCGACGCCCTTCACCGTGTTGGGACTTTCGGTGGCGTAGGGTGCCTGGACGGAGGGGACGGTTCCGAAGTGGCTTACTAACCATCATGCTTTCGTCATGTTGAGGTCGCGAAATCATTGCAGATTAATTGATATACAATTATTTCTATAGTATGCATAGGATGCATGTATGTATGTATGTATGTCTGTCTGTCTGTCTGTCTGTCTGTCTGTCTGTCTGTATGTATGTATGTATGTATGTGTATATATATATTGTATTATAAGTATTTGCATGTATAAATGTACACAGTTCTATCATGGTCTATCGGTATTGCAGATGATTACTTGGTATTAAATGTACACATGCCGACATCCTGACCATGCAGCAAGCAGGCCTGCACCCCGGTCTTCAGCGGGTCTGGTGACCCAGGTGCGGAAACACGCGACTCGCCTGCGTGGAGGGGGTGGTTTTCACCGGAGAAATGATGAAGGTTGAAGTCGTTAAAGTCTCAAAATCCCTTAAATTCAGTCTCAAAATGATGAAGTATACATCAAAATCCCTGAAATAATTGAAATATACCTTAAAATCCCGGAAATCATGATGTTCCAAAAACAAAACAAAAATAATAATGACGTTCCAAAAAATGAGGAGTTCCAAAAATCCATCAATCATAGTAAATCCCCTTTCTCAAAATATCTCAAAAAAAAGATTGTCCTCACCTGACTAGGGCATCCGGATGCCGTTCGCGCCTCTGGCACTAAGCAGAGCTGGAGCAGGACGTTGCCTTAGAGAAAATGGCCTACATCCCAGGGCTGGACAGGTGAAGAATGGTGAAGAAGTGAGAAACACATAGAAAATCATAGAAATACTTCCTAAGTGCAATAAGATCTGAATAAGATGCAACTTGGAAACACACAACTTGCAGTTGAAACACATGGGGAAACTGCATGGGAAAATTGATTGTGCTGCTGTGAACTTGGACATGAAGTTCGATCCAGGCTCTCTGCAAATCGACACATCCGCAAGGGCAAATCACTCGTAGGAAATTGGAAGGAAAAAGGTCGAATCTTCAGCTGATAAACTCTGAAACTCCAACGGCATGTCCACGCGGCACGTTTCACCAGGGTTCTGGTGGGTAAAACTTCGCAGGGATTGGAATGAGGGGGCATCATGGCGCATGTTGGCTGGATTTCTGGTGTATGTTTGATGATTTGATTTCACCGCCAAAACTGGGGCAAAGAAACAAGTGCTACAATCTCAGCCTTTTAGATCCTTTTAGCACCAGTGAACTACGATGCAACATGTAGTGCGAGGTTCTCCTAGGAACTATGGATGATGTTCCCCGCTCTATACCTCCATTGAGAAGATTTGATGAGTGTTTTTTTCCAGTGCTATGTTTGATTACCAGAAGGTAAGCCCATTTTGGAGTGGTCCGCCCGACTCATCATTGAGGTCCAAGTTTCGCAGGCACCGGTGCAGGCAGTCGTGCCTTTTCTTCGAAGGCCTTGGGAGCTGCGAATCTTGACGAACGGAAAGTCAGCAGGAACATCTGCGGGAAAATGCCCTTTATTCCAGGTGAATTTTCCATTGAACCCATCTAATGACTTAATGGTTTCAATCTACTGGCAAACCATGGGTTGAACTGGGCACCTCTCTCTCTTTCCCTAGCTCATCTAGGAGAATTACTCTGCGTTCTTTCTGCCAAAGAATTGAATCGTCTTGTATCTTTTACCTCCTCCATTTCCGTCCAAAATCATCTACCCTCCAGAAAACATTTGTAAAACCCAGCATTTCAATCAGCTGTCTTCAGGAAAACCATGTTTTTGGTTTATTATCCCCATGAATGTTCATGTTTTCCCCATATCTCAATGACTTTCCGGGTCAAACTAAGCCACCTTCACCACCTTCACCCACCCCGAGCGAGACCCACCGCCAGCGCTGTGCGAGCTTTCATGGCGGTAAGGCGGCAAGCCAGTTCAGGGCCTGAAGAGTTTTCGATCATGAATGGATACATTCAATTATGTAACAGATGGTTATAGATCGTTGTAGATGCTTATAAATAACTATAGATTTATAGATAATTATATATGGTTATAGATGCTTACACATGATTATAGATGGTGAAAGATGGTTATATATGGTTATATGTTCTATTATTGTAATAGCTATCATCTATCATTATGAATAATGGTTGTTATAATCACTATAGATGGTTATAGATTGTTATGAACTATCCATTATAACCACTATAACAATGATGATCTTATGATTGTTATAATTTAACGGTTATCATCATGCATAGACATACCATTGCAACTATGTTTGTAGATGGTTATCAACCAGCAAAAAGTTCACTATGGTTATTGTACCTATGTGTATGTGAAGTATAGTGTTGTTGAGTTAACTACCGTTATAACTACTGTGATATAGATTAACTAGGGTTTTGGGCAACTATAACTGTACTTAAAGGGATGTCCAAACCTACTCATATACCCTTGCTTAATATGGGATTGACCAACAAAAATGTGACTCAATGGAATTTAATGGTGATATAATATTACAATGAAATGATGTGATGTGCACATATATATATATATAATGGGATATATCAATATGTCCTCAATATCATACTCTCCAGTAATCAAACATGGCGTGCCGGAAAAATCCTCCATTTGGTTCGATGATTTCCCATTCAAACCTCCATTTATTGTGGGGAATATTCAAGCCAGCCACGTTTGATTGCCGATGGGTTTGTTTTTCTGTTGGGGGACATGGTTGTTGTATTGAAAACGTAACTTTTGCATTTGCGTGTTTGAATGTGTTTGAGGGTATGGCCTTTAAATGCCATTAAATATCTCTAAATGCTGTTCCAGTAAGGCTCCCCAAATGGTGAGATAGTATATAGGGGCTGTGACTTACTATTGGGCTTGCCGTTTGCCACACTAGTCAAATGGCAGAAAATCACCAGGAAAAAGGTAACAGTGAGCCAACCAACACAAAAATTGAAGCAACAATACAGTATTTATACGGATGCACGGGTAGATATAGACAAACACAGTGTTTTCTGTTCACTATTGTTTTCTATTTATTCTATTTACATACATATACAAATCACGCATGTGTGGATATTTATTAACCTAGATCATCCTACACTCCACCATCCCACAAATCCAACAAAATACGGGCTACTTGAACAAGTGCTTCGTCCTCACCATTTCAGGCCACATCAAAATCGCTTGACCCGGGCCCCAAAAAAGACTCCCCACTGGACGGCGCTTGCACAGTCGCCCTGAAGCGGAGTTGACTCGTTGACGGCCGAAAAATTGGAACAGTCGATTCACGAAGGGATACAAAATATGTATGTATATATATATAATGTTATGCCTATACTTGCATGTACATATGTATATACATGTGTGTGTATTTGTTGTATTTGCAAACCAGCTCCCAGACTTCGGGCACCCAAAAATTCACCATCGTACCCTTCGGTAAATGAACATAGATCCTGCCGTTCATAGGGGGTTGGAAGGTTCGTTTCTACTAAATCTACTAAGGCATTGGTTAGTTATATGATGTTATATTCAGGGTCTATTTGAATTAGGGGGATGGTTGCTGGATTCCGATTAGAACTTCCGAATCTCCATGTTTTATGGTTCCATGGACTCCATGGCCATGGCACCACGGCAATTCTCAAGTTGGTTGTGGGTTCCATCGATTGTGGTGGAAACTTTGGAAACCAACAAACGACACCACATATTTTATATGTTACTGGGGGTTTCTTAAAATGTTCCTGGTGGATCCACAAACCCCCAAACCCCCCATATATCATATATCATATATAGGTTTCAATACTAAAATGGTCGTTCATGACTTGGATGATTTGGGGGTACCACCATTTTAGGAAACCTCCATAATTATTGGTGAAAAGATTTGCAAGTTTGCCAAAGGCCACCTTTCGTGACACAAGTTTCATGCTTCGTGTTCACTACGGCTGGGCTCTCCAAACTGGCACTGGAAAATAAAAGTGGTCATCAAAACATCCCGAAGCCCCAGCATTGGCAAATGATTTCCTTCCAGGAATCAAACGTGGCAATGGGGAATAGATGGTTTAATGATGGGTTCATGGGCAATTCATGGTAACCATCCCTGCGTCCCGGAACTGTAAAAACCAGCGGGTCCGAATCATCTGAACATGTATCCAATTGGTACTGATTAGGACGCTTGGATGAAACATATATATATATATACATATATACACATAATTTATATATATTATATAACTGGGATATCAATTATCTCAAACATACATGCTTTAAACATCTTTAAACAACAAAAGAACAAGATGAAGCCCACGAACCCGAATGCTCACACGTATGTTAATGGTACAGATGTCAAAACAGATGGTTATGCGGTCACGCACAATATCTTTCGGCAATAGTTTATATTTGAACAGTCTTGTACATGTTTCCCTTGTTACCAGTCTGCAGTATGGGGTGGAAAGTGTGGAGTGTGGAGTGTGGAGTGTGAAGTGAAGTAAGGAGTGTGGAGTGTAAAGTGTGGAGTGGGGAGTGTAGAGTGTGTAAAGTGTAGAATGCGGAGTATAAAGTGTAGAGTGTGGAGTATGGAGTGTAAAGTGTAGAGTGTGGAGTCTGGAGTGTACAGTGTGGAGTGTAAAGTGTGGAATGAGGAGTGTAAAGTGGAAAGCGTGGAGTGTAAAGTGTAAAGTGTGGAGTGTAAAGTGTAGAGTGTGGAGTGTAAAGTGTGGAGTGTAAAGTGTGGAGTGTGGAGTGTAAAGTGTGGAGTGAGGAGTGTAAAGTGTGGAGTGTGGAGTGTGGAGTGTGGAGTGGAAAGTGTGGAGTGTGAAGTGTGGAGTGTAAAGTGTGGAGTGTGGAGTGAGGAGTGTAAAGTGTGGAGCGAGGAGTGTAAAGTGTGGAGTGTGGAAAAGTGTGGAGTGTGGAGTGAGGAGTGTAAAGTGTGGAGTGTGGAGTGTAAAGTGTGGAGTGTAAAGTGTGGGTGTGGAGTGTGGAGCGTAAAGTGTAGAGTGTGGAGTCTGGAGTGGAAAGTGTAGAGTGTGGTGTGTAGAGTGTGGAGTGTAAAGTGAGGAGTGCAAAGTGTGGAGTGTGGAGTGAGGAGTGTAAAGTATAAAGTGTGGAGTGTGGAGTGCACAGTAAAGTGTGGAGTGTGGAGTGCGGAGTGTGGAGTGGAAAGTGTAGAGTGTGGAGTGTGGTGTGTAAAGTGGGGAGTGTGGAGTGTAGAGTGTGGAGTGAGGAGTGTAAAGTGTGGAGTGTAAAGTGTGGAGTGCGAAATGTGGAGTGGAAAGAGTAGAGTGTGGTGTGTAGAGTGTGGAGTGTAAAATATACAGTGTAGAGTGTAAAGTGTAGAGTGTGGATTGTAGAGTGTAAAGTGTAGAGTGTAAAGTGTAGAGTGTGGAGTGTAAAGTGTAAAGTGACGAGTGTAAAGTGTAGAGTGGGGAGTGTAAAGTGTGGAGTGAGGAGTGTAAAGTGTGGAGTGTGGAGTGTGGAGTGGAAAGTGTGGAGTGTAAAGTAAGGAGTGTGTAGTGTAAAGTGTGGAGTGTAAAGTGTAGAGTGTGGAGTGTACAGTGTAGAGTGAGGAGTGAGGAGTGGAAAGTGTAGAGTGCAGTGTAAAGTGTGGAGTGTGGAGTGTAAAGTCTCAGGTGAGGAGTGAGGAGTGTAAAGTGCAAAGTGTAAAGTGTGGAGTGTAAAGTGTAGAGTGTGGGGTCTAAAGTGTAAATTGTGGAGTGTGGAGTGTAAAGTGTAGAGTGTGGAGTGCGAAGCTTCCCCCATAGACACGGCGACGCCACAGGAAAACCAGAGACTCGAAACGAGACACGTGGGTGCAAAAAAACGAGCATTTCGTGCGAGACTTCCTCCAATTTTGACATTTTCAACACGTTATCAAGCAGCTTGGAATGTCACAAAGTGCCACGCCTGCCACGCCAAAACGACAGGAAAACCTGCTTGGAAACATTGGAAAAGGACATGTTTTCCAGCTTCTCCCATAGACACGGCGACGCCACAGGAAAACCAGCGACTCTAGACAAGACACGTGGATGCAGAAAAACCAGCATTTCGTACGAGACTTCCTCCAATTTTGACATGTTTGACACATTATCAAACAGGTTCGAATGTCACAAAGTGCCACGCCTGCCATGCAAAACGACAGGACAACTTCCTTGGAAACCTTCGAAAAGGAGAGGTTTTGCGGCTTCCCCCATAGACACGGCGAAGCCACAGGAAAACCAGAGACTCGAGACGAGACACGTGGGAGCACCAAAACGATCATTTCGTACGAGACTTCCGGCGATTTTCACAGTTGGCAACATAACAAAAGGACAGGTTTTGCAGCTTCCCCCATAGACACGGCGAAGCCACGGGAAAACCAGAGACTCGAGACGAGACACGTGGGAGCACCAAAACGAGCATTTCGTACGAGACTTCCTCCAATTTTGACACTTTGCAGCTTCAAAATCGACGTTTTCCTACGAGTTTTCCTTAGAACCTGAAAATTTGCAACCTCAAAATCAATGTTTCGTGCGAGGCTTCCGTCAATTTTCAGCACATGTCACAAAATGCCACGCCTGCCACGGAATTTGCACCTTGTCGCCACTTGACGCAGCCCTGCCAATGCGATTTACAAAAAACACGCAACACGACACGTCTAAAGTGCTGCGCCTGCCACGAAAAATGACGATGGACACGTCCAAAGTGCTGCGCCTGCCACGAAAACTGCAACACATCTTTTGAAAACGTGACAAAAGTATTGCGCCTGCCACGCAAAACGACTTTCGACACGTTCCAGAACACGTCTGAATGTCACGAAGTGCCACGCCTGCCACGCGAAACGAAGCAACCAGACGTCTGAAACCTCCAAAAAGGACCACTTCTGCAAAACTTCCCATAGGCACGGCCATACGGAGTTCGTACGGACGGTTGCGGACGGTTGCGAACGGTTGCGAACGGTTGCGGACGGTTGCGACCGTGAACGCAACGTCGAGCGAACACACCCTCAACCCCCAGACCCCCAGAGTGAAACGGGAACCCTTGCTACGCATTCGGGAAAAATGTGAAATCCGATGGAGTAACGCCAATTGTTAGCTGCATTTTCATAAGCTACTACCATCTGGCAATTTCATATAGCTATGAAAAATGGACCACTTAATTCGACGATTCAACGACTGTATTGCAGTAGACATGGTGATTTTAGTGATTTTCCATAGCAAACTCACCTTTGCGGCTTTGCAACACACATTCCCAGCATATCCCATGAGTTTTTCATCCCACCATTGGTGAAATCATGTGAAATCCCACCAGTCATTTCTTGATGAATCCGCTGGGGACTGTCCCCATGAAATCCATCATCGAAACTGGCCTTGGAGCTGCTCCATTTGGCCGAGGTCGGGGAGGGCCCTCCTTCACCTGCTGAAATTCGTTGCGGATCCATGCGGATCCAGCATCCCCAGATTGACCATGACATCCATGACATGCCAGGGCCCTATGGGATTGAAACCATCAAACTATGGCATTTTTTCTTGTGGGTTATGACATTGCGGTACCGGCCTTTATGAGCTTAGGGAAAACCCATCGAAACCCGTGGAGCCTAGTGGAAAATCTACAAAAATGGCTGAGTGGGTTTATGCAAAAATGGCTAGGTTGGTTTACAATACCTCGGGATTCGAACTACTGGAAAATAGAACGCATAAAATGGTTCAGTGGGTGTATAACTAGGCGAGCGATTTGTTTTTTTCTGGATGTATCTATTGTCGGCTGGGGTTATAAATCAACTTATGAGTAAAAGGGGCGGTCCCTTTCTGAGCGGTTTGGGGAGGAATACCATGCCCCACGAAAATTCATGGGTTTGGTATGGTTGATTGAAGTAGGGGCGGGATGTTTTCTTCATAAGCATCCAAAGGTGACTGGAACTGCTTCACCTAGAAAGTTGGTTTCTAAGTAGGCTAACGGTTCTGGTGGATATGACATATATCTATAGCTCGCTGGTGTTTTTTGAAGCGACTTGCCACTCGGGTCCCTTCCTGCATGGTTTGCGGGGGGAATACTATTCCCAACAATTAAGGGGGGATACCTGGCATGAGACCTATCCCCATATTTTGATGGTGCCATAGGTATTAACCCATCAGTATATTATAGCCATATGTATAGCCATCACATAATAGCAGATTTTCCCCAGTCCCACTTCATAGGTGCCGAATCCCCAGGATTGAAACTCAAAATCCCAGTTTGGCAGGTCGAAAGAATGAGTACCATCTGGGTATTCAAAGGTGGCTGGCAGCTGCAAAAATCAGCTGTAAATCTCCAAAGTGGTGGGGTTTTGTTTGACTACAGGAGGAAGATGAAGAAACAAGTGCTGCTGTGATTGGACCGTTGAACCCACGATTTCTATTGCTTTATTTGTTCTAGGGTAACAACCATGACATATCCACCAATCCTTTCCCTTCAACAGAAAAGTCCCTTTTAAAAAAAACCTAGTTTGGTATGATTGTGTCTCCGATCATATCCGATCTATTCATTTCGGGCATGTGATATCCATACGATGGGATTCATGGACCCGCAATGCCAAGAGGTTCCGCACATTCTTGCAATGGATACCCTAGTAGAATGGGGGATATCCAAATTTACATGTCCCAAAATGGATACATCATACTCCAATGACGCCAATGGCTGCAAATCTATCCCAGATACCCTGGCTTTATATCTTGATAAATTTGTTGGTTGCGCTCACTATGAAATGCGTGTTGAATATTTTCTATGCTCGTCCCAATAATGGATGGTTGATACATACCGTTATTGCTGGATGTTTGGTGGTTAAGATTTGCCCTTCACGTAGACCCTTCTTATTTCGGGGGGTGTACAAAGAGATGTTCCTCACATTTAGGTTGCATGTATGGTTATATATATATATGGTTGAGTATGGTTGGGTGCTTGATTAGCCCCAAACAAACATCATCATGATGCATTCTGTCAATCATCAAAAAAGTGTTTTTCCTTCCAACAAACAAGTTTTTGGTAACCTTATCACGGTTGAACATATCTCACCTATAATCTGGCCAGAATCGGTTGCCATCACCACAACTATCCACAACTATCCAGAAAATTGAACGATTTTACAATCCTATTACGGGGTTAGAACTTCAATTTCTGGTGGACCGCAAACATCAATAGTTCCTTACAACTATCCTATCTATCTGGTTGGTGGTTTGAACCCTCTGAAAAATATGAAAGTCAGTTGGGAGAGCATTATTCCCCATACATGGAAAGTCATAAAATTCATAAATTCCAAACCACCAACCAGCGATTATCAACCAACCATTCTTAACCATTATTAACCATCATTATCCCATACTAAACCAATGTCCCAAACCACCAACCAGCTATTAATCCATAGGTTTTTGGTGACCCAAACGTCAAACGCTCCATACCTCGCCTCTCCCTGGAACAGCCTCCAAGCCGCCGTGGCACGCGCCGCCGCCGCGGCGGCCGAGGAAGTCATGGAGTCGCCCTCCTCTGTTTCCGAGAACTCCATGGGTGAACAAGGGAAAAACATGGAAAAACCAGGGGAAACATATGGCAAAATTGGAGAAAAGAGAAGATTTCACCTAGGACTTGTTTGTGTTTTTTTTGAGTTCAAAACTTCGAATGAAGATGCAAGCAGCAAAAAATTATGGTTCAACTGGCAAAAATGTGGATTTAAGCAGCCGAAAATGGATGTATCTGTGCGGCTGTCGAAACTCCTTGTCTGAGGAAAGGACATCAACATAATTTGGAAAGGTCCCATCGCTAACCACAGTCCCGTAACAATTTACATATCATTGCTTTCATTAGTTTGGAGGGGGTATCGCTAATACTAAACCCAATTAAAGTAGGTATCACATTCATGAAGAAAGCAGCTGCTCTGAGCTTTCACCTCTCTGAGCTGGATGAATCTGAAGAAGAACTGCTGGAGGAGCTGCTTTGCAAGCACCCAAAACGTACTCTAATTGTAGACATTGCGGTCCGGAAAGACATGCAGCGGTCCGGAAAAGCAAGCACCCAAAACGCACTCTAATTGTAGACATTGCGGTCCGGAAAGACATGCAGCGGTCCGGAAAAGCAAGCATCCAAAACGCACTCTAATTGTAGACATTGCGGTCCGGAAAGACATGCAGCGGTCCGGAAAAGCAAGCACCCAAAACGTACTCTAATTGTAGACATTGCGGTCCGGAAAGACATGCAGCGGTCCGGAAAAGCAAGCACCCAAAACTTACTCTAACTGTAGGCATTGCGGTCCGGAAACACATGCAGCGGTCCGGAAAAGAGGATAGCACGAGACAGACATGGAGAAAAATAGAAGGCGAGAGAGAAAGAGAGAGAGACAGAGAGAGGAAGAGGGAAAGAGAGAGAGAGAGAGATAGAGAGAGAGAGAGAGCGTTGTAAATGGTGAGCAGCGGGGTGTTTCAGAGTGGTTTCAGACCTCTTTTTGTCCTTAGGCTACCTCGGCTTTGGAGAAAAACAGGAAAGAACGAGAAAAGAAAGAAGAGAAGGGAGAAAGAGACAGAGACAAAGAAGAAGTCTTGAGACGGTGAGCAGGAAGATGTTTCGAACTGGTTTCAGACCTCTTGTGGGGCCTGTTATGGGGCTACCTAGTTCTTAAGACATCCAAAAGAAGGCTCAAAACAGATTGTACTTGAAACACATAGCAACAACAGTGCTTTGCGCAACTAACCCCGAGCCCAAAACTGTGGGGCGCAGATGAAACATCTCAAATGGGGGTATCGCTATTTGGAAAGGTCCCATCGCTAACCTCAGCTTTTTGCATTTTATGACAACCAATGTCCAGCGAATACATATCTTCCATAACGCGAGTTTTGACGGTTGTTCATATAGTGATTTTACATGCTTTTACACCCTTGAAATTCAAGACCGAACCTCTCAAGAATTCCATGGAACTAAGAAGACTAATTAAGAGACAGGTAAACGGCAAACTTAGAAAACGAAAGAGGAGACCCTAATTTTACCGCTTTGAAAAGAAAACTCATCTTCCAAGCCGTTTCTTGAGCTGGAGAATAGGTGGTCATCTTGATTCTGTCCCGGCATACCAAGACCTCAGACACTTTTGATGGGAAGATACGGTACATATATATGTATATATATATATACATATTCCATCCCCCTTAGTATCGTTAGTATGAACTGCCATTAAACGCCTCATATGGGTCCCAAAAATGAATATATAGATCCAAACTAAACCAGGGGTTTCTATGTGAGTAATTATGCGATATTTGGGGGAATGGATAATCATATAGTTCCCTTTTCAGGCAAGGCAACAAGCCTAGATCACGTGCGGGTCATCGATTGCAAGGAACTACACCAAGATGCCGGGTGAATTCTCCCACATGTGGGGGTTATCCCATCTGCATTTATCAATGTATCATCATGGTTTTCCATGGGTTTTCCCCATGGTTTTCACCATGGGAAAACGTTTTCACCCACTGTTTCCATAGCTGCCATAGCACCTCTGGCTTCACCCTACGGCTCGGAGAACGTCTTCGAATCTTGGAACACCCCCTTGGGGAGATTTTGAAAAGTAAAAGCCTACTTGAAATAGACTGATAGTTTACTTTTCATTACTGTACTTTTCTAGGGTGGCTGTTGTTTTGTATTTCTATGGTGTTTTTTTCAATGTCCACCCCCTGCTTTGGCACCAAACTCCTGTCGCAAGTCGTTTCGACCTTTGCAACCAGTCGGAGATGTTGGGGATAGATCGTGACCCATGGGCCCTATACCAAAGCGTCGATTTGTTTGGGGGGGGTGGGGATCAAAATAATCCTATTCAGCCAGGCATCCATTGATCTGTCTATCTATTCATGCATTGATGTATCACAATCACAATCTCTGTATGTTTCTTTCAAATCTATCATTATCTAATCTAGTCTAATCCAGTCTATCTAAATCCATGATTATGAACTTCAAGTAGAGCTACGTACCTCCATCTGTGGGGGGGAAATATGTGCAGTCGATGAAATGACCAGCGCGTACTGTACCTTGTATGCACCTTCAAACAGCGATGCAGGAACAAGTGGGTGTGCACTTCCCAAATGGTAATTCTATAGGCATAATTAGTGATGATAAACTACTCAAATTTAGGGGTATGTATACACCCCATTTTAAGACACGCGCAAGTTCTTAGATCTTGCGTGCCGTGCCCCGTTGATAGTAAAGAATGTTCCAGATGAGAACACATCTTCACCGGACATTCGCCAGCCATTTGACTTCCCTTACCATCTTCGTGGCTATTCATCCCATATTAGGGAATTGGTTCATTACATTTACAGTACTTGCAACGGTTACAAGTTACAAGCCAAGAAAAATAAGAAAATACACTGAGGTCATTAATGACTCCGTTTCTCCAGAAGATATTTCAACACCCCCCACTCAAAATTCAGGTTTAGCACTGGAGAGTAGATTGGATCTCTTCATCGAAATCGGGGTCGCAAAAACGCTATGTGATCACCCTCTGGCAATCAAACCTCTTTTGCTGGAACATATTGGAAAATCACAGTAAAATCATCAATTTATTGACGAATGAAGAAACATGTATTGAATATTTAGCTCAGGGATTTGCACGGGATTTCCCAGCAAACAATGTTTGATTTCCCAACAATCATTATGTCCTGTTATTGTTGGTTACATCCCCATAAAATATCATAAAATCCCATAAAATCCCGTCAATTCACCATGGAAAATCGCGGCAGCCACCGACCAAAAACAACCCGACCTGCAAGGCTAGTGGGCCGCAAGCACCGCATAAACGCGTTCCCCGCGACTGGAGGTGCTCGGAGCCGAAATGGCAGCAGTCTGACAACGGGCCTGAAATCAGATTTCGGAAACGTCCTAAATTGTGGTGGAAACATTGGAAACCCATTTTAAAAGGGTTTTTTCCCAAGCATCATTTCCGGCTTGCGGGCCCTTGTTGCGATGGTCTCCGAATTTCCTGGAGCCACCTTTACAGAGGCCTGCAATCCCCATGATCAAACTCACTGGACTGATCTCCGGGTTGTTTTCTGCAGCCAAGATCTGCCAATTATATAATATTATATATATATACGTATATTATATATATATCCGTACTGAATCGTCTTACTGAGAAGTCCTGTGCCTTGATCATGTTTAAAACATTTTTGACATAGATTATCGTCCGAGCGTTTAACCGTTTAACCCCATAGTTTTTCCACATCTATGTTCGTTTACGGCTGCAATGGGGTCAGGTTTTTTGGTCAAACGCATGTTCCTAGCGTTTCCCATTTGCTCAGTACATGGTTTACCCTCTGGTAAACTAACATAGCTATTGAAAATGACCATTTATAGTGGATTTTCCCATTAAAAATTGTGATTTTCCATAGCTATGTTAGTTTACCAGAGGGTATTTCCATGGGTTTTCCCACATCCACCAACACACCCCAAGGGTACACCATGTTCCCAGACAGGCCCAAGCCTGAGGCGACCTGACATCGAGCTTCCCCAGCAACGTTCTTTAAAGCCAGGACGGCACCAAACATACGGTAATTAATTGAGAATGATCATTGATATATCTATATCTATATATATATATATAGTGTGTGTGTATTGATATACATGTCATCAAAATGAGAATTCCAATTTGATGCTATCATGAATGAGGATATTCTGATCTTTGTTGAGCCCGCCCTGCAAACTGCAAATGCAAAAACAGCAGCAGGATGGGATGTTACACCAACAATGATGGTGGATATCGGATATTAATTGATACCAAAGTCTTTTGTCCAACGCAAAACTTGTGTTTGCATCCCAAACCTGCGAACTCTTGTTGACAAAGACACGTATGGATGTTTAACACCAAGAGCTGTGATTACGAAACATTTTTTTCCACGGACATGCGGATTTAATCATGAAAATGTGGATCTATAATATAGAAGTTCCAAAATGGAGGATGTTCATGGATTTTAGCACAAAACATGGTTTCAGCTCATGTTGGTTTCAACCAGAAAACATCTATAATATATACCTTGTGATTCATGGCGGAGTCCGGGATCCGCCCATGCTATAAGGATGTTTTTTAATTATAAGATTCCACGTTATAAAATCTTATAAAATAGCGCCAACGTTGGTGACAATATATGGTTGTCAACAATTGAGCTGTGTTTTAAATGTCTTGCATGGCGGCACCAAACAAGGAAAAGGTTACGCTGCTGCTTACGCGCGCACAAGTTTTACTTACGCACGTTATAGTACCTTACGCAGACCTTACGCTGACAAATTTTAGCACGTCACCACAGTTTCGGCTTACGGGCAGCAACTTTTACATGCAAGAATCGAAGTAGTGATTGGCAAAATCAAGCAGTGGACGATGAAGACGTGGAAGAAGAGGAAGAAAATGATGAAGAAGTACCACCAGCAGAAGCTCGCAGAGCACGAAGCTGACAACGTTTTTAGACAGCACCCTTGCTGAGAGCACGGGCATAACTGGAGAGTTTCTCTTCCAGGGATCGTTTGGGCAAAGGCATGCTGGAACTCTTGTGTGCCTTTTTTGGTTTGCAAACTTTCTGGTAAGTTCAGTCACATCTCCGGCTTGAGGGCCGACGGATTCCCATGCACGAGGCTTGTCATAATATCCACGGCGCCAAACTTCAGTATCTACAGGCGTTGTAAACTCAGAAATTCTGGAGAGTCTGAAGGCTTCAGCCACAGAAGCGCGCAGGTCACCAAGAGAAGCGACGAGCTGACCACACTTACCACAAATACCGGACAGGCCAGGCAAGACAGATTGACATCTGGAGAAGGCCTTGTTCAACAAGAGGTGGGCTTCATCTAGAGAAGGACAGTGCCGTTCGAGAATGTCGGACACGGTCTTTGTCAAAATTCGCTGGCGCTCATGACCAAGATCGGAGAAGGGTTTGGATTTGGGCGGCATGGGCAACTACTAGCAAAAGCACCTTTGGCTTACGCGCAGCTTACGCGGTCCTTACGCGGATGTCAGGAAACAACTACGCAAAACACCCACTGAAGATAACCAAGGTTCCTTCAAGAAAAGGCATTCCAATGCATAGGTTGCCCTGTCACTCTCTGCATCTGCCCCTTGATATGCTGAATTCTTAAGTACATGTGGGTCCCTGCAAACCTTGAACAGCGAATTGGTCCATATCGATAGAACTGGGGAAAACCATCCATACTCTATAAAGTGATGTAAAGTGTTGATGAAGTGTCCATGCATGTGATTGAAACAATACATATTCTCAACCAAACCTTTGGGAACATAACACTTTCCGTCACCGCGTCATTGTAAAAACGGCTGTGTTGAATTGAAAGACAGGAGGGCTACCGTGGCCCCAGGAAAATAAAAAACCCGTCCGATCATGTCAGGTTGAGAGGCATCATACATACCACTACTTAAAACCTCATCTTAAAACCGTTGAAAATGAGCTTACGCCAAACGAGACACAGTGAGCTGAGCCAATGGGCGATGTGACGCCGTTTGCGTGTGGCAGTCCAACCTACACTGGCCATGGGGGTTTGGGTAGCCCACTGGGGCGCCAGGCGTGGGAAGGTCTTGGCCACTTTCCAAAGTATTGCCTGCGAAGCAAAGGATGTTCCAGCGCTGTTACCCTCACAGAAATGATCATTTACGTTTGGTATAGTATACCAATACATACATAATAAAAACTTATAGCAAAGCAACCCCAAGAAAGATACACAGCAATGTGACGATTATTTACGCCCTGGGGATGTGTTTCTCTCCGTCTATTTCGACCGCTCATCTATTTCTTTAAAGAAAAACTCTAAAAGGGGAGCTGCTGGAAACGGCAAATACTTCTGCTTGCCACTCTCTGCAAAGATACAAAAGCCGCCCATGTCGACCCTAGGCCCTAGACTTTGATGGTTGGTGGTTCTGCCCTAATCTTTTATGACTGCAATAGCTGTTCACATCCCCCAGCTTAATAAATTGTCCCATAAAGGATTATGACAATCCCCAATATATTTGGTAGTATGATCCCACCATCAACCAACCATCATTTATCAATGATATCTATCCACTTTCAAAAAAAAAAAGTTTTAACTTAAGTCACTTTATATCTCCATATTTTGATGGTTGAGCCGTTGAGCCCCATGGCCCATGACGAACTAAACATCAACCAACAAGGCTTTAACAGCCATGACCCCTGTCCTGGCCATGGAAAGCCTTCGAGATCAGAGGCGCTGACCCAGCCTCGCCGTGGGACGGGCTGGGACAGGAGCCCACTGAGAAGCTTCGGAGCAAACATCCACGCGTTTCAATGGGGCCTAAAAATTCAACAACATTTTTTGTACAAAAAAATGATAAACAACAAAATGGGAATGCAGGCCATCACTACAAATGTTTCGTCTGAAAACTGGAAGGGTGCAGCGTTCAACCAGTGAAGATACAGGACGAGCAGACAAAAACATCCGAACGGCCCGGAAATCGGCCCTGCGTTTTCATCATTTTCTATGATCATTCTGTTTTCGTCTCGTTGAAATCTTGGCATTGCCACATGTTTACACTCATGGTGGTTTCTTTTGGTATTGCATTTCCATTGGGATTCATGAAAACCATTGAAAACCTTGCTATTATTGCAGCGGGAATTCAAAAATGCATGTAGCACACCTCCAAAAAGCGTTTCGTTTTTTGAATGGTTTTGTGTTTCGCTACAGCGCCAGCACTTCTTTACTCTTCACACCAACTTGCGGACAGTCCTGGCAGTGATGTCACAGACATCTGCATTCCTATACATGTACCGCCATTGCCAAGCCTTGACATATGTCATGATCACTGGACTTTGGCTAGGTAGGCTACCTGGCAGCATCTTTTTACAAGCCTTCCAGCAATTTTTTCCAACTATTGTTCCAGTCTGGGCAAGCACCTTTGGACTGCCTCGCTGCACACGGCGCACAGTCTTTGTGCAACGTAACATGAAGTGTCTTCACCGAAGTGCAAAAGACGTGTGCAACGTAACATGACATGTGTTCAGTGTTCACCAAAGAACAAAAGACGTGTGCAACGCAACATGAAGTGTGCTCACCAAAGAACAAAAGGCGTTTGCAGCGTAACATGAAGTGTCTTCAACGAAGTACAAAGGTGCAACGTAACATGAAGTGTGTTCGCCGAAGTACAAAGGACGTGTGCAACGCAAGATGAGCTGTCTTCGCCGAAGTAATTACAAAAGACGTGCGCAACGTATCATGAAGTGTGACCACCGCAGAAATTACAAAAGACGTGCGCAACGTAACATGAAGTGCGTTCACCGAATTACAAAAAAAAAAACGCGTGCAACGTAACATGAAGTGTGTTCACCAAAGAACGAAAGACTTGCGCAACGTAACACGAAGTGCCTTCACCGAAGTACAAAAGACGTGCGCAACGTAACATGAAGTGTGCTCACCGAAGTACAGAAGACTTGCGCAACGTAACATGAAGTGTGTTCACCGAAGAACAAAAAACGTGCGCAACGTAACATGAAGTGTGTTCACCAAAGAACGAAAGACTTGCGCAACGTAACACGAAGTGCCTTCACCGAAGTACAAAAGACGTGTGCAACGCAACACGAAGTGCCTTCACCGAAGTACAAAAGACGTGCGCAACGTAACATGAAGTGTGCTCACGAAGTACAAAAGACTTGCGCAACGTAACACGAAGTGCCTTCACCGAAGTACAAAAGACGTGTGCAACGTAACACGAAGTGCCTTCACCGAATTACAAAAGACGTGTGCAACGTGACATGAAGTGTGTTCACCAAAGTACAAAAGACGTGTGCAACGTACCATGAAGTGTGTTCACCCAAGAACAAAAAACGTGTGCAACGTAACATGAAGTGTGTTCAACAAAGAACGAAAGACTTGCGCAACGTAACACTAACCTTCACCGAAGTACAAAAGCCGTGTGCAACGTAACATGAAGTGTGTTCACCGAAGAACAAAAAAACGTCTGCAACGTAACATGAAGTGTGTTCACCAAAGAACGAAAGACTTGCGCAACGTAACACGAAGTGCCTTCACCGAAGTACAAAAGACGTGTGCAACGTAACATGAAGTGTGCTCACCGAAGTACAAAAGACGTGTGCAACGTAACACGAAGTGTGTTCACCGAAGAACAAAAAACGTGTGCAACGTAACATGAAGTGTGTTCACCAAAGAACGAAAGACTTGCGCAACGTAACACGAAGTGCCTTCACCGAAGTACAAAAGACGTGTGCAACGTAACATGAAGTGTTTTCACCGAAGTACAAAAGACTTGCGCAACGTAACACAAAGTGCCTTCACCGAAGTACAAAAGATGTGTGCAACGTAACATGAAGTGTGCTCACCGAAGTACAAAAGACTTGCGCAACGTAGCACAAAGTGCGTTCACCGAAGAACAAAATACGTGTGCAACGTAACATGAAGTGTTCACCAAAGAACGAAAGACTTGCGCAACGTAACACGAAGTGCCTTCACCGAAGTACAAAAGACGTGCGCAACGTAACATGAAGTGTGCTCACCGAAGTACAGAAGACTTGCGCAACGTAACACAAAGTGCCTTCACCGAAGTACAAAAGACGTGTGCAACGTAACATGAAGTGTGCTCACCGAAGTACAAAAGACGTGCGCAACGTAACATGAAGTGCGTTCACCGAAGAACAAAATACGTGTGCAACGTAACATGAAGTGTTCACCAAAGAACGAAAGACTTGCGCAACGTAACACGAAGTGCCTTCACCGAAGTACAAAAGACGTGCGCAACGTAACATGAAGTGTGTTCACCAAAGTACAAAAGACGTGTGCAACGTACCATGAAGTGTGTTCACCCAAGAACAAAAAACGTGTGCAACGTAACATGAAGTGTGCTCACCAAAGTACAAAAGACGTGCGCAACGTAACATGAAGTGCGTTCACCGAAGAACAAAATACGTGTGCAACGTAACATGAAGTGTTCACCAAAGAACGAAAGACTTGCGCAACGTAACACGAAGTGCCTTCACCGAAGTACAAAAGACGCGCGCAACGTAACATGAAGTGTGTTCACCGAAGAACAACAGACCTGTGCAACTGTGTTCACCGAAGTAACTGGATAACAACGAAGACACGGGACGTTATTACACCCCCCCAACCCCTCCCACCCCACAGGAGACGTGTTCAACGTAACGTAAAGTGTGTCCACCGAAGTAACTCGATGACAACGAAGACACACGACGTTATTACACCCCACCAACCCCCACAACACAAAAAAACGCAAAAACGCAAGGTCGGGGTTCGGGCCGCAAGCAAAAACATGTTGCAAGTTTGAACGGTCAGACACTGATTGACTTCGATGCTTAGGAGCAACAAGTTTATGATGTCCAGTAGCTGACTCATTGGTGAGATATGGTGAGATTAGATCCGTTGGGCTCTGGATGACATCGTCTGCACAAGTGCTGGTGTGACATGGTGGGATGCAATATGCCCGGCGTTCTACCTCAATCAGAAAAAAATGCTCCCGGAAATCAACCCAATAGATGGTTGTCCCAATCAAACCCCCATGTATACTTCGGGGATGTCCCAGTCAGCCATGTTTACCGAATCCTCGAAGGGTATAGCTAAATATCCAAGATGTTCTCCAACCCCTGCCACCAGCGCCTCGTGGCATGATGGGCACGTAGTACTTGGAGCCCAATGGGACCGCTTTGGCATCCATGGCTTTCACCATCTTTCCTTCCTGCGAAGGGCTGGCTCCGCTATGCTCCGCTGTTGCCGGTGTTTGGGAGTAAACATTATTAGCCAAAAGCCATTGTCAAGTGGGGTTTCTGAACTTGGGCATGCCCTTATTTGATCTTATTGGTCTTATTTTTGAGATGACTCATTCTGTAAACAAATTGTTAATGGGATGCGTTATCATGAGTTTACCAGATTACCCCATGTTTTCACCCTCATGACATCCCACGAGAAACCCATCAAAAATTATCACAAAGTGAATGGATGGACGAATTCTGTCGTCAGCATTATATAATCGAAGTCCTTTTCGCCACCAAATTGGCACGTTCAAAGACCGAATAACCAAACAGAGCTGGGCAAACTTACCACTACCCTCTGGTAATTTGTTACAGTTTGCTATGGAACATCACCATTGTGAAGTTTGGTAAATCAATGTAAATCATCTATAGATGGTCCATGATTTAAACATTTTCAAACCATAGCCCTTCTCGCACGTGTATTTCCGCCTCCAATTGGAAGAGCAGAGTGTTGCTGCTCATGGACTGCCAGACCTCACGGGTGAAGCAGTGCAAAAGGAGAACCGCAGAGTGTGGGAAGGGTGACATGACTGACAAAGCCATGCTTATTCAGAATGGACTAAATTTCCTGTTAGGGTGGTACAAATATTCATGCGTATAGTCGTATATATGCACAACAACTACCTGGTCCTTCCATTGTACTTACATTTTAGGTACGAAAAAATCAGGCACGAACTCAGATTTCCAGCACGTTTTGAAAAAAACGTTCGTTTGTGAAAAAAGAGGACGAGACTGGGCCCTGAGCTGTGGTACAGCGTTGTTTGGCAACTCTGGGGTAACCTACCTAGCTGATTCCTAGCTGATATATATAACCCAGTGACTGTCGTGTTGGTCCTTGATCTAACAAAAATGGCACCAGGGTACCGATTAGTACCTGAAATTGAATTTGCGCGTTTTTGCGCTTTTTTGTGCGTTTTTTGCGTGCTTTTTGCACGTTTTTGCGCTACGAATTGGTCCCCAAATTTCTCGAACATCTCCAAAAGTGGGTTCAAGGGACCGACTTGGACCCATCGGGGTGATGGGGCCCTGCGAAACAATTCACATTTGACCAATCCAAACCTATTTGAGCATGTGGCGTTTAAATCCAAATCGCAACCTGGTCGCCGTGAAAAACCAAAAAAAAGCTCGAAACCACAAAAAACAAACGAGGCAAAAATAAAAGGTACGAACAAAGATTTAAGGTACGAACCAAGAATTCAGGTACGAACAAGGGGAGGGGCAGAAATAAAAGGTACGATGGATGGTTCAGGTACATGTCCCCGCTTGTGGTTCACCATCCCATGTGAGACTGAGATCAGTAGATCTCTATAGATCTCTGAGAAATCCTGACAAGGCAGGACGGAAAGCTGGCACCTGTTCGAACGAAAAGGGTTGGTGAAGCGTTTCCAATTTGTTGCTTCTTTAATTTATGATCTCTTTATATCTCCTTGGCTGTATGATTTACCCCTGACCGGATCACCAAGTCGCCATGTCAATGGAAACTTCGAATTTGCGGGCAACTAGTTCTGTCCCTAGGCCCTCAGCAAGATGCTTTTGGTGTGTTCAATCCTTGAAGCTCTCCCTAGTTGAGCCAAGTTTGCTTCCCAAATCCTTGAAGGAAAAACTAACTGCAGGGAGATTTCCTTAAAACACTCCCCAGTTGGAGCCGGCTTCACTATATTCCTTAGACGTCTTTGGTGAAGTCGAACTATAAATGTATTTTGTGGATTCATGTCATTTCAAGCACGCTCAAATCGCAGCCAATGTTGTAACCTATTGCAATCAGACATGATCAAGAATATCTTAAGAACTCCCAACTCAAAATAGGATCAAACCTCTTCTCTCCTTGGTTGCCTTGAAAAAATGTGCAACAAAGCGCTCCCTATAATTACCAGGGATTCCTGACACAACCCCCGTTCTAACGAGAAAAGCTCCTCAAGTCCTTTACTCTACGTCAACCATCCTAACACTTCTCTTTTAAATCCTGAACAAGCCTACCCCCAAAACTCGCAAAATCCTCGGATGATGTTCCCCAATCCGCCCGTCGTGCATGCGTTTGCCCAAAAATACCATTTTCACTGGACAAGACGCACCTCATCTCAACATGTTGGTTCTCTCTCCCCAGACTCCTACAGTAAGTGTTCCTGACCTCAATTCTTTCACAGTAAAAGCTTCAGCCTCGCTTACCCACTGGCTCTTGTAGTTCCGGCGAATCAATTGATCTCCCCCACGCTCCCCCCAAAAAAAATCCGGAACTACCACCTGGCATCGAAAAATCCTCGTCCAACCCCGTTGGCTGCTTGATCTGCCATTCTTAGGACCACCCAGCTACCCCATGGCGCGACACCGCGCCTCGGTCGCACGACACACCTTGAAGGTCATGTTGGTCACATCCACCGACATGGCGGCGATTTCGGGATTTTGGGATGTCGATATGTCGATGCACTCATGGGAGAATGTGGGCTATATATGATATGGGTTTAATCTGGGTGTTTCTTTGTTAAAATGTGTTAAAGTATGCAGTTATGCATTGTGAGCATCACGATGCACATGCAGCTGTATATGTGCATGCATCTGTCATCAGCTGTCCGTGCTTCTGAATTGCATGCAGTGTATGATGAGGATATAAAGTTGATATAGTATGATATGCAAGTGTGTGTGTGCGGTGCATACAACTTGGGTGCAGGCTGTGTTCGCGTTTGTCTATGCATGTCTGTGTGTATCGGAGCCTGCGGCGACATATCACACATCAGAGGAAGTTTTATTCAGGTGTCCTAAAATGGGGTACCCCCAAATCATCCAAGTCATTCTGTCAATAGGCCATTTCTGTATATATATATATGTATATATATTGAAATTGAAACCCATGGTTTGGGGATCCTCCATTTAAAGAACCCCGTATCAGAATATAATATCAGAATCACAAGGTATGACATGGTGCAGCCGGGAAAAGCACCTGATTTGGGATCCTTGGTCGCCTAAAATAGACCCGGCACATGCACTACGGCATTGGATGGCCAGCCACTGCGGTAACCCCGAATCCATCAGGGACTCAGTGCTGGGGTCCTTCAGCAATGGGTCATTCCTTGATTTTGGGGGGGTCTCATGAGTCTCATGCCCTGAGTTTTGTCCAGGGCTTGAGGTGGCCCAAAATTGGCTGAGCTATGCTGATTTTTTTTTAATGGTGTTTCTCTACCGCGCCTTGGCCCCACCGCAATCACCGCGACTTTTTGTTGCCGTGTGTTCATGGCTAGGACCGCTCTCCCAGCCAAGGCCCACCAGAGCATCGCTGAATGCTGCCATTTGAATTTGACAACTTGTTCCAAGCTTCGGTGGCAGCATGAAAAAGAACTTCAAGTTGCGCAAAACCCAGCACTTGCTGCTAGTTGCTGCCAGTTGCAAGCTCTTTGCAAGGAATATAGGCCCTTTGCAATAGAAAACCTGATCTGGAAATGGCTCTACAGCCCAACTACTGAACATACGTTTCAATGGTATTATAAACCACATGCAAAGTTTCCATTGGACAGTCCACAGATGTCCAGACCAAGAGCTGCAACTTAAAGTAGGCGGTCTTCGCCACTGGCTGAGGCACGTCACAGGATCGAAACCTGGCGCGAAGCCAACCCAACTCTTGCAGACTCTTACCCGCAGCTCAAGTGTTGCAGAATTCATGTTTTTCAAAAGTCGCACCTTGTGTGCCGCCATGTGCCTTGGACTGCCCTCGGGCCAAAGCTGCATATTTCAAACCAGAAACCGATTGCCTGGCACGGCCCAGCTGTCATGTTCCAATTGAAAGTAATTATATGGATTTCAACCAAACCATGGCTGTACCCCAAAGAATGTCTCACCAGTCTTATGGGGCATGACTGGTGTGTCGGCATGACCTGATGTTTGCTCGCTATAAAACCGAATCATCCCCATACATATGCACATTAACTCCGCCCTGCCCCCTTGCATCACACAAATTGATGTGTATCGTTCGTGTTCAAATGATACGGAACCCACAGAGATGAATTTTAAAATCTCCGGTCCCAATACGCAAACACCAGCAAGTCGGCCCGTAAAGATTCAAAACCCGTAGAACGGTGTGATCAGAAGATCATTGATTTATTGGGCAAGGGGGCCCAAACAGTATGGGGGAAATCATTTCAGGAGAGTAGCTTCGTAAGAAGTCACAACATCTCTGCACAAGGATCCTTTCAAGGAACTTACAGGGTCACTGTCACCTTCTTCCACGTTTCGGTCCATCCACACTCGCTCATCCATAAACCCACCCATTTACCTTCATGTCTTCCCTGCTGTCCACACTTTCATTTCCACTTCCTCAACACACTCCATCCCCACAATCCTTGGCAAGTTTCTTGTCAGTCAGCAAACCAAGATCAAAAGAAAGCATCGAAGACGTTTTTTGGAGAAAAAAAACGAAGAATGTCCAAAGCCAATAATAAACCATTCAAAAAAAAATTAGAGGTTGACTATGGGATTACCACATGAATTGATTGCCAAATCTGCGGCCTCGGGTCACGTGCCTGGACGGTTGGGACCTGGACCGGCAGCTTTCGACACCAGATATGCAGATTGGGATGCAACATGATGGCTGGACGGGGGGGGTTAGCCCCGTTTTTACTGGGTTGCTTTTGGGGTTGGGGGGGGGGGGTGGGATGTCAACGTTCATGTTACGCTGATGATGTTACGCTGATCATCTGGGGTTGGGGTGGGGTGGGGTTAACGTTCATGTTACGCTGATGATGTTACGCTGATCATCTGGGGTTGGGGTGGGGTGGGGTGGGATGTTAACGTTCATGTTACGCTGATGATGTTACGCTGATCATCTGGGGTTGGGGAGGGGTGGGGTGGGATGTTAACGTTCATGTTACGCTGATGATGTTACGCTGATCATCTGGGGTTGGGGTGGGGTGGGGTGGGATGTTAACGTTCATGTTACGCTGATGATGTTACGCTGATCATCTGGGGTTGGGGTGGGGTGGGGTGGGATGTTAACGTTCATGTTACGCTGATGATGTTACGCTGATCATCTGGGGTTGGGGAGGGGTGGGGTGGGATGTTAACGTTCATGTTACGCTGATGATGTTACGCTGATCATCTGGGGTTGGGGAGGGGTGGGGTGGGATGTTAACGTTCATGTTACGCTGATGATGTTACGCTGATCATCTGGGGTTGGGGGGGGTTGCTACGCTCAGAAGGTCTTGGGGGCAGTGTGTGTGCACTTGCTTTCGATGTTGATGGTACGCGAAGAACGTATTTGGGGTTGGGGGGGTTGGGTCTGTGTTAACTGTATGATATATTTACTGTATTATATAATTATATATTTACTGAATAATATATACTTGTCAGGATGATTTGTTTATGTAAATTTCACCGGTCATGTCTGCCTGCTACCTGCGCTGCAGGTACGCATCTCAGATGTTGGGGCTGGGCTGCATTGGTGTGTCAGGGCTGGTTGGAGTTCTTGGTTGCGTGAGAGTTCGTCAAGTTTGCTTAGACATATAAGTTTCCAAAAGTAGTTCGTAGTTACATGGTTCAAACGCAAGAAAGGGTTTAACGCGAATATCATGGGAATGTCATGCTTGTCTAGCACAGCTTTGCTTGTGTAGCTCGCTGCTGGGCTCTGTTTCCATGGATCCGCTTCTGTATGGTGTTACATTGTTAATTCTCCTCCGCGCAGCTCATGAAAAGTTTCCACCTGTCTGTGTTCTTTGGTCCTTTTTGAGCACGGAAGAACTGTGGGATGTTCACTACATCTTAGCGTTGAAATGGCATGGGGATGCTGGAGCTGAGACCACCTTTGCTGCAGTGGAACGAGTGTATCATTGGACGAGCCTTCGCCAGGGTTTGTCGGTTCTCAAGGAAATTTGGTTTCGTTATGTGAAAGAACATAGGCCTCTGCCAGTGAAAGTTCTTCAACAAGGTGAATGGTTGCAGAAGCGGCTACGTGGAACAATGCCGCAGAGCTTTCCTGACTCAGAGTTGGCTGAACCTTGGGACTTTCAATGTGAAATGATGTTGCAAAATTTGCTGGAATCTGGGCAGCCCATTGAGCCGCTTTCGACTGCAGGACGCAGAACTCTTGAACATCCACCCTCCGTGATTCCTGTTTCTGAGTTCGGTTTTAGTTTTTTTCTTGACATCTTACTTTTCTTCCTTAGATGACCTCGTTATCATTTCTTGTCGGATGCCGAAATAGACGAAATAGACTTTGTACTGTCATGTTCGTGACGTTCAAACTGTTGTATCCTAGGTCTGTGAGAGCCCGGAGATTCGAAGAATGTTGGCTCCTACGTTGACTTTGGAATCGGAATCCGAAAGTCAAGATGCTGAAGGAGATGCATCGTCAGCTAAATCGGAAAGTTTGTCGCCACCGCGCTTCCAAGGTGGAAAGATTATCGATAGTCCTATAGCTTTGCGACAAAAACTCGATTATCTTTTGAAGCACTCTGTGAATGCCCCGCTTCTTGGTTTGTTTTTCGAATTGTTTTCCAAGGATTTGTACTGTCAATTCTTTCCCTGATGCATTCATTTGCATTTGAGAATGATGAATCTCAGGTTGCCCTCAGCTTCTGCTGCCGAGCTCACTCACTCATCTTCGGCTGCGTCTTCGTCTGGCGGCCCTATGTCGATGCTGCAGCGGGCTGCGCTCTTTGAGGACCGTGTCAAACCGGTCGCAGATGAAGATGGAGCGACCTCCCTGCCTGACACAAAATGGGGTAGATGCATGCGGGCAGACTGTGGATATGCTTTGTCGCCGCACCTTTATGCTTCTGGTCAATTTGCAGGACAGATTCGCTTGCTTTGCAATAGGTTCAAGAAAGTGCAAGATGGTAAAAGAATGTGTTTTTTTTCCGCTCCTGTTCCGAAAGACAAATGGTCGGAGCTGCCCAAGTTCATGAGAAACAAGTATGCAGAACTCCCTGCCAGTTTGCGCCGAAACACTGAGCGCGATGTGTGAAGAACTTTGTGCCAATCGGAAAAAGAGCTGCTGCTGCGGTTTGTTTGCTGAGAGATCTTTGCACCTGATGAAGAATGAAGCATGAAGTTTCCGCAGAATGAAATGGCCTGTCAATCGCGAATATCATGGGAATCAATTCAAACCACTTGGCCATGACTCTGATACCTTGACTGCAGACACACCTTGCACGTTTCTCCCAGTCGCCAGAATTTGGTTGGTGAAGTTGTGGGTGCCATGTGTTTCACTAGGTGTGAGGTTTTTTTGAGCAAGCCAGTGGCCATTTTCCACTCATGTCACGTCTTTTTTGCAAAGCCTTTTTAGGTCCGAGTTTCACACAGGGAACGTCCAATGAAAAAATCCCTCGGACATGATAGATATCCCTCTGGGCGCAAACGACCTCCGAGTCGCACCATCGCTACGAGTTCTGGTGTCAACA